CTCCCTCACGCACCATCCTATCCAGCGTCAATGTCTGTATTTTGTCAAGCTGTATTCCCGTGGAACCCACCTGAAACGGCCTCGAGCACTTTGTGGGAGATCTGGGCGGCGGTCTTGTACTTGGTCAGGGTATCGGGGTTGTTGAGCGTGTAGTCTGGCCCGTCAGCATCACCACATCACACCACGCATATCGCAGGTTTCCAAACAGTAAATAGTCGACAGTCTACCCGTCTCGAGATCTATGCGTCTTCTACTTACCGATCTCAGTGTTTTCAGCCATGGCGGCGACTCTAACAGCAGCAGCAGCAACAACAGGCTATCTAGTGGAATAACAGTCGAGAAGTCGGTCGCGAGAGACGGCCCAGAAGCTCTCCTGCGTCGGTCCTGGTCTTCCTGTACGTCCTGGTCTTGTCTTCCTGGCTGCTCGGCTGCTCGTCTTCTCTACTTGCGGGCGTTCGTGGAGGGGGAAAAGCCAAAAGGTGGGATATTTTTTGTTGTTGTTGTTGTGGGCTTTTTTCGTGTCCCTCACCTTCTTCCTGCTCGTTGCTTTTTCGGCCCATGACGTCGATGCGCAGTGACTTCGCGGCTCACCAGATTTGCTAGGCGGCCGAAGTCACTCTGCATAGCAGCCATGCAACTTCCCCGGCCTTTACTTATTGCTTGTGGCACACTCTACTATCAGCGGCCAGGAACTCGCAGCTACAACCAGGACTCCAGCCAGCCAGCAGCCGCAGCCACGGCCTCTACGTCGGCTTCCCTGCCCTGTCTCTTGAGTAGCTTCCACGGCCAGCCCGCCAGGATACCCGAAGAGCTCGCGGAAGGCATTTACGAGCCAACCAGCCTTGCACATGGAACCAGGATGACCCGCGTTCTCGTAGCAGAAGCCCACGATGGAAAGGGGCAGCAGCAGCAGCAGCAGATAAAGAGGCCAGAGGGGGGCGGCGATGAAGACGAAGACGGGAGGCAAGGTACGCATCTTCATCTTCATCGTCGTCTTTGTCTTCTATCCTGCTGCGTCTCTCTCTTCCCTTCACGTTAAGATGAAGCTAGGCAGCTTGCTCTTCCGCATCCTCACGCATAACATCCGCTATGCAACAACCTCGCCCTCCGCCGGCGAGCAGCCATGGAGCATCCGCGCGCCTCACATCGTCAACGAGCTCGACTACCACAGCCGGCTGAACCCAGAGAGCTTCGTCTGTCTCCAGGAGGCGCTGCACAACCAGGTCACCGACGTCCTGGCCGGCCTCAACGCTCGCCCGCACGCCCAGGCCGATGAATGGGCCTACTACGGCGTGGGCAGAGACGACGGCAAGCAGGCCGGAGAGTACTCGCCCATCTTCTACCGCCCGGCCGTCTGGACGCTGCAGGAGAGGGAGACCGTCTGGCTGTCCGAGACGCCCTCTGTCCCGTCCAAGGGCTGGGACGCTGCCTCGATCCGCATCGTCACCATCGGCGTCTTCAACCACAAGGCCTCCAACACCACCGTGCTCGCCATGAACACCCATCTCGACGACCAGGGCAGCAAGTCCCGTCTCGAGTCGGCCAAGCTGATTCTCAGTCTCATCCAAAAGTACCTTGCTCGCCACCCCGAGGTCAAGGGCAACTTTCTCGCGGGTGACTTCAACAGCATCGAGAGCCAGGAGGCCTACCGGGAGTTCACCAAGCCGGGCTCCAGTATCGTCGACACCTACAAGAAGGTTCCTGCCGCCCAGCACTATGGAGACGAGATCACCTTCACGGGATTCGACGGCAAGACCAAGGGCAGCCGCATCGACTATGTCATGGTCGGTCCTCAGTCGGCTTCTGCGTCCATCCCTTTCACTGTCAATGGGTATGCTGTGGTGCCTAACAGGTTCGACAACCGCATCTACAACTCCGACCACCGCGCTGTCGTCGCCGACGTCACTCTCTAGTCTAGTCTATAGCCACACAAGTCCCAGTAGTACATACATAGCTTTTTCTTCCATACATAAATTCATCTTTTTTATTTTGTATCTTCGTCTATCTGTTTTTTCGTCTTCCTTTTTTTTTAGCTTCTTCTATGGCTGGCCTGCTTATGTCATGATTACATCACCTAATTAGTCATTTCTTATTCATCAGCGACGCCAAAAGAGCAAAAAAGACGAAAAGACGAGAGAAACGAAGGAAGAAACAAGCAGAAGCCGACGATGATTCCATCTTTCGCATCGCATTCTCGGTCCTTCTCTTCGCTGACGAACAGGCCAATTCCTGACTGCTAGTTACTCACCTCTCGCCTCTAGACGGCCGGCGTTGGGTTGCAGCTTCGTTCGTCGCCTTCGTTTCGACCGCGTCAGAGACACCCTTGAACCGTCTCTCTCTTGCTCTCTCTCTCCCTCTTACCGAGTAGTTGAATCTGCTACCTCCTTGCAAGTCGCATTCACTGCGCGATTCCGGTATGCCCTGCTCCACGTAGCCTGTGCCCCCCCGACCGTCTTGCTTCCGCCGGAGCTTCGTGTGGGTGGTGTTTTTGGACGCGGCACTGACGACGACCTTGGTCGACTCTTTTTGTTAGACACCTTTTAAGTTAGCACAGCAACATCGCAGCCATCGACCATGCCGTGGCCCGAAGCCGAGGAGAATACCGGCCAGCCAGATGGTGCGCTACAGGGCTCGCATTCACATTCACACTCGCCTCAACCTGTAGCTCCCGCCGCAGGTAGCAGCGAGCAGCCGGCGGAGTCGCCACAGGACCAACAGCTAGCTCCTGGCGGCCATAACGGAGCCATACCCGCTGGTATCTTGGAAGGGAAACAGAATGCTAGAGCTATAATGGGCGCCTCAGAGCTTCCGGACGGACCAGCTCATACTGCTGAGGGCGGAGGAGAAGAAGGAAGTGTAGGAGGGAGCGGTAGTGGAGGAGGAGGAGGAGGAGGAGGTGGTGGTGGTGGTGGTGGGGATGGCGATGAGCCTGCTAGACAAGGTGGTGCTAGCTCACCTTCTCCGCAGGAGGCCAGCATCACAAACGGAAACGGAGTCAGCCGGAAACGGTCTCGTTCTGGCTCTATCATACAGTCTACAGCTGCTGTGCCTGCTTCCGCTGCTGCTGCTGCAGCATCTCCTGTAATAGAGGATGACGGTCTGCCGCGCAAGACACCCCTAGACAAGGTGCTTTTGGAAGACTACCTATACCGAGAATGGGGCCACTCCGCCCTTGCCGCTACACGGAATACACACCAGGAAGTCCTCCGCCAGAAACTCCAGGAAAGAGACTACTATCTTGCCCTCAACCAGGAAAGACAGGTCAATCCAGCTGCTATCTTCGGCCCGGGCTACGAAGGATACGGTAACACCAGGACAGATCTTAGGTCACAGCACCCACAGCTTCTCTACCCATCTAACCGGAGGCGGCCAGGTGGGCGGAAGGCTAAAGAGCTGCGCATACCTCGAGAGGACATGCTTACCCAGTCAGACCAGGATGAACATCTCGTTCCTATCAGGCTCGACATCGATTGGGAAAAGGTCAAGGTTCGGGATACTTTTACATGGAATCTCCACGATCGCGTCACCCCGGTCGACGTCTTTGCCGAGAAGCTGGTGGAGGATCTCGGTCTACCGCTCGAATCTTGTGGCCCGCTTGTGCGGCAGATCACTCAGAGCATTCATGAACAGCTTGCAGACTTTTACCCCCAGGTCTTTATCGAAGATGAGCCTCTGGATCCACACTTGCCCTACTCCGCCTACAAGAACGATGAGCTCCGGGTTCTCATAAAGCTGAATATCACCATCGGACAACACACGCTTATAGACCAGTTCGAATGGGAACTGAACGATCCCCATAATTCCCCTGAAGGGTTTGCTATCCAAATGTCCCAGGACCTGTCCTTACCGGGAGAATTCACCACAGCAATCGCACATTCTATCCGTGAACAGGTCCAGCTATTCACCAAGAGTCTGTACGTCGTCTCATACCCCTTCGACGGCCGACCAATCGACGATCCAGACCTGAGAGACGCTTTCCAACCATCCCCTATTCCATCCACTTTCCGCCCCTTTAACGTTGCCAAGGAATATACCCCTTACCTATACGAACTCAATGAAGCAGAACTTGATCGGACGGAAGGCTCCATCTCGCGTGAGCAACGACGACAGAAACGAGTCAACAGGCGAGGAGGACCGATCCTGCCTGAACTCAAGGACCGTCAACGAACTATTCGGACTATGATCGTTTCCTCGGTCATACCAGGGTGCGCCTCGTCCATTGAAGAAAGTCGACTATTCAAACGGTCAAGTACCAGTCGCCGTGGCAGAACCTCTACCGGCCACCGTGATGGTCTGGAAGAGTCGGACTCCTCCGAGAGCGAAGAGTCTTCCATCGGATCTCCGGCTATGTCTCGTCTCAACCAGGGAACCGCTAGAACAAGAGGCATGAGACAAGCGTCTTCCATGGCCCAGTCAGCCATACGAGGACAAATGGGTCGCTCAGCAACGCCCGAGACAACCGTATCCCACTCTCACGAAACAAGAACATCCGCCAGACGGCAGAACTATAGAGAGGAAAGCTCAGAGGCACCCGAGAACCTTATTGTTAAACTGAAGATAAATCCGGATAAGTTACGACGCCTCATGCGCGACCTCAAGTCTGGCTCGAAACAATACACGGGGTCTCCCAGTGGCCCATCCACAACTCCCACAGGGAAGTCAAGTGCTCGTGGATCTATGGGGCCTCCACCGTCCCAAGGCCAGCCTGGCTCAGCGACAAAGAAGCCAACCAACCCTCCCCAGTTCCATGGTGTCATTGACGCACCCCATCCATTACCCCCAGGAACTCAGCCGGTAAGCATACCCTTACTACGTTTACCTCACCGTAACCTAACGGCTCACTAACCACACAAACCCTCAGCCCCCTCCTCCCCAGTGGCTCATCCAAGGCCTTGTAGGCCTTAAACGACAATACCCCAACGACTCCTTTGAAGGAACAATGCGCTACACAGCCGTAGATCCAAACACAAACCTCCCTATCCCCAACGCAGCCCAAACACATCCCGGCCAAAAACTACCATACAAATACTTCCCCCGAATCCGCTGCAATGACTGTCCTGGAAAACTCTACACACCCGGCCCAGCAATGACAGTCGAGAACTTTGAGGTCCATCTCAAAAACAGAAATCACAAGGAGGCCGTTGCGGCGCGATTAGCGAGGGAGAAAGGGGGTAGCGGCCCACCTCCCGTTCGACGGACACCAAGCAACAGCTCAGCAACTAAAGAAAGCAGTGCACCAACTGGTACGAGCACGTCTGCAGGTAACGATTCGTCTGGTGCTGCGTGATGGAACGCATTTATGAAATAAGCGAACACTCAAGTGCAAACAAGCCAGCTTAATGCCAATGGACGGATAGATGGAATCAATTATACATATTTACGTTACCCCTTCCCTCCCCACCATCGATTCTCACATTCATACGCCCCGCCACTCTCATTGATACTTGTCTGTCCATTCCTTCTCCTTTCCCTTTCCATTTACTTACCTCACTGGGATCTCGGCGGAATTCGAGCGGATTCAATTATCTATTTTTTTGGCATGGTGCATTTTTCTCACGCTCCTACCGTTTATTCTTAAACTTCTGTTTCGTTAATATACCTTCTAGTTACCTTTTCTCTTGCTGTCTTACTTTCTCTTTCTTGGGACAAGATGCATCCTATTATTACTCTTCGTTAATTATTAAGAGAGGTGTTAGTGTAGACTTGTTCAAATAGGCGGTAATATGTGAATACAGACATGATGTAGAAGAGTGGCTGAACCCATCTAATTCCATAACTACATGGCTGGCTATCTACTGTTACCTACACGCAGATAAAAAAAAGGAAAATCAAAGAAAAGATTTGAAGCAATTATATGCACAGAGATATTTGGTTAACGTAAAAAGATGGAGATCAGATGCCGGCAAAATCAATGGGGGAAAGGGGGATTTTTAAAAGACATGGGCAGCGTTGAGTAAAGTGAGCGTTGAAACTAATATATCAGGTTCATGATTTGACGTTTCTCTTCGGTCTGCCTGGTGGATTTTTCACAGTTTTGGGTGCGGGCTTTGCTGGACGGCCTCGTTTGGACTTTCGTGTCTCCAGGGCTGGCGAGGATGGCTCAGGCGTTGGCGACGATGATACCTCCGGCGTTGATAGGTCCTGGGGAACATCGCTCATCTCGGCGTCTTCAGGCACCTGAGGGAGATCGTTCTCTTCACCTTCACCCTCCTCGGCACTGTCGTTGTCACTGTCATCTTCTTCCGAGTCAGGGGCCTCCTCCCGCTGATCCCCTCTTTCATCCCACGCTTGCATTTCCTTGTCGTCTTCATCACTGTCACCCTCCGCATAGCTAACATTCATATTCTTCGTACCTCTACCGGATCTCCGTCGCGCTGCTGCTGATGAAGGCTTGGCCCCTTCATCGCCGTCAGAATCCCAATCATCTCCGTCCTTCTTTTTCTTGCGTTTGGGCTCAGAGCCACCCGCCGTAGACTTCCTGCGAATAGGAACGGTTCGGGATGATGTTTGCTTTTTCTCTTTTCGCTGCTTCTTCGAAGATCCTCCATTCTCATATGCGTTGTCATCGTCATCGTCTGCAGTTGGTTTGGTACTCGACTTGTAGTCAATTTTCCGCTTTTTTCCGGCTACAGAGCTTGCATTCATGGTCTTCGGTTTCATGAACCGTCGAACAACCCGGTCTAGCCTATTTTCAACCACCTCAGGCAGGAAGTTCTTCTCAGCTGTTGATTGAGCCTCTTCGTGGCTCGGTATATTTGCAAATAGACTGCTGGGGAGTCGCATCTTTCCTGGGAACGTCTGAAGGATATTGGCTACCCCAGTGCTGCCACTGCCACCAATTTTGTGTTGTTGAGAGTAACATTCTGCGAACCTGCGGATGAGGGCTTGGGATAGATCTGAAAGGGTATGTAGTCGGGCGGACATTATTGCGGATGCTTCGGGGTCTGAAATTGCGTCCTGCGCTTGCTTGACGCGCTGGGCAATGTGGAAAATCAAGGAGAGGTTGTTTTCATTGGCGACTGCAGAGAGGTAGAAAAGGATATATCGGCAGAAGCTAACTAGGTCCTCCTCGATTGTCAATTCATCGGATCCTTCAGGAGGGTAGTCGGGGTGGTGCGCAAGGAGGGAGAGAAGACGAGCAAATAGAGCTTCCATAGTCGTTTGGGATGATTGCTGGTCTGGGCCAGCGGCGGAACTGCTTGGTCGGCGGGAAAAGAAGGACGCTCTTGATCGTATCCATGTAAGTGTACTATCGTAAAGGTTTCCATTTGGTTCAAACGCGACGAGGAATGTAATGAGGTACCACCGGGGGTTGAGATTTGGTGTCTGAACGAGTCGCTTTTTAACCTGGCCGATAAAGCCTCGCCTTACTTCGAGCAGAGGGTCTTGAGTCACTAGCGCAATGGCATTAAAATTCTGAGGCGTGAACATTCGGTCACAAACTGATTTTGAGGCACAAAGCTTGACAACTAATTTAGCAGCCATCAAACGAAGCCTGGACCTTTGTGACCAAGGGGTATCTTCAGTCTTCGAAAGCTCTCCGTTTTTCTCAATGAGAGTATTTAAAATAGCATAAACCGAGTCTGCATATTGTCTGAATTCTTCATCGTCATCAGAGTATTCTCTAGAGCGCACTCGATTCACAAGTATTTTCAAAGCCCACTCCTTAGCTTGTAGTTCCTCGTCCGCTTCGTCAGACCATGAGTACCCAGGATTTGGATCTGGGTTGCGATTTTTGAATAGGATCTGATCTGTAGCAATCCTGAGAATGGCGTCTTCTTCTCGGTCAACTTCCTTGGATGCGAGAAGCGTGAGTTGAGAGAGAGCTGCCAGTTTGGTTAGGAAGTGGTTAGATCCGTAAGTGAATTTCTGCACGCTCTTCTTGACAAGGTCCCGAGCATACATCTCTTTCTTATCCGAAGTTGCCATAATTATGGAAACTGCGCACTTTGCCGCAACGGGGGACGAGCTGTACATCGCATAATTTATTAGAGCTACTTGGAACTGCTTATGAGTTGGTAGTTTTGCCGGTAGCTTTTTAGCAAACCCGGCACAGGCCATTAGGATTTCCTCGACAGCAGGATCATCACTTCTTTGTGCATTAGGAGCCTGCGACTCTAGATCCTTGCACATTTCTTGAACATGAGTTTCGAGAACTTCTGGATTTTGTGACGAAGTTTCACGTAGAAATTCATGCGCTACATTGCCTAGCCCATGTTCATCGGTCCTTGATATTGTCATAATACAGGGTATGTGGCTTCTGTTGAAGATCAGGGAGCTGCTGCGGTAAATCAGAGGGATCAAGGACTCAAGCATTGTTGTAGTTGCGGATGTACTCGACAAGATTCTGTTGGACAGTTCTCGTATAGCCCTCGCTACAATCCTGTAGTCACTTGCAGCGGCCATGGCAAATCGGATGAGTTGGTAGCTGCGCCTATCATGCATCTTTACAAACTTCCACAGGTCCGCAGAGGCCCGTGAGGTCTCTGGGAGCATTTTAGAGAGCTGATCGATGACTCTTGTTAGTTTACTTTTGACCGCTTCCTCATTATCATCCATCACACCTCCCTATTAACATTGCTAGTCAATACCCATTAAATATAAGTTAGAGACGTAGGAGACTTACATTGTATTCTTCGCATGCAGTCAGATAAAAATCCATGAAGGCTCGCATTTTGAGCTGTCGAGACTGAAAAGCGAAGAATACATTCTTTGATTTCTCATCTAGTCCATTGACCAATGTGAGAATACGACGGGCACGTATGGAGTCAGGGTCTACATCATCTTCCTGATTGCCCTTAGCAGTCTTTGATTTCTGCGATTGGCCTTTGGCTTGCTTAGACTTTATCGGTGGATAAGTAAGGGGCAAAAGCACTTCGTAAATGACATGGTCAAGAAGCACTTGAAGATCGAGGTCATTGGTATAGTAAGCGTCGAAGATTTTCGAAGGTGCATCTTTAAGAATGGTCATAACCTCCTCGTTGTTTGCTTCAATATCGCCAGATGCCACTGCCCACATTTTTCCTAGTACGTTCATTGCTTGTTCACGTACCGCATGTTTCCTATCTTTAACTCGCGCTGCTAGCACTGAAAGAAGAGAGTCAGGCTCAGAAAGGCCGCCGTCAGACCCAAGCTTCTTGATGACATCCTTATAGCCAAATTTTGCGAGGGCCTCTACAGCAGCAATCCGGACCTTTTCGTCGGCGTCTCCTAAGGCCCTGGCGAGCCCGGCTATCAAATTGTTTGACTCTGCGGTATTCAAACCTGTACCTCCAGCTGAGGTATGGAGTATCCTCCCAATTGCCGTGGCCCATGAGGCTCGCACAGAAGGGGACTTATCCTGGCGGCGAGATAGGAAGCTTTCATATGCTGAAGAGTGGGATTGCGAGAATGGCTTGGGTGATAGAGGATTCAAAAGAGCATTCACTTGAGAGACAGAGTCTGTATCATCACTTAGAGAAGGACGAGGGTAGGCAGCCGGATCCAATAATGGATCGGGAGGCGGGCCTGCAACACCAATTCCTGCTGCTAAGTCACCAATAGTCTGTGTTGCCAGCAGGCGAAGGGAAATGGAATCTGCGGATAACTCTGCCTCAAGCTGTGGGATAACATGTTGCAGTACATCCGGGCAGGCTCGCCATAATTCCCGTATCAGCCTATGAGCCTTGTTAAGATCTTTGATATTTTCACCCTCATCTTCAGACTCGTCCAAGCTATTACGGCGATTTTTCAGCCCATTGATACCGGAGGGGCCAGAAGCATCCAAGATGACATTATTGAAGTATTGGCTGATGTAGCTTGTTAATTTTTCTGGGCAAGCATTACATATCGCTTTTGCCATGTTATAAGCTGGGGGATAGTCTTTCAGCAGTAGCGTTCCCTGCTTTGCATCGACAACGCCGGTGGCTCCCTTTTTGCCCTTCCCAGTGGAAGTAGACAAGGAATGGTCAATAGCCCGAGGGTCAACGCGCAAGAACTGCGCAACGATCACGTCAATAACTTCTGGCGCTAAACTAGGCGCTTCATCAATGATTGGAGCAAGCAGTCGTGTCATGTCGTATTCCACATTTTTTGCTAGGTCCTCCCCGGTTGACGCCTTGGAAGATCCCGACACAATATCGAAACATGAAGAGAATAGAGGAAGGATCAGGGTATCAGGAGCGTGGACATCTGTAAGCAGCACGATACTCTTGACGTCTGCTAGTGAGGAAAGAACATATATATGTTGATCATTATATGCGTTGGAGGGGTCTGCCAGCGCTGGTATAATTGAAGTCACAATCAATGTGAAAATATCCTAGGTTATCATTTCGAGTGAGCTAGAGTAGCTAATTTGAGAAGAAATAATGGGTACATACCTTTAATTGATTCACGGTGAAAGGCGCATTGGGAGCACACAGGCGCAATATGTCCACAACGCAGCAGGCTGTCCACGCGCGAACACCTTTATCCCTATGCCCCAAGAGATGTCCATCCGCTAGCTCCTGAGAGACCTTTGTCAACGAGTTTCGATCTATATCCTCTTGATCTAGCATTCGTAGCTCTGAACCTAGCTCCTCGAGTCTTTGGAGTAGATGTGCAACAGGAATAGCTTTCCCGGCTTTCCATGAAATTGCCTGGTTAAACTGAAGTTTATGTAACGAGCCGTCTCCCTTGTCCTGGTCGGATTGTGCTTCTTCCTCTTCTTCCTCCTCCTCTTCCTGCTCTTCAGATTCCACTGCCGCTTCTACCTCCTCGACAGGAGTCGCCTTAGCGGGTTTGCGGGTTCGTCTGCGCGCAGGCATCGCGTGTGGTTTCCGGCCGTCACCAAGTCCTGGAATGGTGTCAGATAGACTATTTATGACCTAAGGATATACAATCGCCTATGCGCGGCCCCTGAAGATGTGTGTCGTGATAGGGAAGGTTGTGTATCTTGATCATGGACGTTCGGCCCTCAGAGCCAGCTCCGCGCTGTTTGTGGTCGGCTGCTTTCTTCGCAGTTACCGTGGATTTGAATATGTAGAAGTGAGACACTCGAACCGGCTCACTGCGACAGGCTGGACAACTCGGCACCAGCAATAAAATGACAGATATGAGCTCTGCCCGTGTAATGGGCCGTTCAGGCTTGCTCAAGGTCGTAAATTCATAGTTATTTCGATGCGCGAGCGCGTTTTGCCTTATGTAAACCTTATATTATAGTCACGTGATAGATAACTTTCACCGAGGTATCGTTTCAAAAGTGAACAGACAGGCCTCCTTCGATGCATTTTGGTCAAGTTGATATTGAGCTCAGGATGAAGACTAGGAGGTGTAGAAGAGGATATGTTGAAATAAGGATAATTCAATATATTATATACTCTAAATCTGATCTAAAAATGCCTCCTTCATATATGCATAACTATACAACTCCACAGCTTCCCAATTTTAGATGTAACTGATTCTACAAACGAGAGATATGAATGTAATTAAATATACATACCATCACACCTTTGGAATGAAGAGGCTCATAGCTCTGATTCTAGCTCCGTATACATAGAACAATATCGGAACCGGAATCATAGCTAGAGTGATGAAGGCTAATACACTGCTAGCCCATGCAACTCTGAGGTTGTGGTACATTTGAGAAGCGAACATAGGGAAGGCTGCTCCCAGCAAACTTCGGATGAAAGTGTTGGCAGCTAGTGCTGAGTTGGCATATATAAGGTAAACGTCGACGATGTAGTTTATCCCCTGTAAGAAAATGATGATCAACCCGAAGCCTATGGGAACACCGGCGATAACTTGCGGGACCCAGGTGATATGAGGCGATGATGTCCAGGCGAACAAGAACAAGCCAGCAGGGAGAGTGAAGGCAGCAAATATCATGGGTGGCAGGCGATCTTCCGGGACTAGGTTGCCAGTTTCCTTGAGTTTCTGAGCGTATTGGTGTTTGCTGATGTAGATAAGGACGGCGCATCCTAGTAGAATACCGATCAAAAGGCCAATGAAAGGTAGAGCAGCAACACCGGGGTGTTCCCAGCCTCGAACTTCTCCAAATGAGATAGGGTATGCAAAGAAGAAGAGGTAGAGGATTCCGTAGACGACAGAAAGATAGATAGTTGTTAGGGAAAGAATGGGTTCTAGGATCAACATCTCAAATGGACGGCTCAGATATTTGTGAAAGATATCGTTGATTGTCAAGGGGCTTTCGTCAAGAGTCGAGTGGAGGGCCCAATTCTTAGTCTCATATCGCAGTCGTTTTGCTCGGTTTTGCAGGATAACTGGAGCAAAAGTCTCTGGGAGGCTGAATAAGGCCACAAGACCAACTGCGGCATCAAGAATGAGAGTAATTCAATTAGTCCATCGCCAGCCGAGATGTGAAGGAACAATGAATCCACCAATAATAGGTCCAGCAATGGGTCCCAAGAAGGTGGCTGCGCAGAAACCAGCGGCTGCAATACCGCGGTCAACAGGCTCCCAGAGATCTACCAAGGCACCGCCGACGACTGCAAGAGTCACAGAGCCAAAGGCACCGATCAAGAATCGGCAGATGAGGATAGTTGCAAGGTTTTGTGCTACTGCGACGGGAATCTGGAATATGGCGGAAATGGTGAAGCAGACGAGCATAGGAAGTCGTCGACCATACACTTCGGAAAGGGGTCCCCAAATAATTGGCCCAAGAGCGAACCCCTTCAGTATACCATTAGTATGGGTTTAAATGGGCACTTAGATGTCCTATTCACCTACCAGTACAATAAGTGCGGTACCAAGTGTGGTAACCTCCACAGATACACCGTATATCTTTGCTGTTACTGCCGTAGCTTGACTGAAGACACTGCTCGAGAAAGTGATGCAGAAGGTAAAGAAAGAGAGCATCATAGTGATGTACCACTTCCTCATACGACTGAAGTTCCTTGGGTTCTCGGGGTCATGGGGACCCTCCCAATTCACGAGATCGGGGTTTTTCTTGGGCTCATCGTAGGATAGAGGGGGTGAGGGGACGGATCCAGGCAACTCGCCCTTTTCGAGGTCGGGTTCATGAAAACGCGATGATTCTGGCAAGCTGCTGTTATTCCGAGCTAGCTCTGGGATATTGGCTTCCTTTTTTCGGTCCATTGAGTGAGATGCAGCTGTATGCTCTGCCATGATCAACACAGAATAATCGCCTATGTCAGGCTCGGTAGTTAATTCAGGAAGCAAGCTGGATGGTAGGCAACTTGGGAGAAACTGGTGGTTCATATCCAAAACCGCTCAGCAACGGGATATATACACGCATATATATATACCCCTAAAAGCAGATTTCAAATCCATTGTCGGTCTTAAACGAAGGCCCGGAGCCGATCACCCAGTCATAACCGACTGCAATGCCGACATGACATATCAACCCGAAGGGGGTTAAGTACGATGATGCGATCCCCCAAGGGAGTCGAATCAATGCAAAAGGATCCCATGGCTCGAGACGATGAACTCTTCATGCATATACCGCATATGAAACGTAGCAGATTGCCGGTTCCTTTCCGTAGCTGGGGCGGGTATATTATAAAGCTCGCGGCAAAAACGTGCCGGATAAAAGAGCAAGGCTATCTCTCTCGCTTGAGGCCTGAAAAAAAGGCAAGCGCCTACATCTATCTGTAGGAACCAACAATAAGCCCGCAGGCTGTTGTTCGTTGATAGGTCTGCTGGAAGCAAGGATGACCATTGAACTCCGGATCTGCTGCCATGACGTCACAGTCGTGTCCATTTTGCTCCGAGAGAGACAACATGTCGTGTCTGAGGAAGACGAAGGTCCGCAGAGAAGTGGCTAGCCTATAATTTAATTTATGCATAGTTAATGGCCGGGATCAATATAGCGCATCAAAGCTCTAACTATGGATATGCTGTGTTAGTTAGTGATAACGGAATACATGGGTTGAGAATTGGACTTAGCTAGGGAATTGGATAGTTTACCCTTTAAATCCGATCGCTGCCATGAAACATCCGCAATAACTATCAGAATTTACCTGCTATCCAAGCATTTGCAGTGCAGCATAGGTGACACTACATTGCATATCAGCGCTTCCTTCCCCGACACTGTTGGGGCAGTTCAAGTTCTGCTTGTGCGAGGAGCTCACTACAGCCATCGCTCGCGCAATGGTGAAACACCGTCGCCCTCGACCAACAGACGAGCGCTTGAACACGGACACTATCAAGATGCTACTACAGCACGGAGCCTCAGTCTTCGTTACAGACAAATTGGGCGAGACACCAATGCATGTACTTACATACTACGGGGCGGTATTCGCTCTTCCAGTCTTGCTTAGAATACCATAGATACCCCAATATCTTCATTTCGACTCTCTACGGAGAGACATTGCTCCACAGGGCAGCCCACGGGAACCAGGTAGGAATCATCGAGACTACTTGCAGACGGAGCATATATCAATGACAGGTCTTTGTCAGGCCGGACAGCGCTTTTATTCGCCCTCACGGAAAGATTAGGGATTGCGGAGATGTTAAACAGTCGTCAATCTACTGCTTGATCACGGAGCAAAGGCCACAGATATAGCTCAGGAAGGATTGACGGCTCTGTACTGTGTCGCAGATCTCCATAATGAGCATCATGAAGGGGTCACAGCTCTTATAGAGCGTCTTATTGGCCTTGGTGCAGATACCGAGGCGCAGGCCATTGTGCCGGGAGATATATACCGGTATAGCCTCGGGGGCTATCGTCTCACACTTTCTTTGAAGTAACAACTTCCGATCGCCAGCGAACAGACACTGCTACACTGGGCGGCAAGAAATGATATTCAATAGATCAAATAAATGCGTTGCAAGTTAGGTGTTATATCCACATTAGCAATAGAGCATCAATTTAATATGATATACGTACCTAGCATGAAACAGCGTGTTCCAGAGCAGCAATTCTTCATCATTGGGTATATCATGTAGGTTAGATGCTGATCAGTCGAAATCAAAGTCGAAGTGGAAGTTCATAGCAACTTGAAAAAGCAGAGTCAACTAAACGGCAATGTCGTTCTGTCAATGCTGATGGGTGGATGAGAGCGTCTTTCCTTTTATATTGCTACATAAAGACTTGTTCTGAGCTGTTGAAAATGTATCCTCCACGCCTGTAGTCTAGTACCCCAACGATAGTGCAATCGCCAAATGCATCTAAAACCAACTCCGGGGTAACGCTCATACTCCGCGAATCACATAACCCTTACGAACCGGACCAGAAAACGCCGATAGTTGAGGGTAAACAAATCTGAAAGTACATAGGGGGAAAAAAAAAAAATCGTCTCGTTAAACATATTAGGCCAGTATAATAGTACATGTTGGAATTTTGAATTACGTTCGAAAGTCGTTCTTTTTTTCTTTCTTTCTTATTTTTTTTTTCTCACAACGCACGTATCGCGCAGGAATTCGAAATTCGTTCGCTCTTCATTGGGTCATCAAGATTATTCATTATTAGACAGAGATCAGGACGAAGTTAGCGCCGATCCAGCACCACTACTGTCACTAGCTTCGTTTGCCCTGAGATCTCGTAGCATAGAAACGGCTTTGTTGACTTCTTCACTGGCAATGATAGCGAGCTTTGACTTGGTTTCAGAGTCAAGGGCACCAGACGCATCGACCTGGTCATAAAGCAGACGGGATATTCTGCGATTAATATCGGTGTACTCTTCTTTGGAAACTTCCTTCCGACGATAATATGGCTTTAGGGCGGAGCTGACCATCCTTTGGAGGTGGGATTTGGTGGAAAGAGATAAACCACGTGTAGGTGACGATTCATTAGATCGCAAAGGATGGGATGAGGAAGATAGATCATGGCAAGGTTGAAGACCAACGGGTATACGCCTTCGAGAACGCCGTAAACTTTCTTCTGATGATGCATTGCGTGTGGGAGCAGGAGAGCGGGAAGGGGAAAATTCTGGAGAGGAAAAGTTGGAGTCGCTTGGTGCGGAGTCAACAGAACGCGGTGGTGGAGTGGTAGACGATGGACGAGAAGAGGAACGGCTGGAGGAGAGAGGGGAGAGAGCGGGCGATGAGGGGCCAGAAGAGCTCATTTCTGTGGGATTATAGGGAGATGAGGCTAGTCGAAGCGGGACAGTATGCATGTTGGGTGTTGACGACTCTTCCACTTCTTTGAGCAAGGACTGAAGGAAGCTTGGTCCTGAAGGGGGAGAGTGACTGTTGAGTGGCTGATCATCGCCATTGGGTAATCTGCCACTGCCTCGGCTTGATGATTCTCCTCCATGATCAAGGATATCTGCTAGAGCCTCTGGACGTTTTGTTCGTGGTCGTTTGAACTTTCTTTCTGGCTGGGCGGGCTCAGGCTCCACCGGAGAGGCAGTAGGAGATTTTCGTTTCCTTTTATTGCATGATGTCCCTTCCTGGACAGCGTTTGCTCGCTCAAAGGCATTCCAAGCTCTGATTTCATCTATAGATTCTGGTTCTGGAGTTTGAATCCTAGGCCGTGGTCGCGATGGCCAGCCTCTGCGCATTTCGAGGAGAGCAGGAACGGCTTCCCGTAACCTGCTCGACCCGCCTTGACGTTCAGCAACCCGGATTCGTCGCTGCCAGGCTCGAAACTCTCTAAGATTCGTCTCCTCTTGTCTTCGTTGGAGTAGAGTGCGGCCAACTCCATTGTCTTCTTCATCATCAAACGGAAAATCAAGATCAAGATGAAGCTGGTCCCAGACGGACTGCCACACTCGAGCCCAGTGAAGAGCATTTACCTGAGTGTTGGCGATATGCCTCAGTTGATCTGCCCTGGTGCGTCGACGGGAGACACGAAGAGAAGGGGCAGGGACTGGGGTTGAAAGGACACGTTGAGAATTGCATTGCATGCAAAACCATGGTCCAGACGGGACAGAATCTAAGCCCAGACAGTAGGTATGACATGCAATATCACACCCATCACATAGCAGAAGTACAGCTTCGTTGTCGTCGTCACCACATATTGAACAGGGCTGAAACTCGTCTGTGTATTCAAGCAAGTCATCCCCAAGCATAGACGGATCGATATCAGCGACCTGGACTCGGTCTTCCACGACATATGAAGATATGGCAGGTCCTGCAAACGAAACTACAGTCAGTATAGTTCTATCAAAAAATGCTTCTATGGAATAGGAACAAGTGGGCGTACCTCCAACTTTGGTTACCAGCTCGACAACATTGAAGTTCTGTCTGCAAATCGGACAGCTGTTTGCTCGTTCAACCCAGGGCTTTAGACATTCATTATGCAGGTTATGGCCACAGGGGAGCAGATGGGCGATCTCAACAGTCTCAATGGCAGTGTTCTCCTTGGGCAGCTGGCTTGTTGCAGTGAGTAGGCTTGGCACGACGTCAGCGGCATCGCCTTCGCCAAGGTCGCCTAAGCACACAATACATGTATCTGACATTGCTGGAGCAGCGATAGGGGGCGGGAGTACAGCTTGCGGGCGTGGAGGACGGCATGAAGAGCAGCTGGCGAGCGAGGGCAGCTTTTCCTCGACGCAGCACGGCGGCAAGCAAGGCGAGAAGTGAGGTTGTGATGTTAGGAGGAAAGAAAGTTGTGGGGGGCGAACCAGCCGGCCGTTCTTTTTGAAGCATGGGCAGACGGCGCGCTAGGCCGTGTTAGGCATAGCGCCGGCAACGTGATTTGGGCTCATGACAACGTTAGGTAAGCATCGCCTGACTGGGATGGGCTTAATAAGCCTGGAGGGATGGAGGGCGCAGGTGAGGCCGGCAGCGAGTACGGCTGGAGGGAGACAGCGGAGTGTGAGACAGTCAGGACAGTTAGCAAGCAGGTGAAGGAGGCTAGGCGAAGGCAGCGACTGACCTGGCCACTGCGGGACTACAGGATACTACTCCCGGGACTGAGAGCAGCAGAAACGTGAACGTTGCTGGATGGTCAGCGCCAAAAATGGAGACAACGAACACAGGAAAGATAGAGCTGGAGAAGCCAGGAGCGTGGTGGTGGCGCGGGCCATTGAGAATCAATAGGATTTTTATTTGTCTTTTTATTGCGTTAACATCTATTGGTAATAGTCGATATTCGCCGGACCTCGTTTTGTGAGCTCGAGCCTGGGCATTTGTGCGTGCTATCGACAGAGACATAAAAAGCAGTCGACCCTTTCATTCGATCCTATTGGTTTCGTTCTTTTTTTTTTTTTGTTTGTACTTTTCCCTCACTCGCTCGGAAAGAGTGCGAGAGGGGGACCGTTTGAGGGCGTCATCATCACATGGTTTTTGATTTGGAAGTGCAAGAGAAAAAAAATCCCCATGTATTAAAACTAAAGAAATAGCAACTCCATTGTACCAGCCCAAATTTATACCTCAGCGATTTCTCGTAGACGTCGGATGGTTGATCTGGTGGTGGCAGCTGCAGCGGTGCTACATATCGTGCAAAAGTTTCCATGTCAGCAGTCTGCCCCCTCTCCTCCATTTCCCCAGTATCAAGAGATTTGCGGCAGTTTTCAAGTCTGGCGGACCATGATTGAAAAACACTGCCGGGAAATCAACTTACGAGACAGTCCAAGCACCTCCGGCGACGGTCTTGCGGCAGGAACGGCACTCCCAGATACCAACAGCAGTGCGCTTAACGCTGTTCTTGCCGCAGAATGTGCAGATGTAACGGGCGTGCTGGGTGACTTCCATCTTCTTCACCTGCTTTCGGAGCGAGGCACCGTATCTATCATTTCACCCAGGTTAACCTTTGATCTCCTTCCATCTTCTTCGTTCGAGCAGTAGCTTCGTTTCCGCGTTGTCTGCTTCGACCATCGGGGAGAGGACTGCAGAATCGTACCTGACACCATATTTACCGGTAACGCCGACTTCTGCAGGAATTAGTTAGCATTTACACAGTCTGGGAAATATTTTTATGTGCTTCTAACGTACTCTTAGTGCGCTTCGTCATCTTGTCGCGCTTGTTATGTGATGAAACGGCAACGAAAGTCGAAAGGTGATGATTGAGAAGTTGAAGTTGCAATTCTTTTTTTACTCCCTCACTTCCTTTGGCGTTTGTGTGTGTTCGCTTACCTGATCGCAAGGCCCGGCTTGGCGAGATCCCGTGACAAGATATTATCACGTGGTTCTATACCTCGGTTTAGCTGATATAAAGCTTGGCGACTTTGGATGTTTTGAAAGGCCCAGGTTTCCAGGGGGCGACAAGCAAGGATGTAGACGAGACAAGCGGGAGAGCAGCAGGCCAGAAGATAAACTGCTGCTCAAGGGCATGGAAGGATAGCGTCCAGCACTTTAAAACTTTTTGGTTGTCTTTTTGTCGCTCTGTCTTTACCCACAGCTACTTCAAATCACGATGGCATCGCCCCGCAGTCTTGAGATTGTGCTCCTGGGAGCCACCGGATACACGGGGAAGCTATGCGCCGAACACATTGTCAAGAATCTTCCTACCAACCTCGCATGGGGAATTGCTGGCCGCTCTATGAAGAAGCTGGAGGACCTGTCTGCCAAACTACTTACGTATAACGATGACCGCAAGGCTCCAGGTACGGTAACGAAGGCTGCCTACATCCACCTAACCTATTAGATTGAACTATTTTCCACAGATTTGATGCTAACTTGGCATAGAAATTCTCTCGGTTCAATTCAATGACACTGAACTGAAGGATCTGGCCTGCAAAACGAAGGTTATCATCAACTGCGTAGGCCCATATCGCAAGCACTCTACCCCGGTGGTCAAGGCCTGTGCTGAAAACGGTACCCACTATGTTGACGTGTACGGCTCTGAAGCCACTTATTTCTTCCGTTTTTACTTCTTTGGATATTAATTTCCATATAGGACAGGAGAGGCGCCTTGGGTTTGCGATATGGTCAAGAAATTTCACGAAACCGCCAAGTCTACAGGCGCTATTGTATGAGCCTCCTATGCATTATTGCTCTGTTTTCAATGGGGTTCATTTTAACTAACTGAATTCTAGTTGATATCTGCGAATGGTATAGAAAGCGCACCAGCTGACTTGCTAACATACTTCATGGCAAAATCCATCAAGGATCAGTTTGGTGTTGTCACGGATGAGACAGACATGTCCCTTTACCACATAAAGTACGTTTGGCTGGCGATAGCTCTAGGCGATATCGCTGCTAACTCTGACCTATAGGGGAAAGTTCAGTGGTGGCACCCTTAGAACTATTATCGACTTCTTTGACAACCTTGATTCCAGCAGTGGCGACCCATACAGAATCTCAGTCTCGAAGCCGGCTCAGCCAAAATCAGTCCCCATCCTTCGCCGCATCTTTGGTGTGCATTATGTTCCAGACATTGGAGTTGGTACCACCTGTGTCTGTGAGGCATGCGATACTGCAATTGTCCACCGTACCAGTTCCTTAATGCCTCAACTATTTAACCCAAAATTTAGGTTCTGGGAGAGTATGAAAACCCGCAATACCCTTACTGGCGTTGCATTTCACTTTGCTCTCATTGTTACAGCATTTGTCCTGTTACTGTCGCCAGTCAGGTGGATGCTATCACGTTATTTCTATCCTCCTGGCGAAGGCCTACAAGAGGATGCCAAATCGGGTTTCTCAGTCGAATACAGGGGGATTGCTACTGCTAAGCAGGATCAGCCCGGAAAGAAAAATATCAGAGTTCTCGGTTCGTTCCGTTACGATGGATGCCCGTATAAGCTTACGGGAATTTTCCTCGCGGAGGCTGCCCGGATTCTAGCTCGAAGCAAGAATGTTGGGCAAACCATTAAGGGGGGCTACCTTACTCCCGCGTCCCTGGAGGATGAGTACGTCGAAAACCTTGAGAAGATTGGGGCACAATTTAAGTATACCGTCCTAGAGCATTAGTAGATAGAAGGGGCCAGCCGTCTAACTCATCAGTTATGTTTTTTACAAGTTTCTATAAATGGACCAAGAGTTGTAATTGTAAATCACGCACTAGTATGTATATAACTGTAATAAAATTCTTCTTTTTGGGAGAATCAATGCCCACTGTAATAGTAAGCCTTTGCTTAGAGCTTCACTTTCCTCCCAAACACCACTCCTTCAATCCAGCTTTTAATATGCGTATTGCATTCTTCAGGTCTTTCCCAGAGAGCCCAGTGTGAAGCAACAACTTCAGCCCTAGTCAAATGTTTGATATTCCGCTCCATATTCCGCGAAAGCTCTGGCCGAAGTGCAGTATCATTCGTGGCTAAGATATACAGGACTGGTATATCCAAAAACCTGTTCAAGAGCTCTAGCTCGTCCTTCCAGTTTTGCTCACGGGTTCTATACCAGCTCACTACTCATTAAAAATCAGCTTAGAGTACGACTTATCTTCAAAGGGAGGGGGTCATAGTTCACCTGGCCCATGTAAGCCGGTCCTTGAAAACTCGTTCACATAGTAATCCATTTCCTATGTTAAACTGAATTAGATCTTGAAAATACCTTCTGAGAAGGAAAGCGTGGGATACTTACTTCATCACTGAGTAGAGGGGTTGGCTGAACGCCGGGCAGTTTCTCAAGCAGTACTCCTTTTTCCATGCTTATTTTATTGCTGGTTTGCCGTCTGTTGTCCTTCCACCATACATGGCGTTTAAAAATTGACGAATGTCCTCCTTTGACCGGATTATGTCTTCTAATCCAGCATTGGTAAGCTGGGCCTGATAGCCAAAGAAGGGTATTTTTGCAATGATCTGTTCAAGTGATAGATATTGCTTCGAGGGTGGCCAGTAAGGGGTACAGACTGAAAATACGTAGGTAACGAAGTCTGGCTCATAGAGAGCAATGCGATAGACAATGGCACCACCCCTGATACGAATTAGTTGATGCCATACTTGATGATTGCAAACAAAAGATGAAGACTTTACCAATCATGCCCTCCAAGAATAACTTTCGAGGCCCCCAACTGGCGCGCAAGCTCTCTCATGTCCTTAGCACATTGCCTATAGCCATAGCGCCAGGCAGACTCCGTGTTAAATTTTGGAGCTTACTATAGATGGTCAATAGAAGTCACATCATACAATGAAGAGACGAAAGATTACACACAGTCCGCCCATAGCCCATACAGTCTGGAGCCACGACTCTTAAACCAAGGTTGAGAAGTGTGGGAATTTGGTATCTCCAACCCATCGAAAGGTCAGGGAAACCATGGATCTGCACATATTCAATATTTTTAGTTACACTATGATTGTGGACAATGCAGTTGATGGGTAAAGACGAACCAAAAAGATAGTTGCTCGATATTTGCCATCTGGAGGAGTGGCAAGGAGGTACCCTATTAAGCTGTCAGTGGCTCCGAGGGTCTACACGGTGGTTGTATAGATGCATTGATGCAATGATTAAACATTTATGAAATTGGGATGCGTACGTCGTTCCGTTGACGAACGTAGAACAATGCCTGATTCTCGGGTCAGCCGGCACTTGTATATTATCGAGCGGCATCCTGTCTGTTGTACGTGGAATAGGGGGACAAGAGCCGCGGCTTGCTGGCTCTTGCAGGTGGGCAGATATAAGTTTGCAAAGATGATTCTCTCCGAAAACCCCCCCTCTATATATGTTGTCTGTTATCAGTTTGATAGTTGATGCGGTTTCGGTCTTTATATACCCCTGGATTAAACGGAACTACGGAAAGAGTGGATCCCGCGTTCTACAAACGGCCTTGGGACGAGGGAGAGGTCAGCCGAGGTTAAACCGCCGGCAGGTCCTATACAGACATCGGCGCGACTTCTACAAAAGCGGGACAAAGCATAGTGATTATTGATGAACTGAATCACTTTGTTTGCTTGACGTTAACTGTACGCCACTTTCGAGAGCTGTTCGACTTGGATTACTCTTCGAGATGTGCACCTGTTGAGGCATCGGGTTACACGTTCGGGATTGCCGAAGATGCGCGGTATGAATAGCAACCATTATCTCACCCAGAACAATGGGTATGATACTTTGAAAAATGTTAAAGGTGCAGCGAAAGACGCTGGTAGGGGGAAGAGAGAAACAGCTGGAAAGTATAAAGAAGACAAGTAGGACATACGGCGGAATATCCTATTTCTTCAGCAGCAGAAAGCGCAATGAACGTGGAAGGGATAAGGAGAAAGAAGAATCCACCAGTCAATAAATTACAGCATCCTCAGTATTTTCCATTAGTACCTCACCGGAGTGTTCCTCATCAAGTCCACTTGGTCCTTGGGTTGCAGGAGGCACGGGGACAAGGGTAGTGTCAATTAAGGTTCGTTGCGGAGCCTCACTGGTCTGTTCGAGCGGGTCGTTAGTATTAGATCCTATGAGGTCTGTGGTATCTTTTGTGGCCTTATCCTCAGCGGAGTTATCATCAGGGTTGTCAACGGTAATTTCCCGCTCGTGGATGGTTGACTCATGCTGCTTATAACGTGAACTTGAATCCATTCTTTCCTTCTCTATACTTGATTTTGCTTCCGCAATTTGGCTTTGGATCTTTGTTTCGTCTTGAGGTCGAAGGTACCACGGCCGATAATACTATTAAGAGTTAATAATATTATCTTGAGTTATGTCAAGTCACACAGGAATATGGGAGGAGAAGGCGGTTTACCAATGATGGTTCCGTTTCAGTGCGGAGAAAGTGTGCCATTGCAAGCTTGTTCGAGTGACGAATTTCGGCCTATCCAAGCTGTGAGTTAACCGTATCATTAATGAGAACAAACAACATCCATGATTTTCACATACCGACTGGGAATCATACAAAACTTGATCTTTCCTCCTCGACGCCAGGAGATCTTCATATTTCTTTTTGGTTAGCTCATTGTATTCTTTATCCTGAAGCTCCAGCTTTGCTTGCTGTTTCTTGTCGATCTCTGAGCGTTTTCTCTGCGCTGGAGTAGAAGAACTTTGAGACAGTGTTCCAAGTAGAGCACCGAAGAGCCTACGACCACGTTTCCGCTCCTCGTCCCTCCCTGGCTTGGGTTTATCTGCTGCCTTCACATCACTCGAACCGTTCAACCGTTGAGTATTCGAAGAACTTGGCGGGGTAGACTGATTCGCACGCTCGGAGAACCCGTCTGCACTCAGCCGCCTCCTTTTACTGCTGCTGTTACTTGAAATGCTCTGTCTTCGCTTTGGTAGAGCCTCTAGGCCGGGATACTGTGGAGGTTCAGGTAGCGCGACGGCGGATGCGATTGAACTGTGTTTATATATTAGCAAACTAGCACGTAACGATAAATCTAGTCCGAGGACGTGACACTTACCTCTCTGCCATGTGTACTCAGTAATAGCTTTAATGAGATCTGTCACGTAAATGCTGTGTTATTTCGCAGTGGTATGGTATTCCAAGATGCTATGTATGAGTTGACTGACCAGCTTCTGCTCGCTCCCCGTTGCGGAGCTTTTTTTTTTTGGTCTAGAGCCAAGATTTCTATTACATAATCATATAACTAACAAACTCACATTTAAAGTTCTCCAATTACATCACAGAGACATCGACATCGATTCATGGATACATTCGGACAGGAGTACTCCGTACAACCAGCTGTTCATGCCAACTGTATGGAAAATACGTAAGGTCTGTATGGACACTTATAGCAGGAAGCATATGATTACCTATTTCAAGCAGATTAATAAATTAGACATATCGACGTTACTGGAACAGATCCGAAAAAAAGAGCAAAACATCAATTTGGTCAGGGCAAAGCGGGCTTGGAGGTGTGGTCTCATTGAGGCATCGTTTTCATGCACTGAAGGTATCCTCGTTATGCCTTGGATCCTTACCCTCCTTCGCATAGCTCATCGATAACCGTTCAGTCATATGCTGTTCTACCGTTTTGTGAGAGAATCCAACGCCTTCTTCTGGGTGCCCAAATCCCTCTACTGGCTCCAGATTTGCATTTAGACAGCCATCGAGGAAGAATACAATGCTATATCTCTCTCTTTCTGGCCGTTTGCATACAACGCGATGCATGCTGCTTTTATAAATGCCGTTGGTAACCATGCTAATCATATCTCCTATATTGACCACGTAGGCGCTAGGATTCGGGTCAATGGGCCACCACACCTGCTTTCCGTCTTTTTCGACCAGAACTTCGAGGCCAGGATTGTCGTCTTGGAGGAGCAGGGTGATTACACCAAAGTCGGTGTGCGCCGATGCTCCGTACTGTGGCTTGCCGGTCACACTCCCTCCGTTGCGAGTGGCGGAGGGATAGTGGAGAAGGCGAAGCGGACATGCCGGAATTTTATCCAACCTGATTAGATTGTGCAGGACAGTTGGCATATTTTCTGTCATACCAACGGTGCTATGCCCGTGGGGTATCATTGTATCTCCTACTAGCTGCAGAACCTTGAAGGCAAGGTGTTGGACGCTTTCGTGGTATCGCTCGCATGGTTCCTGGAATTGTATGATGGACAGTAATTCTGTCGAGGGCCAAACGTTTTGGCCCATAAAGAAACGACCGTACAAAGGATCGGATGGCAGGACGTCGCTGCCTACATAGTAACCCTATTTGTTAAGAATTTCAGCAGGAAGGTTCCGGTTATTAAACGCCTATCAGCATAGCACGGGCTATATAAGAAAACGATGACCAACAAGGTCAAAACAGATCACAAAGCAGCATCGTGGTTTTCTCACCTCCTTCAAGTCTGGTAATACGCCTTCTTCGTAGGACTGGCTGGCCAACACATCATACCCTCTATGACCAATGAAGTTTGCAGCATTGAGCTTCTTTTTCTCTTCCAATGGCAAAGCAAAAAAGGAATGTGCTGCATCGAAGATGTTCTGTTGCAGAGATTTGGAGATGCCATGTCCAGTGATTTGAAAGAACCCGGTCGAAATGCAAGCTTCCCTCACATCTTCAATGACTTTTTGGGCGGCATCGGACTTGGGATCTGCGAGGTAAGGAGATATGTCGACTGTAGGGACACCTGAAAAGCTTCCTTTTGTCATTTTTATCGCTATTCAGGGTGGACTGTGATACTATGCAAGCTATATCTCGAGACAGATGGATTGTGGGTGATCTATCTTTCACCAGGTGAGTTGCTGCTGGAGAATAACGAAATATAACTCACAGATGTTCAGCCGATAACTCACAAACATAGTTTTCATTGTTTCACCAAATATAGCCGGGCCCTTTAGGACATAGGTGTCGATTATTTTCTACCTGGGCTTCCAACGATTAACTTATTCGGTTCATCAGAGAAACCAAGACACTTATTTGCCTTTTGAGCTCAACCCCGAAATGAGGCTCTAGAATGTCGGCCCCAATTTTTCTTTAGGTCTTAGACGGGATATCACTCGGTTCTTCATGTGAATGTCGTATTCTCGTTACACGTCCACTTGCAGTATGAAATGACTAGGTAGGTCAAGAAGCGAGACATCTCCTAGGAAGTAACATCATAGTGAAGGCGGTGTAACCTTCCATGGGACCTGAGTATTATCCACAGTCTCGACCGTCAACCCCGTCCGGCATTCTGAAGGAGGCAAGAGATGTTGTGGACAAGTAAATGATCCATGGGGAAGGGCTGAGGTTAACGGGCCGGCGGGTCCATGACCCCTCTTCGCAGAGCTATTATTTCGAACCAATCCATTCATCCCAATTGAAACTAGGATGTTAGGTCTATGTGCTGCTGTATTGAGCTTAGAAGTGGACTGATGGAAAGGGATTTAAAACCGATTTCCAGAGATTTAGTCGATTGGGTTGAAGTGTCAAAAGTTCCAGTAGGCTCACCACATGGAGAGTGAGGTGTACCTAAAGTCGAAGAAGCCTGCACGTCAATGTATCTTTGCGCACATAAATTTAAAATCGCGGGATAATAGTATTAGTTGTATCTCCTTTGAAAGGTTGAAATGCGGCCATTCAAAAGGAAAATTTAGTAATACTGCTAACCGAAATGCTGTACATAGTAGTTATTTGCCTTAAATTGGATTCTGTAAGAGGCCGCCGGGACGATTGTTACCAGGCCTATGCGGTAGCAAATGACCAGCACTCTATTTTTCATGCCTGGGTAAAGGACTCTTAGCGTTGCAGTTACCATGCGTTACGTTGAACGAAGGGGAATTGCAAAAAAACAGGAGCTATTCTTACTTACTTCTTGAACTTACCAGAAAGGGAAGGACAAAATAACAATCTTAGAGTAAGATGTATTAAGCCTCGGGACAGAGGAAGCATGGCAGCTTTCATCTGATATCAAGCTTTTGAGAGTATCTGATTGCCATCACCTGAACTGGCGCAGCAGCGGTTCTCCTCATGAGAGATAATGACGACATGGATAATACCCATTGCGGTTTCAAAGAAGGAAATTGTAGTGTCCTTAATAGGTGCAGTTCCATGTCAGGGGTTAAGGCGAAATTTTTTTCCAGCAAACCTGGAAAGCAGCCCACATGGCCTTAAATAGAGAACATCCATAGAAGACATGGAATGGCCAAGATCTGTGCTTCCATCCCTTCCAGAAGAAAAGAGAAGCGATGTGAGTGTGGCATTTGTCCATTCTCAAGGATCAAGAATCGTTTACCCAATGCAAAATATATTGAGCATTACCTTGGATATGGACAATATTCGAGAGTTAAAACCTCGAAAACTGTGGTCCGAAAAGGAAGACAATGTGTTGCGGAGTGAGGTAGCCAGGCAAGGTAAGTGATTGATGACCAAGAGGAAGTGGGAGCAAGTCACTGATACGCATTTAACTGATAATGATTATCAAACAGCGGAGCATGGAAAGGCGAAAGATTGGCGAACAATTGCTGAAAAGCTCCCCGGTCGAAGTAATAAAGGTTACCTCGTCCCCTGGGTGAGGTTTGACTCAACAAAGTTTTCAACTCTAATGTATGGCTTAGATTGCAGAAAACGTTGGATCAAATTGGACGGTCCGGTAAAAAAAGGCCCATGGAGCCAGGAAGAGGACCAACGTCTTCATAAAGCGGTTTTGCTCCATTCTAATGTGTTAGTTATTAAACCGTTGGTGTGCCAAACTCGAATCAGGAGACAGTCTGACGGAAGTTTAGCTGGACGGAAGTTGCGCAAGTCGTAGGAACACGACATGCTGATCGTTAGTTCTCCTAAGCTATTTTCTGAAGATGCCTTGACCAAACTAAGCATTTTCGGAGGAATGGTCTAGATGCTAACGCGGCTTAATAGAGTGCGCTAAACGTTGGTTGCATTTCCTTAACCCCAATTTGAACCATGGCGAATGGAGCGAGCAAGAAGACGAGCGTCTCTTAGCCGCAGTTGAACGAGGAGGACGCAACTGGAGGAAGATCGTGGATGAGATACTCCAAGGAAGATCAGCCACAGACGCCAAAAACAGGTGAGATAAGGGTATAAATAAAAAGCCATTTGCCAAATTTTTTACAGCTTTTAAATAGGCACGCAATCCTCCAGAGAAACAGAAAAAATGGTACCGCAGCAGGTTCGGACCGCCAAAGGCCTTCGTTTTCACGGCGTCGAAGAAATGGCACTACCCTTGAGGTGACTGAGAACCGCGATACAACTAATTGGTGGACAACAGGCTCAATGGATTTTATGAGGGATATTATACACTATAACTCTCCCATTTGTTCAGTTGGGCCGGGAATTGCCAATGGTAGTAATTTCGACGCGCTCCTTATGGAACAGCCTAATCAAATGTTCAGTTCCCCGTCTGGATCGGCTTTCATGCATGATCGTACACAGCTCCATGGGGACACTGGGGAGCTACCTGGGTGGCATGTAGTTCCAAGTAGCCACCCCTATCAAGAGAAACCGAATGATCACGATATGGAGTTCCATGCCAGCTGTGGCCCTAGTTCGTTCGAAAATGCGAGTGAGAGTCACATGGGGATAGCTGATACCTTCTTCGAGTCATTAACAACAATGGTAGATATGGAGGGAGAAGGTGGCTTACATACTCCATCAGTTTCTTCACATTCATTGGACTGTCATCCGGTAACTCGAAAAACGGGGAGCTCGATTGTCTTAGATAAAAGCGAGCAAGCTGATGAAGAGGATGGAGGTGAAGATGACGACGACCACAACGAAGAGGCCGCAATTGGGAAGAATGAGGCATTCAATAGTTCGTACCACGACCCATCTATGCCTTCCATTGAAGAGATCCTGGGAACGGTTTCAAAGGAAAACAGAAAAAGTACAATGATTTTGCAGCATATGCAGTCGGATCAGGTTGGGCAGGTGTTGGAATTTCTTTTTTCCTCAAATTCATCTGTAGATGTTAAGATAATTAGCGAGAATTAACATGAGGGAGATGAATATTGACGGTTATTGCAGGACAGGTAGATCCTGGAGAACTTGAGAGTATTCGCTACGTTGGTAATAAATAAACTTAAACTCACTATTACATGTTGTTCTCTGCCTGTATTCATGATTTGGTCGTTGGATCATAGTATATATTGTATTGGTGTGAACGGAGTAAATGAGGGTAAGATTCCGAGAGCATCATGTCTCTTGATCAAATGTCAGTAGACGTGTTTCTGGTTATCACAGGCCACTAGTACCCTGATTAAAACATCAGCTTTATCCAGTGTACAGAGCCTGTTTTTTGCCATCATTGGATGCCACGATAACATCCACTACCCTACGACTGGTGTTCTAAGTAAGTTTTAAGTTAGATTTTATGGTATCCGACCTGCGATTAAGACGGAGGGGAAATCAATGTAAAAATAAAAGTATGTAACGAATATCAAAGACTTACTCCAGAATTGTGCGCATCTATTGACACTTTCCGTAGGGTATTTTCCTAGAAGGAATCCAGCATAAAAGAGGAGTTTCTCCTTTGTGCTATTACTAACCGCAAAATGAAAGATATATATTCTTCAAACCAAAAATCGCTGCTAAATAGCGATTTTTCATGACCGAAACTCAAACCGAATCGTGTATCCCATAGGGCATTGCGCGATGACAATCACAGCTGAAGCGGTTGCGGCCTCATGATTGACTACGGTAGCTAGGCAAACTTGGATTACCTATTGGAGGAATTGGTGACTTTGGCGCACAGAATCAAGATGAAACGGCAGCTCCTGCGAACGATGCAAATGATATATGAGCTTGTTGTACACTGTGAGGAGCGGAAGGGTGTATCTTGGAGCAATCTTTCCGGATTTAAGGCCACGCTGACGATAACCCCGATATACTCAGCTCCCGCTTACACATGATCGCACGGGCGGGAAAACTTGAAGATATGAGGGATCGTAAGTAAAAAAGGTCGAGCATTCAACGGCACAAAGGCGACACAGAATAGTAGACTCAGTGCTCGCAGTAGCATGAAGAGATCGATGCCTAGGTTCTTGACACCATTGCTGTTACCCTCCAGGCAAACCGTGAAGGTGTTCATGATAATCTGTGCCAGGTACGCGCGTACACGAGAGGCATATTCAACATCATATCCGAAATTGCTCCCCATTTTAGCCATCCTCAGGGCGTTGCCAGTTCCATATACCAAGAATCAATCCTTCCCTCCACTCTGGCCTAACTATCTTTTCGACTGCTAGGAAAAGATCCAATAGGCACGATCGGTCATCTTGAAAGAAGTCAAAACATCAGTTTTCCGGGTGATACAAGAGCATCGGTGTATAATACCACGACCTACAGCCCGAAATCGAGGAGTTTAGGAGTGCATTTGGAATAACGAGACGAGGTTGCAATAAGCTCACCAAGACGGGGCTAAAAGTATTTAGTTCGTTTCAAGAATGACTAGCTTAGAAGCCCCGGCTCTTGGCAACGCGCCTCATGTCAACGACGACGAGCTGTTCATTAACGACGACAACCTAAGGGATGCAAGGGACGGGGAAAGAAAAGATAATGGTGGTAGTGGTGGTGGCGAAAGGCTTAGGCTGGAGGAAGAACTTCCCTCGGAGAATGAGTTTCGCACTACCGGCTTGAGGCTGTTTTTAATCCTGAGTTCGCTGCTGGTTTCCGTGTTTTGCCAGGCTCTCGATGATACCATAATCGCGACAGCTATACCCCCAATTACGGACCACTTTCGCCGGTTAAGCCATGTAGGCTGGTATGGATCTGTCTATCTCCTAACGAATTGTGCCTTTCAACTCTTCTATGGCAAGCTGTACAAGATCTTCCCATTGCGCTGGGTTTTTATGAGCGCCCTCTTCATCTTTGAACTCGGCTCGTTAGTTGCAGCTATAGCCCCCAAAAGCGAAACATTGATAACCGGTCGTGCCGTTGCAGGTATTGGTGCGGCTGGAATAACGAGTGGCGCCATGACTATCATGGCCCACACCGCTCCTGTTCGTTGGCGCCCAACATTCACCAGTATGATTGGCGCAGTATACGGGGTTGCTAGTGTTGTTGGCCCTTTATTAGGAGGAGTACTTGCAGAAAAGGTTAGCTGGAGGTGGATTTTTTATTTGAATTTACCTCTTGGTGGAGCCTCAGCATTTATCCTCTCACTTTCGCTCAAACGGCTGCCACCCAGTGCTGGTGGGCAAAACTTGACTGTTGCCATGACGATCAAGCGACTAGATCTGGTGGGCACCTTCACCTTTATTGCCAGCATAGCTTGTCTTCTCACAGCATTGCAGTATGGTGGAACAACCGCTCCATGGTCGTCTGGTCTCGTTGTTGCCTTATTAACGATATTCTCAATACTGTTGGCTACATTTATCTTAGCTCAGATTCTACAGAAGGACGAAAATGCAACGATCCCAACGCATATTGCGAAAAATAGAAACATGGCATTTGGAGCCTTTTTTGCGATCTGTCAAGGCGGTGCTTTCAATATCTTTATCTTTTATCTCCCACTGTACTTCCAGGTTATAAAAGGCGCCAATCCGATCAGGTCCGGCATAAATTATTTACCACTAATCTTGGTTAATACCATTGGTATTATTATATCCGGTCTTCTCACTACGAAACTTGGCTATTACATGCCATGGATTTGGTTCTCTAGCATGACGATGCCCATTGGGGCCGGCCTCCTGACAACGTTAACTGTTGATTCAAACCCTAGCCATTGGGTGATATACCAGCTCGTATTTGCTATTGGTTCAGGATTTGGTCTACAACAACCATTTGTGACTGCACAGACTTCACTGCCGCTTGAAGAAGTGAGTACTGGTATGGCAATCATGTTATTCTCCCAGCTGGGGGGAGGGGCAATTTTTGTCCCTGTTGCACAGAGCGTTTTTCTCTCGGAGCTTGTGACTAGTGTGGGAAGGGCAGGAATCCCAGGTTTAGATCCTCATCAATTGATCACACTGGGTGCAACCCAGTTCAAGCAAATTATTCCCCCAGCGGATATTCCGAGAGTGGTGTTAGCCTACAACAGTGGCCTTCAACAGGCATATAAAGTTGCACTCGTTTTGGCTTGCGTGTCTATTATTGGGCCTCTGGGTATGAAATGGGTTTCGCTGAAACCAGAAACCCAAAAGAAAAACCCAGGTATAGCTGATCTGGACAAGGTGTAATTAAGTTGTGGAGAAGGAAATATGCCTCTCTTGGAACATATATGTACCACAGATTTTCCTGCACTTACTTGGAGTGTCAAACACAGGCAATATAAATGAGCGGAGAGTAATATATTAATTAAGTTTTATTCTGGGGGGAAATGAAGGATTGTCAATATGATAATGTAAAGAGATAAATCAAAAGTGACTGAAATTATAAAATGCTTGGTCGAAGTAATAACTTCATTTTCTGAACACTTTTCCCCTTTTTGCCAAGCGGTCGGGTACCTGACCTATCTGGGCAAAGTATATATCACGTGATATTCAACTAGCTTTCCGGATAAACTCTTCTCCTGAGCCGCACTTTAAATCCACGTTGAGTGACGAACCACCGATTCATTACAACCCAATCACCACCCTCGTCAGGGTCGAGGAGCTCGAACTATTTTGCAGGCAAGTGACCTTAGTCCGGGCGACTAATTACCTCAGATACCATATGAGGCCTATTACTTACATAGAAACGCCTTAATAATGTTGGCACGATCTTATAGATCTCCAGCAGAGCAATATTCTTGCCGATACAATTGCGATGGCCAGCACCAAACTAGAACTTGGATGAGCTGAGGGTTGATGACGGGTAAAAAAGGTACTCAATATTCTGCTTACCGTGAGGAGACACTTTTCCATGTACTTTGCTTGCTCTGGTTTGCACAGCCATCTTTCTGGTCGCCACTTATCGCAATCGGCCCCAAATGTTTGTTCATGGTGATGAGTCACCCAAGAACTCATGCCAACAACGGTTCCGCCTTCTATGTGTTGGCCACAGATATTAGCACCTTCTGCAGGAATTACTCTCTCCATAGGAAGTCCAAGGGGAGGATGCATGCGGCCTGCTTCATTAATGCATGCATTAAAGTATGGAAGATCTTTGGCTTGTCTAAATCCAGCAAGCTCGTCGAGGTTCCCTGCTTCAGCGGCCTCGTCAAATTCTGCCACCAGGCGCTTGAGGGTACTCGGATTATGCAACAGATAATAGAACATAGCTCTTAGGAACATTGCTGTGCTATCACTGCCCGCGGTAATATTTGAAGAAGTCCATACCAGGAGCGCACTTTTGGGAGCCACCCACAATATCAGTCAGCCAATATCACAATTTGATCAAAATCTTCACTTACAACGGAGGGACTGATGGATCGCTGGCTTCCACTTCCATAAAACGTGACAACATGTCTCTGTTGTTTATCTTCCATTCTTTCTTTAGTTCACCCTTTTCGATTTTTTGCCTTTCTTGAACCCTGCGCATTGCAAAAATCACTCCAGGACTTTGAATATTCTTCCTGAAAAAGCGTAAAATGGGGTTGTTTGTCCAAACATCCCCTAGCCAAGGCATTTGTGTCACCTTTTTCTATGTTAGAGCTTCATTTCTCTAACATATCTTTGGGGGACTGGGCCGATCTCACCAAGGCAGTTTTTTGGAGAGTGCTCCAAAGCTCCGCCATAACTCCATCTATATCTTCTCCTTTCTCCATGAAGCCGAACCGGTGGGAGAATGTTAACTCTCCCATGACATCAAAAGCGAACATTTGCAACCACTGCCCAAAATCGCATGGAATAGTTTTCCCACTTCCACTTCCACTTTCGGTCTTAGCAAACCTACTCTCAAGCTGCTCGCAGAATACTCTCATGGCGGTATCGACATAAGGCTCAAATGAAACCAGGTGGCTCATTGAGTAGACATTAGAGATAGGACGCTTCAATGCCCGGTGGATTGCCTCATTCTGAGTGGCAAATATTCCTTCGACTGGTTTACTCCGCGTCTTAAGCAATAGGGAGCGATAGAAATCTGACTATTATGCTGTAAGTCAAAACATCATATCGATCCCTTATTCTTTCCTCTCACCTTTGGCCATGGTCTTTTGAATGAGTATATGGTTCCTATTTCCCTTGGGTCTCCTACGCTCACCATATTCGGGCCGAAACGTACGATGGGGCCATATTTTTTGTGCAGGTCGATATGAATTCTATGGGCATTGAAACTCTTTACCCAGAGTAATCGGGGGATATTCGTGAATCTAGCAAAGAACGGTCCAGGTATGTGGGATAGGCGATAATATGACTTAACTGATATAACAAGAAAGATAACAAGAGGAAGAAGGATGGAGAGGCCCAATACATAGGTATGTTGAGACGGCAAGCCTGTTAACAATTCTAGTTGATCCATGGCTGATAGTTTGGGATGTGAGGTGGAAAACCCAGGGAGATGCGTCAAGCGTGTCTCTTCTACAGATACAATTATGACTGGCCATATCTAGCCTAAGCTTGGAAATATGAATCAGTGTGTACCACCCTGTCTTTTGTACTCAGGTCCTGCTACTCAGGTTCACCCCCTTGCAGATAAATTTGCTTATCAACTCCTCTTTTAGTTGCCTGGAATACACTTACCACCACAGCTATTGAGAGCTATTCGGGTCCGCCAGCATACTCAGGACCGGCCGGCGATAACTATGCCATTGGTCCCAAAAATCACAGGCTTAGACCTGCACCTTTACAACATTCCGCTCGTTACATCTGACGTTTCTTTAATGGAACGTCATCCTTTTTGACCTTCCACTTTCTATATATTAATATTTTGACGTAAGTTGTACGAACACACAAGTTCAACACCGGCTCATTCCAGAGCTACCAACATTCGTCATGGTTGGTACATTGTCAACACCCTCCAGGGCTCCTACTATTCATCTATTTGGACCCCAGGCGCTTGCCTTTCGTGCAGAGTCTTTCAGTAAACTGAAAGCTGTGCTCTTTAGCGTGCCTTATAATCAGTGGATTCTGGATGTCATCGAAACTCTTCCGGGGCTGTGGGATGCTGCCTCAAAAGAACTTTCATGTATGCAAAAGTTTCCTGGGGGACAGTTGCTGCAAAACCTGGCTGTCTGGATTAAGGAGAATACCACCACAGAGGCAATATTTCCTCTCCCCAATATCCTCCTGACGCCTCTTGTTGTCATCACTCATTTAACCCAGTACCGGAGATATCTGGAGCATATTGATCCTACATACCCGGCAGACAACTGTTTTCAGTCACCTATCCATATCCAGTCAGAAGCACTCGGCCTTTGTACTGGCCTCCTGGCAGCCATCGCAGTGTCTAGTTCTACAAACCTGGAGGAGTTTAGACGCAATGGCGCTGCGGCAATACGGCTTGCCATGCTTATTGGCGCCCTGGTTGATTCTGAAAATGAAAACAACTCGGAAGGAGGGGCCATATCTCAATCTATTACATGGAATTCCCTGAGATCTCAGGTGAAGATGCTAGAGATTATAAAGCAGTTTCCCCAGGTAAGTTATAATCAACTGAAGTTTTAAGGTATATATATAAATATTTATGAAACTTCCAGGCGTATATCTCGGTACTTTATGACGAGAAACGAGCCACGGTTACGTGCACCAAGGTTATTGCGGCAAAACTTGCTAATCTCATGAGAAAAGAGGGCCTGATAGTTGCGGAGCTCAGCCTGCAAGGGTATTTCCACTACCAAGGACACCAAGACTCTGTGGAGCTACTTATTCAGTTGTGTGATTCGAATCCGGAGTTACAATTTTCAAACCATTCATCACTAGATCGTTCAGACCATGGCCATAAATCAGATTCTGGTTTTACGAAAGACACGAAACCACATCAATTAGCTCTAAGATCCATATTGGTCGAACAATGCGACTGGTATCGTACCTTTGCAGCTACTTACACTTCGAAATCGAATGGCTCTCAATCACAGGTGGTTCTTTTCGGTCACGATAACTGCGTACCCCCATCTATGGCGCGGAATCTCGGGCGAAATCTGATAAATGCAACAAACCTCGATGAAGTGCTGCCTTCAGCCGAAATTCAGCCTCATTTGGAAGCAAGACACAGTCATGTACGAGATGACAGTGATATTGCTGTTGTTGGCATGGCTTGCAAAGTAGCTGGAGCGGATGATGTTGAACAATTTTGGGACATATTACGCGCTGGAAAATCACAACATACTGAACCACCTTCTGATCGTTTCCACTTTGGCACTTTTTGGCGAGAGCTGGACCCAAAACGGAGATGGTACGGCAATTTTATAACCGATTTCGATGCTTTCGACCACAAATTCTTTAGGAAAAGCCCTCGCGAAATGATATCAACTGACCCCCAGCAGCGATGGATGCTTCAAATTGCATACCAAGCTCTCCAGCAGTCAGGGTATTTCTTGTCTCCGGATCGGGACAAGCACATAGGCTGCTATATAGGTCTTGGGTGTGTGGACTACGAGCATAATATTGCATGTTACCCCGCAAATGCGTTCTCTGCAACGGGGAATTTGAGGAGCTTTGTCGCTGGTAAAGTTAGCCATTACTTTGGCTGGACCGGCCCTTCTCTTACTATTGATTCCGCTTGTTCATCCTCAGCAGTGGCCATTCATCATGCTTGCAAAGCTATACTTAGTGGTGAATGTACTGCTGCTGTAGCCGGTGGTGCGACAATATTAACAAGCCCCATATGGTTTCAAAATCTAGCCGGCGCATCGTTTCTCAGCCCCACAGGCAACTGCAAACCTTTTGATGCGAATGCCGACGGTTATTGTCGAGGGGAAGGAGTTGGTGCGGTGGTACTCAAAAGGCTCTCAACAGCCCTTGGTGACGGAGACCAAATCCTAGGCGTCATCTCCAGTAGTGCTGTATATCAGAATCAAAATTGCACCCCGATAACTGTCCCTAATGCGGATTCCCTTTCAACCCTGTTTCGCGATGTGACCAAGCAAGCCGGCCTTGATCCCAGTCGTATTTCAGTCGTTGAGGCACATGGAACGGGGACTCCAGTTGGTGACCCGGCGGAGTATGAAAGTATTCTCAGGGTATTCGGAGGCCAGAACCGTCCAGATACACTTTCCTTGGGTTCTGTTAAGGGCCTTGTTGGACATGCAGAAACTGCTGCCGGTATCGTTTCACTAATCAAAGTTCTTCTAATGATTCAAGAGCGATCCATTCCGCCACAAGCAAGCTTTAACACGATTAATCCTGCAATCAAGCGGTCCCCTTCCGATAACATGGAAATTCCTACGAATTTAGCAAAATGGGACACAGAGTTCCGAGCAGCCTTGATCAACAATTATGGGGCATCAGGCTCAAATGCTTCACTCATTGTTACTCAACCCCCAGAGCAAGCATTAGGCACTACAATCCACAGCTCATCCTTCCCTTCAGGGATCAAATACCCTTTTTGGTTCTGTGGAAATGATGATGGCAGTATCCAAAGATATATTGCTCGATTCCGTCAGTTTTTGGAGTCGAGTAAGTGTCTCGGAAAAACCATCACCGCCTTTGACTTAGCGTTTAACCTTTACCGTCAATCAAATAGAATGCTTAGCCGTGCACTGTTGCTAGGCTCTGGCTCGATGGCTGAACTGGAAGCCACTCTTAAAATATTCGAGAACGATGTCTCTCAAATTGAATCAATGGAGTCCGTTGATATTCGATCCGTTATTATGTGCTTCGGTGGTCAAATATCGACTTTTGTTGGCTTGGACCGTGAGATCTACGATACTTGCAAAATATTTCGCAAATATATGGATGAGTGCAATTCTATTATCATGTCTCTTGGGCTAGATGGCTTATTCCCAGACGTTTTCCAGAAATCTCCAGTGAAAGACATTGTTAAGCTTCAAACCATGCTCTTTGCCACTCAATACGCTTCTGCTATGGCGTGGATAGAATGTGGGGTTAAGCCGGTTGCACTTCTTGGACATAGCTTTGGAGAACTCACGGCTCTCTGTGTCTCTGGAGTGCTATCTCTTCCCGAAGCAGCAAAAATGATTATAGGACGTGCGCGTCTAGTTCGAGATCTATGGGGCAACGACAAGGGGTTTATGATGGCTATTGAGGGCGACATCCAGGAGGTTCAGCACCTTTTGAGCGAAGCAAACAAGCTGCAAGAGGGCAGTCAGAAGGTGACGATTGCATGTTATAATGGACCCCGGAGCTTTACAATTGCCGGGCCAGTTCAGTCTGCGAAAATTATTGGCGAATTATTGGCCAATACTCCAGTACTTTCATCAATGAAGTGGAAAAAGTTGAATGTTACAAATGCATATCACTCGATCCTCGTTGAACCTCTTGTGGAATGTCTCCAGCATTTAGGAAGAAGTTTAACCTTTGATGAAGGTAGAATCCCTGTTGAGAGGTGCACCGAACATCCACCTTCTTCTGGCACATTCGTTACAGAATTCATAGCACAGCATATGAGATACCCGGTATATTTCAACCACGCTGTGCAGAGGCTGTCACTCAGATATCCATCGTCCATCTGGCTTGAAGCTGGCTTTAGCTCCACAATCACAACAATGGCTGGCCGAGCTTTGAACCTACCTTCAGATTCTCATTTCCAGGGTATAAATTTCACGAGTGGCAGGGGATTGCAAAACCTTGCTGACGCTACTATGAACTTATGGAGAAACAAGCTGAATGTCACATTTTGGCCCCATCACTCCTTGCAAACCTCTGAGTATAACCAATTACTCCTCCCTCCTTATCAATTCGACAAAACGAAGCACTGGGTTACTCTTAAAAAGCCAGAAGAAGCCCTCTTTAAACTTCAGGACGAGCCTAAACCCCGAGAAGAGCAACCCCTGAGGCTTTGGGAATTTGTTGACTACAATAAAGATGACAAACGCAGCGCTCGATTCAAAATTAACACTGCTAGTACCGAATTTCATGATTATGTTGCTGGCCACACTATTGCGCATGCTGCTCCTTTATGCCCCAGTACGCTTCAGCTGGATATTGTTATTGAAGCTCTCCTAAAGCTGCAACCAGAATATCTTTCGCGCAATCTTCAACCACAACTTCAAGGGCTTGAAAATCATGTCCCAATCTGTCTTGATCTAACTCTCTGTGTCTGGCTGGATGTGGAAGCCATAGACCCAGACGCACTCATTTGGGAATTTAGGATGATCAGTGAACCAACTGGAGGTAAACAAACTCCAACGCTACATGTTTCTGGAAAGATTAGATTCAAATCCAACCAGGACATACAACTTCTCAATGATTTTGCCAGGTACGAACGCCTTTCGGGGCATGAGCGTTGTCTGTCACTCCTGAATGGGGATGATAGCGGTGATATTATACAAGGACGCAACATTTACAAAGTATTTGCCGAAGTCGTGGATTACGGCCAAATTTATCGAGGAGTCCAGAAGCTTGTTGGAAGAGGAAACGAATCAGCAGGAAGAGTGGTGAAAAAATATACCAGACAGACATGGCTTGATACTCCCTTGGCAGACTCTTTCTGTCAATGCGCCGGCATTTTTGTCAACTGTATGACCGATATATCAGAAAATGAAATGTATATCTCGACAAAAATCGAGCAATGGATTCGCTCACCTAAGCTACTCCCTGGTGATTCACGACCGGATGTTTGGAACGTCCTCGCGCTTCATCGCTGCCCATCCGATAAGGAGTTCCTTAGTGACGTATTCATATTTGATTCTCAGAATGGGGAGCTGTTAGAAATTATCCTCGGTATAGGCTACAAGAGGGTATCGAAGCGAAGTTTGGGGAAAATGCTTACCAACCTCACTCCTGGAAACCAAAAGGCTGAAGCCAAAGCCATGCAGCCACATGTGGACGCTGAAATTGATATTGAGGCTTCCTGTTCTACCCCGCCGCCAGTTAGAACAACTCTAACAGACTCTCCCGGAAATGGGCCGCCCAAGGATGTTTCTGAAGATATAAGGAATCTTCTCGCAAATGTCTCTGGACTAGAAACTCACGAAATTAGGAGTGACACTGTTCTTTCTGATATCGGCATTGACTCATTGATGGGTATGGAGCTGGCCCGGGAAATTGAGACAGTGTTCAAGTGCTCATTAGACACTGAAGTGCTTAATGCAGTAACCGACTTCAAGAGTTTGATGAAATGCATCCAGGAAGCCCTAGGCTACAAAATAGCCGATAATGTGGTTTCAAAGCCGGAAACGAATACGAGTACCATCGATATGGGTATCACAGACGCTCATACCGCCAACGGTCCACCTCATGTCAATGGCAGCCTTGCTGAAGATGAAATACTAAATATTCCACCTGACACAATTATTAATGCTTTTCAAGAATCAAAGAGGCTTACAGATGAATTTATATTCAAATATAAATTTGCAGACTATGCCGATTATGTTCTGCCCAAGCAAACCGAGCTGTGCATTGCCTATATAACTGAGGCATTCGAGAAACTGGGATGCTCACTTCAAAAGGCAAAAGAGGGTGAACGGTTGGATCGAATTCCATATCTCCAAAAACACCATAAATTTGTGAATTATCTCTACATGATGCTCGAAAAGGTGGCTCGACTGGTAGATGTGGATGAAAATGCTATAATCACTAGGACTGCCATCACGCCGCCCTTCAAACACTCTACCATTTTATTACATGACCTGATAATCAATCATCCGGATCACGCCAATGATCACAAACTTACTCATCTTATCGGGTCTAAATTGGCCGAATGTTTATCAGGCGAATGCGATGGTGTCCAGCTCATATTTGGCTCCTCAGACGGAAGAGACCTTGTTTCTGGTCTTTATGGCAAATCTCCCATAAATATGGTGTGGCTCAGGCAGATGGAAGATTTCATACACCGTCTTATACAGAAACTTCCAACTAACAAAGGGCCTCTTAAAATCTTAGAAATGGGGGCGGGGACGGGTGGTACCACAGCAATTCTTGTTCCACTCCTCTCCAGTCTTCAGATGCCAGTTGAATACACCTTCACGGACCTCTCAGCATCTTTGGTTGCAGCTGCGAGAAAGAGATTCAAAGATTACACTTTTGTGAAATTTCGTGTTCATGACATTGAGAAGGAGCCTGCTACGGAACTGCTCCAGAGCCAGCATATTGTGATAGCGGCCAACTGTGTCCATGCCACGCATAACCTGGTTAATTCAACCAAGCAGATCCACCGGGTTTTGAGGCCCGACGGATTCTTAATGATCTTGGAAATGACTGATACTCTATACTGGGTTGATGTTGTATTCGGAGTCCTGGAGGGCTGGTGGCTTTATAACGACAGAAGGAAACATGTAGTAGCACATCAATCCATCTGGGAGAAGTCCATGCACTTGGCTGGATACGGCCATGTGGACTGGACTACGGGGGCTCGCCCTGAAACAAGTATCCAACGACTTATCATTGCTTTGACTTCTGGACCCAGGTATGACCGCTTGCCGATGACCCCAAACAATGCTCCGAGTCAAGAAACTGACTTTGTGGCTCGGCAGGCCATAGTCGATAAATATACGCGCGAATATTCAACCTCATTTCCTGCACCCGGGACAGCCACTGAACCAATACTTCCGGAAGCGCTGCAAGGACATAGTGTACTGGTTACAGGAGCAACTGGAAGCCTAGGATCTCACCTTGTTGCTCACTTTGCACGACTTCCCACAGTCAGAGAAGTTGTGTGCCTAAACCGACGAAACAGCGTGGATGCACTATTGCGTCAGGTTCAGTCACTAGAGGGAAAGGGTATCTTCCTGAATGAGAAATCTATGTCAAAACTGAAAGTAATGGCAACCCAGGGAGAGAAAGAGATGCTGGGGCTGCAAGATTCAGAGTACCAGTACTTGGTGCACTCGGTTACCCATATTGTTCATGGAGCATGGCCAATGAGCATAAAGCGGCCAATCAAGGGATTTGAATCACAATTCCAGTTTATGAGGAATTTGATTGATCTGGCTGTTGAAATATCAAACTTGAAGAGTGTGACTCCTGGGTTCCAATTTATATCATCCATCGCAACTGTTGGTTACCATCCCTTGAAGACTAATAAGGTTCTAGTGCCAGAGGAAAGAGTGGAAGTCGACTCAGTGCTTCCGAGTGGTTATGGCGATGCCAAATTGGTATGTGAGAAGATTATGGAGCAAACACTTCATAAACTGCCCGGCAGATTCCGACCCATGTCTGTTCGTATAGGGCAAATTTCGGGATCTAGAAAGAGTGGATATTGGAATCCGGTAGAGCATTTTTCATTCCTCGTCAAGTCGTCACAGACACTTCGGACGCTGCCTGATCTTAAAGGGGTGAGTTATTGATTGAAGGGATACCTTTGGGCTTCAAATATGAATGTATACTAATAAAATACTAGGAATTATCCTGGCTCCCTGTTGATGAAGTTGCAGCGGCACTTGGCGACCTCCTCTTATCGGACACCATGCCATCACCTATTTACCACATCGAAAATCCCATACGGCAGCCGTGGAGCGAGATAATTTGCCTTCTGGCTGATACATTAGATATCCCACGTGCTTCCATTGTTCCATTTGACGTGTGGATGCGCCGAGTTCATCATTTTACTGGTTCAACCGAGTCAAATAACCCGGCCAAAATGTTACTAGAATTTTTCAAAGATCATTTCAGGCGGATGTCCTGTGGTGGCCTAATTTTGGATATTAACAATAGCAGAAAAGATTCCCAAACTTTGGCAAATGCTCAACCTATCGATCCAGCCCTTGTTGCGAAATATATAGCGCAATGGAAAGACTCTGGATTTCTCCGTTGACATACCCCCTATTTACTTGATTTTTATCTCGCGGTGAAGGACAGTTACGGATATCATTCAATCCTTTGGAAATACGGTGGCTCTTTACTTTTATCTGAGTTCCATTAGTTACAGTCTTACAATTAGTTATTATTTCTAACGTCCATAGTTATGGGACTCTACTCTAGTCCAGTATCGGTTTATATGAACCATGCCGCGATATTTGGATAGGCTTTAGCCTCTAGATTGCTAATGGGCTTACTTCTAGAACGGCTACGGCTACGAATCCATTACCCTTTCACCCCTTCAATGTATATATTTAACACCTCACTATCAACCTATGGATTCAATAACTAAGTGCCCGTACACATAATGAATAGGGAACGATATAGGCAATACATTAAACCTGATACGATGACAATGATTATAGGGGCATGCTAACAGGAGGTCAGTAGATATAGCCAATGGCCCCTAGGAGTGTATACATAGAAACAGTATGGATAGACATGTCCATATAAATTGAGCAGAATAACGTAAACGCATATTACCCTCATGACATACAACTTCCATCCCTGAGTAACGATATTCAAGGGGCCAGAATTGCAACCCTACTAGGCGGACAGTAACCAATATAGCCACGGGCATGCTAGAAGTAGCCCAAATTTACTTAAGTTGATGGACAAGATGCTTAACGCCAAGCACGGTTCCGTTTTTGTCTAGCTCAAAGGCTGTGTAATGCTTTCGCTGGTCGGCGTCGCTGGTGTGTTCTGATTCTCTATATTGTCAATTAGTATATATACCATATAAAGCGCTAGAGGGGCATACTTCATAGCAACCCTGGCCATCTGCGGGTTAAAAGTATGAAGGTTCTCTTGGACGACATTGACGAAATCGGCCTCGGTATAGATATATATGAAGTTTTTAGCGCCGTATATATGGATGCAAGCTGCCTAAGCTACATCCTGACAGTTAGTTAGTTGGTGAGCTAACTTAGTTGTTGAATATTCTTCTGCGTCATGAGAAAACCAAAACATCTCACGGCGGTAAGCATCCAGTGCAGATTCACCCATGTCTCGACCACGGATCTTGTCGACCTTCTTTCATGCCGACAGGACGCTTCGAAGCTGTATACTTACTCCAAGCCTCTACCGCCATCAAACTTAAAACTAACAGGCAACAAACCCGCTTCACAAGTACGCCGGCTTCTCCAGCAGCCAGAATGGACAAGACAATCCCCACTGGCACAGAATTGATAGGCCAATCTGGTCGTCGCTATACAATCGAAAGAGTTCTCCAGGCCAAAGAGAACTCGCCTTTGAATGTTTATCTCGCTAAATGTTTACATGTCTTGAAGCATCCATCATTTCGTGAAGCTAACTCTTGTTTGTTTGATAGGTCTGAAAAGGAGGATTTTGTCCTTAAAAATGTCCCCGATTTCGAGTACCTTCAGAAAGTCTATCAAAAAGTAGATGGCTGCTCTTACCTCCGCCTACCACAAGATTCAATGGCCGAGCGCTCGATGTTTGTTTATAGATACCTGACGACCGACTTTTTGAATCTACCTGTCAAAAAAGAATTACCATTAGACATAACCAAGCGAGTTCTAAGAGATGCGTTGCAGGGTCTTGCTGCATTGCATGATAATAACATAATGCATAACGGTATTCCATCCTGTCATTGATCTCTAAACGATTAAGCTAACCTTTACAGATATCAAGGCAAACAACATCTTGGTGGATCAAAAAGACGATGGCTCTATCACGGATGTCCGACTAGGCGACCTTGAAGATGCCGCAATTGTGCCGCCAGGCTGTGGGATATCAGGGAGACAGTTGGGCAATTGGATGTGGCGTAGTCCAGAAGCTCACGCCGAGGGTCCCATGACCTCGCCCACTGATATCTTCTCATTTGCAGTCGTGGTAAATATATGTGTCCCCTTATAGTAGCTGTGTGCCTTCGTTAATATGAATTAGTGCATATACGCCGTCCACAGACGTCTTATCTTTTCAGTTGACGAGAGTGAACTTGGTGCTGGAGAGGAGATATTAGCCCATGTTATTGAACGGCAGATATCATACTTTGCAGATGAAGATAGCATCCAGGAGTTTCTAGAACTGATCAGAGAGAGTCCCTGGGCTGAGGTCTTCAAGATCACCCGTGATGGTTTCAACAAGGAGAACCCTCGAAAGCCATTTGCTCTGTGGAAAGGCGTGGATCCAGCGTTCAAGGACCTAATCTGTCGAATGACACATTTCAACCCAGGGAAGAGAATAATAGCGCGTGGGGCACTAGAACACGAGTTGTTCAAGGGAATATAGACGATCTCTTCTTGGAAGCCGGGAACCGCTGCCAAAGCCTCCACCAGCAACGTTAGCTCTCCGTGCACTTCTTAACACCGACAGGGAGGGTTGGGATGGTTAAATACGTAGTTAATTATTCAATAAACAAACTGTGGGCTCGGTTTAAGGTAAATAACGAAATCTCTAAATTGGCCGGACTGGTATATTGGAGTGATGGGCTTTCTCGAGACACCCAGACCTGATAGGACGTCATCGAGGATCAGCTTAGTCATCAATCAAAAAGCGGCGGGACTTTGGTTCCTAATTTAGGAAGCTTCTCAAAAACAACTTCGAAATAAGAAAGAGAAGAAGAAGAAACCAACAACTGCTGGGAAGAACAGACAACGAAAACAGCTGTTGAAAGGCACTCTCACCTACCGTTCAGATACACAAACCTCCCATCATGTCGCGTCATCACCCAGATCTCGTTATGTGCAGAAAGCAAACCGGCATTGCTATCGGGCGCCTGTGCGACAAATGTGACGGCAAATGTCCCGTCTGCGACTCCTATGTGCGGCCTACGACTTTGGTGCGCGTGTGCGATGAATGCTCCTTTGGCAACTTCCAGAACAAATGCATTGTATGTGGCGGGGAAGGGATCAGTGACGCGTTCTACTGTTTCGAATGTACCAGACTGGAGAAGGATAGGGATGGGTGTCCGAAGATTATCAACCTGGGCAGCTCGAGGACCGATTTGTTCTTCCAACGGAAACAACATCGTGCTGGGGCAGGCGGCGGTGGGGGTGCGATAGTTTGATACGATTGGAGGCAGCCGAATTGCGCCTGGCTGCTAACCACGAGGCCGAAAATTCTACGAGCACTTCACTGGGAACGCTGTGTCCAAATATCTATGCTATGTCTGGGCTGGTAGTTAACGCTATCGAAAGCTACCCCTTCATGATACAGCCAACTGTGTCCGTCTGGGTCTTCTACTCTTTTAATAGAAAAGAAAGAACCGAAACATACCTACCTCTTACCCGGTCTCTTTGGTCTGGCGAATGCTTTCTTGACCTCTTGGACAGGCGGGCTTATCTCCTCCTGCAGTCTATCGGGTGTGATTTCATCTGCACCGGATGCCTCGATCTATATTGGTTTAACGGAAATCGCCCACATCAGCGTCTTACTTTTCGAATATGGCCATTCCCGCTTACTATTGGAATCTAATACGAGGGAAGAATAGGGAACATACCTTATGATTGACAGAGACGCCGTTTCGCGTTGCCCACACCAACAATCCTGCACGGCTACTAGCGTGCAACATGCGCTGCTTGATGGAGGAACCGGAAGGACATGTGTAAATGAAGATCAACTCGGAGGAGCCGGGATGGCGATAGAAGGTGTACTGTGGTTCTGAGGCTGGGATGTGCCCTGATAGAGATTCTGGCGCAACGCTAGACTCTGTTCCCACTAGGTTCAACGTCTCTGTTTTCACATCAATAGCCTGTCATGTATATTGTTAGACTCAATTGGAGAAAATATACAACCATTTGCAAGCTCGATGTGGAAGAAATGCCTTACCAAGAAGACGGCGGCCCCATCTTGGCCCAGGATCTGTAACGCTTCTTCGGCGCCATCTCCAGTTTTAAATAGGGTACTGCTCTCAGAAGCTCCAGCTCCGGATAGCTGGCCACCCTTATTTCCATCCGAACTAACAGTTCCCCCAATACCGATATCCATCCTGCGCTTCCACATGTCTCTTGCATCATTCTCACCTCTTTTAACAGCGTTCAGTTCCCTTTCTTGTTCTCCCATGAGCTCATCTCGTCTGTCATCACCACCCGCACCACCTGCACCACTCTTAGCATTCAAGTCCAGTTCCCTCTCTTTCCATTCCTCCTCATCAAGCACCTCTTCGACATCTGTAGCGAATATATTTTCCGCAAAGTTCTCTGATCCCAGTTCGCGAATGAGTGCAGCTCGAGTGCTTGCAAAAAGTGTCTTGGAGCGTACGGGGCTGTTTGAGGGAACGAACGAGAGGGCTATCAAGCCTGTTTCTGCGTGCTCCTGCGACCGCCTGAGCAGGAGGTAGATAGGAGTCTTGGGCTGTAGATGGTCCGCGAGGGACGGCAACGAGGCAAAGAACTGGCGGTTATCATCACCGTCGCTGCTGCTTCCATGCGAGAAAGAAATGGGTTGCAGGGGAACAAGCTGCTCGTCGGTGATTGTGATGGGCAGGCAGAAGAGCGAGGGGTTAGATATGAAGCCCGCAAAGGCGTCATGGACCTCCGTAGAAACTATTAAGAGTGTTAGCGCCGCATAAATCATCAAGAACGAGCATCCTACCTGATATGCCTGACTGCATCTTGATATAATGGCTACTCGGAGCTGGTGGTGGAAGTTGTGCTGGAGTTGCGTCTTCTTCCCCATGCGGCTCACCTGCAAGCTGAGGTCGGTCAAACTGATAACTAAGAGCCACCCAGCAAAACCTCCCCCACCGCTCGCCTCCGTTTTAACTAATGTCAACAACACGTCTATAAGACCAACACGCCGACTTCCAACTACGAAGTACCCTTGAGGTATACTTGAAAAGGCTCAAGTTTAATATGTGTATATAATATATATAACATATCTATATGCAACCTTTTGAACGGCCGCCTTTTGATGCACCAAATCCAGACCCGGAAATCTATATACTACTAGTCTGTCTCAACATCGCCAAACCGTCCCACTGCAACGCATCAAACAGAGGGGGAAAACAACATAAATAAGGAGAAAGAAAAAAAAGATAATACGCGTACATTGGGCCCTAACGAGCGCAGGGATGGAAACAGAACAATACCCAGGAGATGAAAAAGCCAATATGAAGCCTGGTTTGATCGCTTTGAGCAAGACATGGATATCACAGAGCGCGTTTATGTGTCAGTTCATGGAAGCAGAAGCTCGTTTTTTAAAACAAGGAGGGTCGGAAGAGCGATGGGCTGCGGTTTTGAGGATTATGGGATGGATTTCCGCTCCTGAGGAGGTCTTCGTCGTTTATTCTTCATACTTTCCTCCCATGATGGACCAGCTGCTCTTCTCCAGCTTCTCCCTAAGGAACTCGTACACAGTGAAGGTGACGGCCTGTCCGGGGGCGACTCTCATGACTCGGGGAGTGATACCCTTGTAGAAAGCTCTGGCACCTTCTTGTTTGAACATCTCCTTTGATATGGCTGTGATGCGGGAGATGGCGGACTGTCCAGGCTCTCCGGGCGTCTTCTGCAGTCTGGTCTTGATAGTGTCAATCGGGGCATTGGAAAACGGACCCATGGCACCGGAAATAAGACCGATGCACATCGTCTGGTAGGATGGCAGTTCGGTGTACTGGGGTTGCCAATCCTTGAGGAGCTTTTTCAGTTCGGAGTAGGCAGTGAAGTTGGCTGCCTGGTTTGTTCCCTGACGGAGAGCGGTCAACGAGACACCGCGGTATATGGCACCGACACCTTCTTCTCTTATCACGGTGAACAAGGCGTGTGGTGCACTCCGGTATTTTGGCTTATCGAGCGGATCTGCCAGACTGTGACTCTGAGCCTGCAAGCGAATCTTTATAACCTCCATGGGTGTGACGACGGCCACAGCTTCGGTTACACCAGCAGCCAGACCAGCTAAAAACAGCCAATTGTGTCAGTGTTGAACGGAGTCTACTCCTGAAGGGGCCATGGAGCTTGTTGCAATTGCTCCAGTCTATGGACTTACCAAGCATATTAGCGGAACTCGAGAGTTTTCCAGTCTCGGGATTTGTTAGGTACTGCTTATAATAGCCATACGAAGTGAATCGGATAGCCATCTTTGGGATGATTCCACTGAGAACAGCTCCTAGACCTTTATACAGTCCCAAAGCAGTCTCTCGCCGCACAATCTCTTGTCCAGTCGCAAGAAAACCACGAGCTTTGACCTGAAGGGCGCAATTAGCACCAAGCTTTATCGCGGTGCATAGTATGATCAACAGTCAGCCAACTTACCCCCGGAGCTCGTGCTCGCTTCGAAAGCTGCATTCGTACTTTGATGGTATCTACGCATTTCCGTCAGATAAGAATCAAGCAACAACAGAGTGAGAAACTTGGACACTGTGACAACTTACCGAGCGGATGGCACACGAGAGCTTCCATCATTCCAGCACCACCACCGGCTATCAAATTCATGAATCAGACATGTCCATTCTGTGCATCTTCAACCACCCAGCCTCAGCCGAGCGCATTCATTGCTCACCGATCAGGTTAACCGCCGCCGTGGCCGGCTGTTGCTTTTTATCTTTCGAAGCCATTGCAGAATGCTGTGAGGGAGACGATAGTAACTGGAAATCTGATCGACTGGACTCGATTGAGTATATAGAGAAGCAAGTCGAAAGAAAACAATGAGTCAAGAAGTGAATTGAATCGAAAGGGACGAGACGGAGTAGAAAAGGGACCAGCAAGGTCTCGCAAAAGAATGCCGAGGATCTCTCTCCCATGCGGGTCTGCTTGCCCGGCGTGAGGAACGGGCAAGGGACCCCACGACAAGGGTCACGGGCAAAGTACGCAGGTTGTGAAGAGAGTTTACATATGAGACGAGATGACTGGGATATATTAATCTTCTTCATTTTACTACTGGTCAAGCGTGCCAGCAAGGTGGAGCGGAGGAGAGCTTGGGGCAAGAACTGTATAGCGGAAAGCTCCCCGCATCACCACTGTTACAATACACATACGACTGACAGCGAGAACAGATACGGAGTGAGAAAGAAAGAAGGGGTATGAGAGGCCGCAGGGGATAGCAAGGGACGGCTCAAGCAAAAGAGAAACTAAGCGATTATAAATGCCTGGCCTGCAGCCAGTTCCAGAGCGGCCATGCGATCATTTTCTTCCTCCCTCCCCCCTTATCGATAAAAAAAATGCCTGGAGCTAGTTAGGTAACTATTTCGGGGCAAGAACCGGGTATTTCTCAGGCACATCTGCAGCGTGCTAGCTGTATATCAGCTCCCATTCCCTCCCTCCATCACTATGAGCTTCTAGTGTATGGACTCCCTTCCGAGGCTCAAGCCATGGCTGTCGTCATAGCATGCAATCTTGATATCAACACCCAGCGCAGGTGACACTCACATGCCGGCTCTTTGGCGGCGCTCCTTGCTGCGAGCCTCCTCGCCAAATGCCGGCGGCAAGTCGGAGGACTTGTCTCCGTCGCCAAAGAAGAGCCGAGGTTCGCCCTCGCTGGCCGCAGCCGGAAGAACTTTCTCCGTTGCCGAGAGCCAAGACTGAAGGAACAAATCGGAACTAGGCTTAGGTAAGCTCCGGTTTTACCCCTTCTTGCTCCCTCCAGAGCTTCTTTCTAAGAACTTGTTTATAGAGACGGCAGGAAAGAATAGGATGGCCATGGCAAAAGGACATTCCTTACGCTCGTTGGTTCATGTCAAGCGAGGGGCGGGCTTCAGCTTCCAGCGATAATCTGGCCTCCTCTTCACACTCGGCGCTTTCCACGCACTAAGAATATCCTTTGGTTGTTACATACTTAGTGAAACGCAGATATATTTGCAAGTCAGTCGGCATGTTTCGGCGATGATCGTCTTTCGGCCGGCTTGCCCGACAGCAACCCGATCTTCAGGGAAATTTGAACTAGATGATGACATACAGGGATCTGTTGGGCATCCTTCTGCCAACGCGAGACCAACAGCCTTGCAACGGAGAAACCCATCTTGTGCAGTCTGCCCCAAATTTTTACAACAAATATTGTTACGTGGGCCTCAAGAGGACCAGTTGCTTCCTTTTGAAGTGTTGAGGGGTTCGTGCCATTGGGATAAAACTATACCTTGAGTCTGCTAATACGTTGGCAGAATACGGGTAAGATACGGTACAGCCAGTATTAAGCGCGCGCGCATCCTTGCAATAAGCAAAAATAAGAAAAAAAAATATAGCGGTTCTTCATCACTGAGAGAAGGGTATTCTCGGCATTAAAAGTCAGAGAAGCAACCACCAAAAATTTGGCTTAGGGGGGCTTCTCCGCGTTCAAAGTTGATGCCCTAATTAATAGTTTCTGGATCCAGGCTTGAAGGGTGTACGCTCAGGTCACACACTTCCTCAGTTGTTCCAAAGACCCTGAGCTTGTTTATGTACTTGTCCCAAAAGTCGTCTTCAATCCGCGGAAGAAGCTTTCCTTCGATTACTTTCTGCTCAAGAAGACTGTCTTGCTCGGAAGGGTCCACAGAATTAGCGCTGCTTTCTTCATTATCCATGTCCAACAGGAGGTCAAATTTGGTTGCATGGCCATACACGAGCTTTTGCTGCGTCGTGTCTGCTGTCTTCTCCTGCTCATCTGGTTCGGTCGATAAATCCATCAGGTCAATCTCGGTAGCGTCCCCATTGGCTCGATTGACAAGTGCCTCTCGCGAACTACTTGTTTCATAGAGCTTCACTGCAAGCTTGAGGAAAATCTGGGCTGTCATAAGGCTGTCATACCCCGCTTCGTGCACTGGGGTACTGACGGTGTATGAAGAGTGATCTGGGTGGGTTTCTATACCATTGGCACAAAATGTTAGTTTCCGAGGAGAAAGAAGTAGGTGCATAGAGTGAAACAAAATACCAAATTTCGGCACCGCCCTTGAACCCAGGTTTTCCATGAGTGTTGACAGGGCTGAGGATGCATCTCGTAACACTCCACCGATAGTTGCCATGTACTTCGTATCGATGACCAAAGGGAACAGCTCATTAATTGTTTGCTGGAAATCCTCTACACGACTAGGCAGGTCGCCAATGAAGCATTTGTAAAAGTTGACAAGGTCTGTGAACAGATTGTGTCCAACTAAAACAGGAGGTCCTGACCTCAGCTTTTCCCGGAGAGCCTCACTTTCCTTTGTGAGTTTACTTCCTTCAGCTGCGGTGAATATGCCGTCAGGCCTCCAGAGGAGTCTCAAATCGAGCTTTGAAAGCTCGCTCCCCATCATAGCTTCGATGACCCAGCTGAAACCCTTCTGGCCAGCTATGTTGCAACGAGTGCGCTGGAGCTTCTTTTGGAGAAAAACATTCTCCCGCATCTTGTCATAGGGGAGTATCTGAATGAAAGATTTCTTGCCTATGCTCACATAGCCTGGGTACTCACTTTGGACGATCTGGTGGACGAGCCGCTTCTGGTAGTTATCCAGTTCCAGTGGGAGTTTGTAAGCCGCGGTCATACCAGCGGGCTTTGGTATATTCAGATAGGCTTCCTAATATCGTAGGTGAGTTTGGAATCTATATATTTGGGTTCTCTCTAAGAGCGATTGCACTCACTTTTGGGGCCGGTTTCTCGATCCACTCCCTGATACTATGCCGGACTTGTCGAATGAATTGCGCATGATCCGGAGCCAATGTATCGAAGTTAATCAGGGACCTCGACGACTTGTCCTTGTCTTTACGTGCTCGGTCCATTGCATCCTGTTCCTCTTTCATCGAGATATAGGGAACTCCGTCTGTAAATATCGACTCTACCCGAAATCCATGGCTCATCAGGAAGGCCAGAGCTAAAGAAAACGACGATGTCTCTTAGTATTGTCTAATACCTAGACGTGGTGGGCGAGAACTGGAACTGACCGCTGCTCTGAAAGGACCATTTTCTCTCCACACCAAGTCTTGGGTCCAGGATTGGGCTGAGAGGGATGTTATATGGCCGCAACGAATAGGTATCTATATTGACTTAGTCCACACAGCTGCATCTCGTAATTCTCATTCAGGTATCTCCAACCATTTTGACTATCCTCAACCACCAGTGTAAGGCCAACCTGGAGGATTTGATACTCCTCTGCAGCCTGCTTTACTTCTTCGTACCGCTTCTGCAGGCTCAGATCACCGTCAACATAGGCCGAAGCAGGCCGTAGCTTCTGGTTAAAAATTCCTGAGAATTCGAAGTCGAGGGCAACGAAGGAACAGTCTCCTATATCCTGCAGCATCCGTGGCAGAAGCCGGGAGAAGTTATTCCTTGTAACCTCCATGCTTGCCTTTATGCTTCATCTGCCAACCGTCAAATATAAGAGGAGAAGGAAAGAAAGGAGGAAATAACTCCTGAAGGAACAGAGGAAGACTACTGATGTCTGACCAAAAGATATTCACATTCATGTAGTGAGTGAGCTCTATATAAAAAAAGAAAGAAAAGACAGCGGCAATGATAGACACGACGCCTGGTGCTGTCCCATCCTGCTTCCTTCTGCTTTCTCTGTGGCAAGCAGTAAGTTAGCTAACTAACTAGTTAGTTAACTAGTGAGTTGCCAGGCTACAGCTCTTCACTATGTCTAGTATCTAAGAGCTGTCACAGCCAGGGTGTACAGAGTAGATAAAGCACAAACATCCTGAAACTCCCTTGCTCAACATCAGACGGAAGGAAACAAACTGCTGTGATTGTTCAAAAGCTTTTTCGGTGTCAATAAACGAAGCTAAAAAAAAAAAAAAAAAAAAAAAAAAAGGGCTCGAGAACTCGAAAGATTGGGGTCTCGTGATCGCAGCATCGAGCCGAGGATGTTTCCCTTTTCGGCGATCGCAAGCTTTACGTCTTTGCAACGAAAAGACTCGAGAAAGCGACCAGCAACAGGCCGACTTCTCCAGCTCCATCACATCTTAACAGCGTTTGCAGTTAATATACAGAATTTGTTTGTTTTACGCTTGATCGCGGGAAAGCTTCATCATGGCCGAAGAAGCTCAATCATACATTTCTTCCTCGACATCATCCCCCATGTCTAGCAAGCAAATATCACAAGTATACAAGCAGGCTTCACAGCTCTTCCTCACTCGCAGGCTCCAAGAGTCTCTCTCGCTACTTACACCGATCATTACACCGTCGAGAAGCCAGGAAAATGGGCTGCAGAGCACGGAGGGCGGCGGGACTTCAACATCACTCGCACCAATTGCAACAGCATCCGCAAACCTGAAGATCAAGATATGGAACCTATACATCACAATACTAAGTGCCATTGTTGACCTTGGGCCTGAGGAAGGGAGAGAACAGTTTGGCCAAAAGGAATGGAAAGCTATTGCAACCAAGGTTAGAGAAGGCGAGGTTTGGGAGACGGTGGTGAGCCTAGGGTACCAAGGAAGAGAAGGATCTGTTGACGCCGACATTGTCTACAACCTGTAAGGCAACTGTTCCCTGCTAGCCTTGCTTCATGTAATTGTTTTTAACTATGTATCTCCAGGGCTACTCTTCTCTTGAACCATTCGGCGTCCCAGAAATTAAATCAAGAACGACTTGAGACGTACCTATCCTCTTACGGCCAGCCGGATCTAGATGTCTCCGCGCACCTGCAGCACCTGTCTTCTGGTAAACGCAAGCAGCGGATGGCCTCTGCTGCAGGAACAGATACTCCAAAGGACCTGGCGGTACGAGTCAAGCTGCTAGAGATGTTTACATTACACGTTCTTCCTCGAAACGAGGAATGGGAATATGCCCGGGAGTTTATCAATCTCAGCGAAGCCTTGGATGACGATAGGAAGGAGGCATTCATTCAGACCTTGGATAATCTACTGGAAGAAAAGGAGAAGGGAGTACAACGGGCCACTGAGATACAACAAGAGAAAGAAGAAGAGCTTGAGCGACGGCGGAAACAGCGAGAAGACGAAGAAAGACAACGAGCTGAAGAAGAGAAGAAGAAACAGGAGCGGGAACACAAGCAGAAACAACAACAAGAAACATCGGGCGGGAAGTCGATGAGCAACCACAAAAGATCAAGCAGTGAAGTGGACTACGGGATCGAAAAATCGAATCCAAATTCTCCTATGAAATCTCGAGTTGTTAAACCAGCATTAAAGAAAACCCAGCCACCAGAACCATCTTCGGCCAAAGAAACGAAGAAGAGCACCACCGGGAAACCGCAACCCCTTGTACTTGCACGTATGGAAGTACTAGCGAAGCTACTTGTCACCTTTATGAAGAACCTATCTCGATCACTCGTCTCGAACCCACTATCATACTTGAAATCCCTTCTTGTCGTTTTGGGCGTCCTCATGGCGTTGGGAAGAACGGATGTTCGAAACCGCATTCGTCAAGTCACCGGAGCCGGCTGGCAGAAGGTCAGGGGTACTATTGGAATGGGCGTTAAGGTCAGCTATATCTAAGGGTCATACTATACTACGGTTATTTATTCAGTTCATATGCCATTTTACTACTATATATCCCCTTTTTTTGTTCTTGAGCCCCGGAATTGAGCTTGAATACATACTTATAAGATGACGAACGTGCATATACATCTGATTTTATAATGTTGCTAGTCTAGGCTATAGGCAGTGAATCTATCCGATTTCCCTTCTCTACCGTTATAAATCATAAACCGCCACAGTAATATTGAGGAGAAATAAATGTCATTAATCAAGTTGTGAGTTACAAAAACCATCAGCTTGAACTTCAAAAACGTCAAATCCTACATAGAGTACCATGGTAGTTAGGCCTTGTTTGTCTCGCAGCTCTTATGGAAGAACAAGTCTCCAGCATCTTGCTTCCTCAGCTGCCTGACTGCACAAAACAACACCACAAAAATACCCAGCTACTTTCGCTTCCTCATCGCCGTCTACATCTCAGGGGAAAAAGAAGGTATATTTCCTCTGCTTCCATTCTGGCATAGCGGAATGCTTGGTAGGAAGCATTCTTGGTCTATAACTCCTCTATCCGTGAGAAGAATAGATAATGGGAGAAAAAGTGTACTTTACTGTTGCTGACGGGAGTTATGGGGCGGTATATATATCGATAATCTAGCCCGTATTTCTGGAAATAGCTGTAGATATCCGCTCACCGACATAGTGGAAGAAAACTCATAAAGCAGTAACTCATAATAGCGCGTATGGTACAGAGTGCATTCGATTCACCCAGGGTAAATTATAGTATAATAACCTTATAAATTATCTCATGGAAGCCTTTACTTCACAACCCAGGATCAGATTTCATCTTTATTAATTGCGCCTTGCTATAAAGAAACTTGAGTAGTCCGTCCGAAAGGTGGTCCAGATTTGGATCTCGCATTTACTCCGCCGTCGAGTCTACTGAGCACCATGTTAGTTATTGTTAGTTATCATTATAATATGAACCTAGCGGAGAATATATATATTAAAGCTGCTACCGTCTCTCACTAGCCTGGATTTCAACGAGATCGAGCAGTGTTTTCTGTTTGCAGGGTCTATCTAACTGTACACCTTGTAAGAATGAAGGTACCGCTAGCGAAAAAAAGACTGCAACTTGTTAAGTCATTCTAGGCACTAATATAATGGTCAAATACTTGTAGGAGATTAAGCAATTGATGATAAGGAAAGTGCCGTGAGATTGAAGGTGAAGAGGAAGGAGAAGAAGAAAATTTGAAGTCGAACGTCGAAGAAAAATATGAGGAGGTGTGCCACGTGACAGTTGACACTAGCGCGCCAAGCCCTGAGATGCGCTCTGGATGATTTTTCTATCTCAAGCAGAAAAGACGAAGCAAGCAAACTCTTTTTGAACAAGGAGAAACAAGAGGCATTGCGCTGCTGCATAGCTACAGGAAGGGGAGATGGCAGCAGGCAATAATGGAGCAAGGCAGATAGCCTCGCTTCTCAGTATGTTCACCCGTTATAATGCCCTGCTGGCAAGTCATTGACAAGTCTTTTAGGATCAAATTCCAGGCTGGATTCAGGCGTTTGCCGAAATTGCCAGGAGGCATTGGGCCGTCGAAGCTTTGCTACAGCAACTGTGTCTTCAGACACTGCTTCACCGAGCAGTGCCATACCGCCGGCCGCGGCTGCAGATGCTGTCCAAAACTTCCCATATAGGATCAAAGCTGGAATCATCCTCTCGCGTGCACCCCGTATCACACGAGACCTCACTCCTTTTGAAAAGTCATTCTATTTCTACCAGCGTCGACTGAACGAGCGTCTTGCTCTTCCTTTCACACGATACTTCTACTTTAAGCGCGGAACTCCAACGGACGAAGAATGGAAACGCAAATTTAAAGACCGCCAGACACCCGCAAGAGATATAGGAAAATATAACGCCTATTCTGAAACGGCTTGGAACGATGAACTGCTAGTTGGTGCAACCGAGTCCGAACCACAGAACCAGGTGGATGCTCTTGTGCGCGATGCAGAAGGATTTTCCCTTTCAGAATCAGACGGGGACGCGATACACGATGAAGTGCCAAAACCGCTACCAAGGATCACGGAGGCAGATAAAAGCGGTGATGAGAAGAGCTTAGATCGAGCTTTGCAACGTACGCTGTACTTGTTGGTTAAGGCCAAACAGGGTTACTGGAAGTTCCCTAGCGTCGTCTTAAACGCTAAGGAAAACATTCGAGCGGTAAGTTACTATTGAAAAGTGACATTACTCTTTCTTAGTGGAGACCACAAAGTGAAGTCTAACTCTTAAGTCAATAGGGAGCTGAACGTAGCCTCTTGCAATCTGCTGGTCCCAACATGAACGTCTGGACTGTTGGCTATCACCCTATTAGCCATTATGTCCAAAACTTTACCAAGCCGATTATTGATCCAGCGACCGGGGCGGAACTCAAAGGCGAGAAAACTTTCTTTCTCAAGGGCAGGATCCTAGCGGGTCAGGCCAATATCGCAGAGAATATGCAGGATGTTATTGACTTCAAATGGCTCTCCAAAGAGGAAATCCAGAAACACGTGATGCTACCATATTGGAGTGCGATTAAGAATGCGCTGCCAGAGAGGTGATGCCATTTCGTTTGCATATTTTACTCCCATGGCGGGCGGTGTTGCACCCCTAACACCCATGCTTCCATACTTTTCGATTTTTGCTTGCATTTACACGATAAGGAGAACCTTGGTTTATCATGCACATTGGTAATCATTTGTCCTTCCTAAACCCGATGTACTTTTAGATATGTAAAGGACTTTCATATATTTGTCAATGTTTACGTTTATTTTATAATATATATCAAACTTTTTGTTCAAGTCAAGGCGCCAGTTAACCATAAGACCGTTCAAACGCCATTAACACCATTAACACCATTCCTTTCGTTTGAGGTACTTGCCACGAGTTTACCAAGAGATATCAAATTGAATTATTTCGAGTTGTATTTTTGACCCTGAACAATTGGTTGGGCTTTTGATGCACCAGACGCATTCAAGCTCTTGCCACACATTGCGCATACTAGACACACGTTCAATGTCAGTCCTACAACAAAGCCATGTCATGGATGCAACAGCAAACAAACTAAAAGGTAGACATAACAGGGAAGGGAACTTACACTGTTTCCGATAGCTGCACGTCTGGCAGTATTTCCATCCCTGGCTTGTTTTCGAGCTGCAGCTCTCACAAGAACTTGAATACGCAGCGTACGGATTCTGGGCTTTCTTACTGAGGAGCTTATTCTATCTTTAGAGTCAGTATCCAGTTTCTCGTTTTGACAAGATTTGCAAGCTAGCTGATGTGTTGAACAAGAATTGTTAAAATAAAGGTAATAACCTCTTTAAAGGGAACAGGGGGAGGTCAGAGAGAGGACGGGTGAGGCAATAGAAATGACAAGGTTCCGCGCGTCCATTAAACCAAGAAAATATAACGGTGAAAAGTGACCTCAGGGGCCCAGAGACCTGGTATATAATCGGAAATGCCGTCTCTGCGTACGTAGATATCACGAAGTATGTTTTTGCTTATGAAAAACCTTCGGCATACAAAAGAGAGAGCGTGTTGACAAAAACAAAAACAGTAGGAAGCATACGTATCATACCTTTGAGACACCAGTATTCCCTAGAGTCGCCGATGACTTTTTACTATCGCCACCACGGGTGCCACCGCCGCCGGCGGAAGAGCCTAGGTGAGATCCATAATACATCTCGCTCTTCTTCTTGACTGCCGGCGTGACCAGCTCCGTTTTCGCGACCTTCTTTTGGCACTTTGAGCAGACCATCTTTTCCTTGTCGGAAGAAAGCGGAGGATCGACCTCGGCCTCGCTCTTTTTCTATGACGAATTAAGGCAACACCCCAGAGACAGGAAGCAACACGCGCCAGAGGAAGATGGGAAAAGAGGACAAGAAATGTCTGATGTCGTTGAATGTGACTGACTGCGCCACAACTTCTATGGAGCCATGGGATCACGTGAGTGGCTAGTGTGCTGTAGGGCTGACCGGGGTTCGGGTGGCTCGTGCTCGAGACTCTTCTGACGTCCGACCTTCAACTCCGAAGGATGGGCCTGCGTCCTCGATAGGGAGTAAAGGTCTGCAAAGCCTGCAAAGCCTGCAAAGCCGAACTGTTGCCGAGGATCCGTTTGAAGTGGGCTCTGTTATGGCCGCGAGGTCGCATTCTACCCCTCTTCTCCTGCCGCACGCATCCAATCCTGGTCTTACAGACTCCCTCTAAGTGCAGGATGCGGGTTCATGGTGAGCACCAATACCCACCATTGCATTGGTGACACTTGTTCAAAAGTCAATTGAGCAAACGCAGTTCTATGATACAACACTCCATCATTATTCATCACGATACTCAGCCTTGTCCACGGTCATAGCGACCCTGTTTTCGCCAGCCTGTCTCGCTCTCTCCGTTTTACTAGAAAAGTTTGGCGGCCTGACAGCGGGTTCGGGCCGCGCTAACTCATTAGTGAAGCTAATTCGAAGGGAAGGCCAACAAGAAAAGTACGAACGACTCCAGGATAGAGTTAATAACAACCTGTATTTTGGACCTCTTACCTATTTTGTCCTAGATGAAACCTTTTTCGTGATCGACGTATTTTACGATTATGAAGATGTTGACTGACCATTGAAGGCGCATGTTTGATGAAGACACGCAATATATTTCGGTATTTACCGGGCCAGCCACCGAGTTACACTGTATTCTTCATGTTGCTTCTTTGATTGAATCGCCTTCGGCAGGGATGCAGGGCACCACGGAATATTCGCAATATCGGGCACCAGGGGATCCATGGCATGGGTTGAAGAACAAACTACTCATTATTCTATTTACTCTGAAAGCCACAGTTAGTTACCTGGGGTCTCGGCTTGTGGAGCTATCTCGGGCAAGGTTAGAGTTGACCTTGGTAGCTTCGCTGAAACTAAATACATGCATGGATGGTGCATGAGCATTGATCTGTTAGGCCAAGTCTGCAAAACCTCAGTATTTCGCAAATCTACTCGGAAGAGGCACTCTCTTTGCCTAGTGCGCCTCACAAAACGGTGGAGGGAGTTGAGAAGAGAATACGGACCGTAGGGGGGGGAAACCAGCCCTGTGGCGACACCTTCCGATGTGATTCCGCCCTAATTGGCGTGTCATGAAAACGCATCAAATTGCTTTGACAACCCCCTCTCCCGATCTCCTGAATCCTAGAGACGATAACATGGGGGAAGGGCGGCAAATAAGAGGTTATCATAATGTCAATCTCTTGGACCCAACCTTGAATGGCATCAAATCGTCTTTGAAACCTCCTCTGGGGCAAGAGCGAAGCATCCTAACTTCCTAGCTATAAAATACAGCCCAGTCTTGTTAACGTGGCGTGTCAAGCGGATCTCTTCTCCGAACAAGCAACCGATGACCTTGGCCATCCAACGGCACGTGTCTGTTATGTCGCCTTTTTTTCCCCGATTTATTCGGGAAAAATATTGCCTGGAGCAGTCACAGCCCTCCCGTGCCCAAGCTTAATGCTCCTCTGTTACGGCCAAATCTTGTTGGTGTGCCACCCGGAATTACCAAAGGCATGGTAAGCTTCATGCATCCTGTCTGAGTGGGGAGAATATTTCTCATGTGCATCAATTCCTTTCCACCAGGCTTCAAAGGCATTGCAGCTTTTGCTAAGCTTCTTATCACTACAAATTTGTCAAAAGTGGCAATCTTCTTCTTCCAGTATCTCGTCTGCCAGCCTACCATTACCAATAGGCCCGGCCGTCTGCTTGATGCCTTTCTCATACTATGCGACGTGGTAATCTGCCGGCTCAGGCTCTCGCGATCTCATCGATTTGGTGGCGCTGTTGGGAATTTGCATACCAGCTGAGCCAAGACTTGACACTGAAGCCTTTCATCATGCATGAAGCTCCAGCGCCTCAGTTAACTATTTACCCCAAGTCAATCTTAACAAGAGCTTTTGCAGTTCTGGTCATGTGCGGATCCTTCCAGGCGTCCTTCGTCTGAGCATAACTATTAACTATCTGCCCTAAGCTTGACAAATGCTGATCTGCCATTGGTGACTGGAGAAGACCCATCTTACTCTGTAACTCTGTTCTTGCGATCCATTTTTACGCTAAAAGTTTTCGAGGAGGCGCTGCTGAATATCTTGACAAGATGCAACACGATGCCTGGCCAGATGGATGCTAACCCACCTTCTTTAAATCATGGTCGCAAATTTTAAATAAAGATGAATGGCATTATTCCACATACAAACCATGATTGACCAATATTAGAGGCTGTCATAGCTCCGAATCATGGTTTGGCCGCATCAGCTGTCGCACCAACGCTTGAATTTAAGGCTCTGATGGATGTAACAAATTTTTGGGTGGAAGTTGATGCTACGTTATAAGTACCAGGTCCAGTCCATAATTATTCTCTGCTTTCCCTTCGTACGTATTTTGTAGCATTCGCCTTTTCACCGCGTTACCGAAGACCTTTGCTTTTTATCTTTATTTTTAACAATTTTATTTTCATTTGTTTTCTATTCGAGCTGCATATAGGCTTCGGGTGTATTCCCGGTCCTGGTCCTACATATCCTGTGCGGAACTCCCCTGCTGCATAGTCGAGATCTACCTGCAACCCTTTGGCGGTTGTGATATTTCCGTAACTATACGTGGTCCCTTCCTCAAGCGAGAAAACCGACCGGCCTGCGTATAATTATACCTTATCTGGGGTGTGAGTGTGCCGACAGTGTGAATGGAAATACACATGCATATACGGACCTCGCATACCAAAGCCGCCTTCTTTGTGGGTCAACTAGTCAAGACCTGATCTGCTGCTACTTCGTCGAGGTGTGAAAAAACGTCTTTTAGCCACAGCATACGCCTTTTCGACCAGGGCAACAAATCCGCCATCGGTGGCTAATAGCTCTCCCTTCCTTGAACATGGATATCCAGACTGACGAACCTTCTTCTCTTAGCTTAATTTCTTTTTCATCTCCTTCATGAGATAATGATGACTATTAATCCCTAGTCCTCTGCCGGTAGTTGGCTTCCTTTGCACACATTTCTTCTTTGCCCTTAATCTACTATAAGTTGTACGGCTCGCCCGGCTAGAAAGAGCTTACCATCCCAGCGCTCTATTTTCATTTCGCCAGTCCAGCCTCGCCAATTCTTTACCAATCTTCGAAACATCACGCGACCAGAGGCTGAGGGCCCTCCCGGTTCGTGCGATATATTTAAATCTGTGTCCCCATTTCCAACGGCTCCCATATATACCACGCACGCGCATCATATCCAGCCTCTGCGAAAATCGTATTCTTTCTCCAAGCATTATCCTTTGGGCCAGGTCGGAAGACACATTGTTGGAAATATAGACCTAGTTGTGGTAGGAGGGAGCGGGTATAATACATCGGACAAAGACACAGTTGCTCGGGCGCCGGTCGGTCTCACGTCTTGCTGTATAATCCTGCTGAAGGACAACCTCGGGGCAGCTTCGAGTGTCAAGAACGGGAAATTTTCAACCCCACGGGGTCACTCCGTTTTTTGAAATTTATTTTTTGTCGGAACCCAAGATGCCTCCAAACCCGTCGACATTCACTGCGCTCAATGTGCCATCCGGTTACAGGTTACCAGAAAGCCTGGAGTATTTCTCCCTTGCAGCACGTCCAGACACAGACCTTTGGCGCAAGCCACCAGACCGCGAAACATCCACAGCGCCAATACTATACACATCTCTCCAAAGGCCATTCGTCCTTGCTGAAGTCACAGTCACAGCAGACTGGGAGATGGAATGGGACCAGGGTGGTTTAGTTATATTTTCAGGCCCTCCCCCAGGACCACGTCTGATCCAGTAAGGCATAATTGCATTCCTTAGAGGATAGGAAACTGCCTGCTAACTGGCCTTTTCAGGCCCAATAACAGCAATGAGCTCGTCCCAACCACAGTTATCAATCTTGATAATAACAACAGTTCAGTCGATGCCGGGGAGCAGCATCAACAACCACCACAACCACCTCCGTATCCAGACTTTAACTTGGGCCAAGGTAAATGGGTCAAGGCTGGACTTGAGTTCTCCGCGGGAACCGTCAATGCGTCGTCCGTCAGCGCCACATCAGACGGAGCAGACTGGTGCCTCTCTCCCTTAGCGCCGCCCAATCAGCCAACAAGTATAACGTCTCTGCGAATCAAACTAGAGCGCATTGGCCATTCTCTCTGGGTATGGTATCAAATCCCACCATCCTCGTTTTCTACAGACCAGGAATCCAGTCATAGCCCGGGCTCGGCTGCCCAATCATGGCGGAAACTGCGCGAAGTAACATGGTTTTTCTGGGGAGTTGAAGACAAAAGCGTGCATATTGGCGTTTACGCCTGTCGACCAGCAAATATCTCCATATCTAGTACCATGTGGGCGGCGAGAAACGGCGGGCAATATTTTCATGACAATCGCCCATCGCCCAACTCGCTAGTGGTGGATTTTGAAGATCTTGAAATATTTTAATCTTTTGACAGCTCCTTTCCTTTGTTTTTTCCCCGGTATCAGTTTCTGGTTCATTTGTCTTGTTACATTTTATCGATCCTCAGTGCTGTTCGCATTTATGTTCATGACGACTTGATGAATGTGTGGGCGTATTTTGGCAGAGATGGCGCTATAACTCCGTAGATATAAATAATATGCCGCTTCTGGCTCCTGTCTCCAAAACCTCATCACTTTCTATACTCCGTATCGCTGGGAATTGACTTGAACTGTGACGAAGAACGCTCTCGGCTGTTTTGCAAGCCACGAAGATTTCTATTTTTAACGTGGCCGGGAAACAAAAAGTGACGCGGGATCCGACAGCTGGAGACCTCGCACAAAGTTCTCCGTTAGTAATGCAAACACTTCAGCAGAGATCAGCAGCCATCGTGTCGCACTCCTCGATCGGTTGCTTGAGTTTGTCCGCTGCAGGAAACAAATTCTGACTTGAGCCACGAATTTGTGTTTATGTCTTGGCATTCGATTAAGTTCCTCGGAGCGTTCCGTTCCGAGATTCGAGTCCAAGGATGGTGCCATGCCAAGAATATATCACGTGATACATTCAGGGCCTGAAAGGCGAGCGTTATCTAAATCAATTGGATTAGGCAGAGCTTACTGAACGTTCAAGCAAGATGGATAGATAGAGTATTGAATAATTGTACGGCTACCGAATTTTGACAAAACAATATACGCATATTTTTTGTGACTTCTAGTTTATGTCTATTACAGCATCACATGCCCGTTAGCCTTTTGCCAATTGCAATACTTCAATTCCTGTTTCCCGAAACGCCAATTGGTAGAAAGAGTTTTAAAGGAAGTTGTCTCAGACCTAACAGAAAAAAATGGATGCCCTGATTTGGATGAATACTCTTTCATATAGACTCGTTATAATATAAAGAACATCATTATGCATAACCTTGCAGGAAAAGCCTATTTGTCTCCAGGCTGTCTCCAGGCAGCTCGAGAAATCGCCTTGCAGGTATGAACAGAGTCTGTGCTTCGGGTGATCCAAAGGGTAAATGTCCTATCCGGTTTGGCTATTTGGTCAGTAGTATAACACTCAAGGCACGGAGTCAAAAATGGCGCTTACCATTAGCTTACCATGGCATGCAAAAGTTTGGCTAACGCCGGCAGGTACATAATCTGAATCCTGTCTGCACCATTTGAAGACCTCGCTAAGGCATGGTATCTAGAACTATATCAGGCTTCTTTCATAGGGAATATCCAATTTGTAGGTGAGATCTGAGGGAAGCTACCAGGGTAAAAGGTCTCAAGTATATCAGTATACTTTGTATGGAACACAGAACCCTTACTTAGAGCCCATAGTTCATCTTGTACGAGGAGCCCCTCAAACGGAGTTTCTCTGCACAGTTCGTCTATTGCAACCCCACCAATTCAAGCTGTTTTCCCTCACCGCTAAAACCAGAGTTCGGTGGGGCATTCGCAATCGCTTATCCTGCTCTGAAGGTCCCAGACTTTGTGTCACTCCTTTCTCTCTTTTAACTAACCACTCGCCAGAGGACATATTCTGTCAATGGCATCGACTTTTGAGGGGTGCCTTTGACATACCATTTCGCTCATTTCTATGTGTGAGTTGACGATGGCCAACAACGTCTTCGTATTTCTGATCCCCGAACCTCGGATATGAACATGATCTGCTGCTAATTCCCTACTGCTACTTAAGCAAGAGGAGGGAAAAAAACAAAAATAGACGTTAAGGGTCCACTCAAATGTGGTCACATGACATTACCAATTTTCCGACTTGGTGGATTTCTCGGCTTCATCCCAAATAACCGTGAGCGATACAAAAGCGAGACGAGCAACAAAAAATGGCATCTTTGCCCCCTTTTTCAGTTTCTTTTTCCCCTGGAGACTATTAGACGGAGGTGGAAATATCTTTTCCTGCCCAACTTGTATCGCCATGCCTTGCCTCCTGCATGCCTGAGGTGCTTGCGATCTGTCCGGTTAGGCCGCCATGGTGCAGCACACACCACAAGTCAACAGCTGGTGTCGAAATAATATGGAGCCTGCTAAGGGAAGGGAAGGAAAAAGCAAAGAGGCGGTTTAACCAAGCCGTGGGCTGCAGCAAATGAGCTCTGTCAAAACGCCATAAAAGCGCAGGGATGCAGGCAAACCCTCTTTCGACTCTCTTGTTATTTGACAAGCTAGTAAGTTAGCCGGCTCATCACTCTGACAACAAGTCTGCAGCGCTAGCCGGTTCAGGCTCGATGGGGACGTTCTTCATCCTGCCAGGCTTTTGCTTTTGACGGAAGCAGAGAGAGAAGAAGCAGAAAAATTTGATGATTCTCCCCCCTCCCCTTTAGTAGTGTATGTCGTAGTTGAATGCTATATTGCTTTTTGGGTTTTGACTCTCTGCTCTTTTTCTTTTCTTCTTCTGAATGCACGGCAAGCAAGCCATTCTGCTTATGATCATCCTCGTCTGCCTCCAAAACCAATAAACATTGCATCAAGCCCCCCTGGGAAGAGAGAAAAGAAAGACTCCTTGCATATTTGCCCATCTCTGCAACTCCCCTCCTCTGTGTGCCCTCCCCTCTAGTTTGTCAAGGGAAAGAAATAAGCAGGACAGCCATACCTTCGAAGACCTTTCTCATAATTTGATATTTATCCCAAAAGTTTTCCCTTTGCCTTGCTCTGTTTGTTTTTCCCCCCCGTCTCTTTTTCGTATTGATTCTTGATACCCTCGTCGTCTTTGGGGGCATAGTCGTGATATTTCGAGCTCTTGTCCCTTTTCTCCCCTGTGCTTTGTGTTGTAATTCGTCTGCAGAAACCTGTCTTTGTCTTTTATTTTTTATTTTATTTTTTTTTTCTTTTTGTGCAGCTTTGTATATCACCTTCGGCTATTATCTAGCTAGCTTCATCTCTGCAGGGCTTCGAAACAATTCCCACGACCACGAGTTTACGAGTTTACGATACTAGAACCAGCATTTCAAACACCGTCGGCAATCAACAGCACAACCAGCGACTGGAAGAGGAAAAACAGCCAACTCTCTAGCCATGACTGAAGCCGTTAAACGCACCGTCACCATTGCTATCCGTCGACCAAGCACAACTCCAGCTGTCTTTGTGGCCGCCTGCTTTACCGAACCGGCATGGGAGCCTGTGGAGCTCACACCTCAGCTTCTAAGTTCGAAAGATGCACCAACTACCGAAGACAGCTCTACGCAGGTCGAGGAGTACGAGTTTTCAAAGGAATTTGAGCTACCAGAGGGCAAATACCAGTATAAATTCCGTCTGGGTACGGATGAAGATTCATGGTTCTGTGACAACGACGTTGAGACAGGTAAGTCACTTCACTCACTCTACATAACGATATGTCTCCCAGATCTGATATCCAAGGTGACTGACTTGTTGTGAATACTTAGTGGTCAATGATGATGGAATTTGCAATAATGTCCTTGTCGTAAACGATACCTCCTCCACCTCTACAACCGAAGGCTCCCAACAAACCAACGGTACACCCAATGGCACCAAATTGAAGGAATCAGTCAAAGAAGAAGATGATACCGAAGAAAAGGCTAAAACCATGGAAGACATACCGGTAGACGCCGCTGTTGTTGACAAGTCTGACAAGGAAGTTCCCGTTAATGTGGTAGGAGAGACTGCTACAGAAGTGGAGAAAAAGCCGGACAACCAGGTGGACTCCGTTCGAGCTCCCGAAGCCTCAGCTTCAAAAGACAACGTCTCTGAGGAGAAGAGTGACGAAAAATTGTCCAAGAAGGAAGATATTGTCCTGGATAGCGAAAAAACTGTGGCTGTCGATAACACCGAAATGGAGCAGGAACAATCTTCGTCTGATAAGCTTGAAAATACGGTGCCGGAGCCTACAAGCAAGGAACTCCCAGAAGAGTCCAAGAAATCAGAATCTCGAGCAGAAGATTCTCAGAATAGCCTAGAAGCGAAGAAGGAACTCTTTGAGAAAGTCGATGCAGTCGAAGCGACCGACCCAGCTGAGACTAGCAAGGAAGAATCCAATGACAAAGTTCAAACACTTCTTGTCACTGAGTCCCGAACAGCGGCCGAGGAGCCTAAGAAAAATATCACTGGAGACCTCAAAACTACTCCAGCCGAGCCGGCAAACGATGTTCTCGAGGCTGAAGCTGCGCCCGAGGCTCCGGCTATTAAGCCTACCAAGGACTCGACTAAAGAGGACGATGTGCCAGAGATCACCAAGGAAGACGCTGTCCCTGCCCATGCTGAAGAGTTGACCGTTGAGAAGGCAAATGGTTCATCTGAAGAGACTTCCAATCCCGAGGCCTCTATGACAGTTGAGGAACCAACCGTCATTGAACCAGAGGCAGTCTCTGAAGAAAAAAACAAGGAAGAACCAGCGACTGAGCTAGAGAAAACTCCAGTAAAGGCCGAACAGATTGCTGAATCTACTTCTATACCTGCAGTTGTAAAGGAAGCACCATCCCCGGAAGCTATAAAGGAAGATCCCCTGGCTACCAAAGAAGAACCGGTTTCTATTAAACCAGAGAACGCGGAATTACCTCAGGAGGAAATGGTTTCAGATAAGGACGCAGATCCTGTTGCCACAGAAGACAAAATCAAGGAAGCATCGGCAGCTGAGTCTGAACCAGTTCCAGATGCTGTAAAAGCTGGTCCTGAAGTAGCCGCTGTACGCGAGGCAGAGGCTTCCGCGGAAGAACCCAAGGAGCCCATAGTCCCCAAGGATATCGCTAGTAAAGAGATTGCTCCCGATGACGCTCCTAGATCGGGCTCCGAGAAGCCCACGGTGGCTAATGAAGAACCAGAGAAGAGCTTCAACGAACCGGAGGCTACTCCTGAAGAGCCAAAAGAAAGTGCACCGGAGTCAGAACCAGCATTAACCGACTCAAAGCGTGACACAGACGCAACCGAAAACTCGACAGTTGATGGACTTGAGACACAAGGGGATCCTGTAGATACTGAAGCTGAGGTGAAGCCTGCTGCAGCCGACAAAGTTGTCTCCGCTGAAGAGAGTGAAGTTCTTTCATCAAAGGAGCCGAAGCCGGTCATTGAGGAGCCGGAAGACGAGACCGAGGCGTCGAAAGAAGTCTCTACCGAAAAAGATGATGGAACTACTGAAATTGGAAAGAAAGAAGAGGCCGCCCTATCAGTCCCAATGCCCGAGGAAGCCAAGGATGAAGCTGTTGAAGAGAAACCAGAGCCTGTTCCAGCACCCGTAGCTACCACTGAGGCCGAAGATGTTCCTGAGGTGGTTGACGAACCCAGTAAGGACGTGGATACCGCTAACGAAGGGCCAGATAAGGATGCCTCTCAGCCAGTTGAAGCTTTGAAGTCAACGGAGGACGATGCCCTAGTAACGAAGGAGGCACAGACCATAACGGAAGATAAGCCGGTGGAGGAATCGGCTCCGGAGGTAATCAAGGACGAGATCAAAGAGGAGTCAGAAGAACCTGTCCCAGGACCAAACGCTGAAATTGCCGTTGCGGCTGATGAAGCCTCAGTAAACGAACATCAACATGACGCGTCTATCGCGGAAGTCAAGGAGTTGCCTGCCGATGATCCTGCGCTAGCTGATTGCAACGTTCCGGCGGTCGAGGATGAGGCTGTTGTCTCAGAAAGCAAGGATAACTCTGAACCTGAAGTCAATCGGGATTCGCAACCCGCACAAAAGAAGGAAGAAACTGAAGACAAGGCCGATCCTGCTCCCGGTGCTCAGCCTGCTGTGGAAGAAGATTCAGTCAAAGAGGTCCCTTCTAAGACAGAAAATGAGACTAAAGAGGGCTCTGAGGTACCCCTTATTGCTAACATCGCAGGCGTTGAAGCACTTCAGAACGTCAAATCTCAAGCTAATCCAGAGCTCTCAGAAGAGGAAGCAGGTCAGGTGGCTCAGAGTAGTACTCCCGCTCTAGAGTCCCAAGTTGAAGGTGAGACCAAAGCCCCTGAATTGAAGGGGCCTGCTATTGAGGAGCTAGCATCCGTTGCCGAAGAACCTGCAGCAGGTATCCAAAAGGATTCTGAGAGTGGTGACTCTAAGGAGGAGGAGGATACAACTGCCCCAGGAAAGGAAGTTGAAGCTGCTGGCGAACAAATAGAAAAGCCGGAAGAACAAAAGCTTGCTGAGCCGGAGGCTACCGGAGATGATGCGCCAGTTCCTGCTGCCAAGGAAACCGATCTTCCCAGCGAATCCATGAAGGATGAAGTGGCTGCTACTACTGAATTATCGACGAGTCAAGTAGCGGACGAGCCTTCTGATAAACCGGCTCCCGTAGCTTCGGAAGGGCCTGGAGAACCTGATGTTAGCCAGGGACCTAAGGAAGTTCATATTGAAACCGCCGTTGTCGATGATGCTAGCAAGAAAGCCAACGCCCAATTCCAAGTCGGAGATGCTGCTGTAGATGCGCCAATTGATGTGCCTGAAGAGCCAAAGCAAGACGCAGAAGCTGTTGTCAATGTGGAAGAGACCCCCAAGGATGTTCAGAATGATGTCATTGCAGCTGGGGAAGAAGTTAAACCCGAAGCGGAAAAGAGTTTGGACCATGTTGCCAAGGTCGATGATAAGCAACCCGAAGAAGCCGTCGAAGAGGCGTCAGTTGCTGTGGAAGAGGCAGTTAAAGCTGAATCTGCACCGGAGACTCAGGATGCTGTTACCGTTACAGCAGACCCGGTTGCGGACGAGACTCCTGCACTGGAAGCTGAGGCTCCTGAAGAGGAAGCTCCCAAGTCTGACACCGCTGATGTGACCACCATCGAAGCAAAGGAAGTGTTACCAGAGGCTGCTGAGACTACTGTTGTTTCACAGGACACTGAAAAGGAGGATATCACAGTTGAAGCAGAGAAGCCTGAAATTCCTACTTCAGAGGCTGTAACAACCCCCACTGCCTCACCAGAGGCTTTAAAGGACACCGAAGAGACTCCCGATAATTCCGTCAAGTCCGCTGCAACCGAGGCCGTCACACATGATGATGATGAAAATACAACTGTTCCTGAAAACGTACCTGAGCCTACTGGCAGTGCGTCAGAAGTGACAACCGACAAGCCGGCAGAATCATTTGCTGATAATGAACCTGAAGTGCCTACCAGCAAGGATGAGGTCACTAAAGAAGCAATCTTAAACGAACAGCTTGCTAGTAGCACATCCCCGGAATGTAAGAGTGATGCTAAAGCAGACTTACCCAATGTCTCAGCAGACTCTATTCAAGAGGCTGGCTTACAACGGAAGCTTCAATCAAGTGAAGCCAAAGCTGATTTTGTAACGGATCATACCAAGGCCGAGGAGGATCAGCCAAAAGAATCTACTATCAGCATGGCCGAAGGACAGGAAGATGCTCACAAAACTAATGGTGCTACAATAGCTGCTGCTCTCGGAGCAGCTGCTGTGATTCCTGGGGCCGCTTTCTTGGCAAAGAAAGCCTTTGAATCTGGGGAAACTACTGATAAGAAGACTGCCGCTGGTGATACTCCTGGGGCTACGGAATCGCTTATCAGTAAGAGAGGTGTTGATGATTCTGAACATATCAATAACGTTATGGTCAAGGAAGATTCAAAGGTTGGTGCAAATGACAAGTCCTCCAATCATACTAAAAATGGTCCTATGCAAGAAGAACCTGCTTCCGCCGAATCTACCTCGAAAGCCCATGCGACAGAAGAAAATGATAAGGGCACTACCGTAGAAAATACATCGCTTCCTGAGCAAGTTAAGGAATCTCCTGCTGGGAAGGATGATGCACAAGAGGCTGTCAATGGCAAAGTCATTGCCGAGGAGGAATCCAAGAGGGCTACCCCCAAGGCATCCGCATCTGCTGATATTGAGTCAAGCTCCTGCGCTGCTACTGCCGATGCCAACCCTTCCACTGCAGCCACGACTAATGGAACCAAGACCAACGGCACGAAAACTGATGAAGTCTCTGAAGAGACTCGTCCTCCAACCGGCAACAAATCCATCACTTCACTAACAACTCAGCGCAGAGATAACTTCCTCAAGTATATATGGCGCGCTATCTTCGTCAACTTTTTTGGAAGCCTCTTTGGATTCCGCCGTCGCGACACCACCGCTTAATACACACCCGATCCAACATTCTTGCATACCCTGACCTATTGAACAAATATGCATTTCCAATATATTGCAGTGGCTTATTAGCTACTGCAATAATTTTTTTAAAGGACTCTTAATTTTAAAAAATCTCATCACGTTTCTATTTGTTGCTCTTTTCTTCATACGCGTTTTCATATGTACTCCCAGAATTGCCCCATGATATCCTCCCTTGTTAATGAATACTGTGATGATTTTTTCTGTGATATATGAATTTGGGTTTTTAACTCTTCTTACCTCCTGAAGAATGGTGAAAATCTACCTTAGCTAAATCAAGAACTATTATATTCTATATCCCTTTTTTATAGAACTGCCTGTTCTACATATTCAATATTAAAGATATCTTCTTGATACCCATCTTGCCCTCTATATGATACCCTGCACTCAAGAGTAAATTTGCTCTGGAATATCTAACAGTATGGCTATTCTTCAGTTTATCATTACTTTTGAGATTTATAGAGGCATAGGTAGACTGGTACTCTGCCTAATATATGTTAGTACTCTATAAGCTTGAAAGGACATAGAGTGAGGCTAAGGTGAACACTTTTGGTACTGCCTAAGGCCCTTTGCTCTATTTAAATGGCTATTTAGCCCCTGGTTACTAGCTCACTAGCGCTATAAGAAGGAGGACAACTTTGATAGTAAAGCCCTTCGCTTCAAAGCCCCACAACATAAATATTTTGGTCAAAACATACTCACCTCCCTTTCTCATCTGCCTATTTTTTTGATACCAGTTACTCCCTTTCTAGCCGCCAACAGTATCAATCCTTTGGTCTTCTCCTTGCCATAAAGCACCTTTGCTTTGCATTTTACCTCTTATAGTCTTCAGCCCTGGTTCACTTGGATAGTTCTAAGATGGAAGGAGGAGGCTCCTATCAGACTTCATCAGATCCTCCAGAGCTACGAACCCCTAGGCCTGGCTTAGTCCGTCTCCCTATATCAGCAAGCTACACATTCTGTCAGGGTGACCTTACTGGTAAGTCAAAAATGATAGTAAAGGAAGATAGGTCAAAATACAAAATCTAGTCTGATCTATCTATCTACCTCACCCCTAGTATAAACGCATTAAAAACAGCATCTGTTAAAGGACTACTGGAAGCCTCGCTTTCAGCTTAGCATTTTCCACTTAGAACAAAGCAATGAATTTTGTGCTAATATATATCCTTACCTAGCTCCGGAACTTCCAAGCTTTGGCTGCCTCAGACAAGCTAGAAACACAAGCGAACAGAGATTCCAGGCTCCTGTTGTTTTCCCGCCAGCGAGTGAAACAGAAGTCCGGCCAGTTGTCTATCCTAGTATGTTGATATTAGACCCTCTATAAAGAATAAGCTGAGACAGTGATTTCTAATGTATTAAACTGTGAAAGTAGCTGCTAGCTCCAAAGCCAGGGTTCAGGAGCAAGACCTATCTGTGGTTCCTAAGCTTGAGCCCAAATATCCCCCTACTCCAGCCAGGCCAGCAGAAGCAAAGGACTTCAGCCCATCCTTTGGCTGTCCTTGTATGTTGAAACATCCCCTTAGGGCTTCTTTATGCAAATCCATGAGGCTTCCCTTTGACTTATGTACATATATTGATTGCCCTCACAGCCACTTTGACAATCCAGAAGAACCGTCTGCCAGATCTCTCCCATTCTCAAGCACCTATATTTCCACAGTGGCCTTTGCATGGGACAAGATCGAGGTACGCAACAGCACCACGAAGAGCTCATCTCCAACCCCTGCCTGCTGCCCCGGCTACACAAAAGCCCGTCAAGAGGAGGTATAGGGAGGTGTCGAGAGAGCGGCCAGCCATCCTTACCAAGCTCATGGACCATTTCAGTGTGAGAGACTGGTCGAGGCCAGAAACTTATCCAGGAGCGATAAATGACAAGGATCGGAGCTGTAGCAGAACTACTATCGAGTGTTCTGCACCCAGTTCCCCTCAGCAAACCCACAGTGAAGCGAATATTTATTATCCTAAGCTGAAGGATAGTGAATCAAGCTGTGTCCCACCTAAATCCGCACCTCTCGTTCAGCCAGACGCTTATAGTATGCAAAAGCTATATCAAGCGCTGCCAGTTCCAACAGAACGAGAAAGTCAACTAGGTCTGCGAAAGGTATCATCGGCTCCCGATTTCTTGGTGCCGGAGATGAATACTAATGAGATATCTGGGTGCCTGAACCGCGATGTCCGTCGCCAGCCAAATACCAACGGCATTGTCTTGGATGGGCCGCTACCTACAGCCACCCAACGGGGCCCTCATTCAACATGTGGAAGTCCCGAGCATGTTCAGGCGCCCGTTATTCCTAGTATCCATGGGACATGTGGAGGGATAGTGGCGCCAGTGTTGCCAGCAATGATGCCAACTGAGCCTGCAGCAAATCACTCTCATGATGGTGATGTGATCAATGCCCGTTTCGAACAGATCTCGATGGTACAAGCAGCCAACACCGATGCCATCTTGAGAAGCCTTCAAAGCCTAACGAACGAAATCAGGGCACTGCAAGTGGAGACAAGAGCAAATACAAACCATCTCCACCAGCTCAACGGTAGAGTTGCTGCCCTCGAAGCGAGGTTAGGTGGCCAATTACAGTACTATGGGGGCTTGCCTTTGGCAGGTTATCAAGGACCTGCCAATATGCTGCGAAGTAACTCGAGCGGCAGCCAACTCCCAGCCAAGCACCTACACCATCGCGGCAGCAAACCCCATAGCAGCGGACCTGTTCGCAATGTCCAGCATAGTGGTCCAAATAGGCGACGTGCTCCCAGTCAACAACAGCACGCCGGATATTCGCCACATCTAGATATGGCGCCGAACCCGCTACATTCTCCTACCGAACCACAGACAGCTATATTACCCTCTCAGGAGTCCCAGATGGTGCCGCGAAATCGACAATCCTGTCGACAACGTATTTCTTCGCGGCGAGATACAAGCTTCAACAATGGCGAATGGGGCGGAACTTCAAACTGGTACCGAAAGGCCTATGCGGACGGGAAGGGAAATTGAACGACATTGTGCCAACTCGTTAACCGTTTCCGTACGCTTTCAATCAAAATGGTCTTTCGCAGTGATGGCGTATATTTGTTATATGGGTAATTGGCGGAGGTAAGCAAACCACCCACGGGTTTAGGTTCCAATTTCCAATCGCTAATCAATCAGCGTGGTCTTTATGAGCGTCTAGGCGGTTTTAGGGATATATTCAAAGCCATTTCGTCTAGAGATCTTACTGCTTCATAAACCTGACGACAGGATGTACACCGCTTGCCCTAATCACTGTAGCAGATCTGCACTGATTCAAAGGAAATATGAATATGTGCAAGGTGACAGGCATGCCAGCTGAATCTATCTTAACGGCTCCAGGCTATGTCTGCTTGATACAGCGACCCATATCTCAGGAAATCTGCTACACAGACTAAATACTGCAAGCATGCATTAATAGTGTGGGTTTGGGATGTTATTTGATTTATTATTATTTGTCGCAAGTTTATTTTACAACCGCTATGGCCTTTTCAACTTCCTTCGCAGCATCCCGAACCTGTGGACAATAGTGCAGTCGTAACAATTCACCTTCCCATATGGTTGCGGCAAAAACATTGCTCCTTTCCACATCGTCTGCATTGGGGTCGTAAACTCCGTCACCTTTCCGCTCTTCCGTATTCCATAGGGGTGCTATTTTCCGCCCATGTAGCTTCGCCGCACGAGTAAGTAGTGACAAAACTGCTGTTGCTGACTTTTCTGGTAGTTGAAGTGCAGAAGACATGAGCCGCTTGGTAAACCCTGCTATACGGATGGGAGGCGGGGCTTTGTTGGCTTTTGCAGTTAATATTGACTGCAGGCACCGGATAAGGAGCACAGTAGGGGTCTGAAAGTCGACTTTTTTTGCTAAGACGGTGCTATCTGGGCCTGAGTTACTGACGTTTTGACTGTCATTGTAAGGGTTTGGCTCAGGTAGGCGGAGTGACTTGCTAGGGTGGAATTCAATGTCTGGATTCAAGGACAAGTCGTGTAGCGAACGGTAGATGTTCCCTATAAAGAAGCTTAGATCCAAATGAAGGGAAGAGGCTGCTTTACTGGCATCTTGGCCTTCAAGCAGTGCGAATGCAGTTGTTGAACAAAGGAGAGCATCTCGAGTAGCGTTTCGAGTATCCTTCATCCTGAATCGTTCTTCATCGCCATCATCCTCCTCGTCACGCCTGTCCTCATTCTCTTTGATGTTGGAGTTGGTATATCGCGAGATCAAATCTCTAAGAACTTCCAGCAAGTCTCCAAAGAAGTCTTGATTAATTAGATGGGAATATTTGGCAAGCCCTTCTAAAACAGCCCCCACAAGTTCAGGGTTGCGTGTTTTGAGTGTGCGGAAGTATGTGGTGAATACTAGCTTCAAGGTTTCTGCTTGCATCTTATCCCGATGTTCATGGCTTACTAGAGCATCAGCCTCCTTCATATCCTTTTCCACAATCTTTCGTTCTTTCATCAATTTTCGTTCCTTTTTGGTTCGAAACTCTCGTTTTTGCTTTGGCTTCTTTCCATTATTGTTCTCATCTGCTTCTTTATCGATTGCATCCTTAGAGCCTTTGGACGAGAATTCTGAGAGTAGCCGCAAATGAAGGAACGTATCCAGGACGCTTGGTCGGATCCTAAATTCTTTTGCTTTGATTGTCTTTGACAATAAAGTGACAGCTTCCAGCGAGATGGTGCCATCGTCGTCTTTGGAGAATACCTCCTCTATAGTTTCACGACACTTGACAAAATCTGCATCTATCTGTCGGCGCCCTAGCTGTCCAACCAGAATTTTCAGCAACTCCCCACGGAAATTGAAATGCGGCACAGAAGTTAGTAGACTGCAAGCACAATTGATGGATAAGCTTTTCAGGCCAGGGTTGTATGTTTCGCTCCCCTGCTTTGCTCGAGAAAGTGTGGCCAGCTGCTGCACATATTCTCGGTAACCAGAGAGAAGGGATTGTTCAAACGCACGGAGTTGCTTTACTTCTTTGGAAACCTTTGCAGTCAGCTCTTCGCCTTCTAGTGGCCGTATCCGATAGCCGGGAATAACGTCTTTGTAAACGGCTGCTTGTGTGGCCAGGGCAAGTTTCTTCACGGCTGGAAGTGACGCAGATGCTGTCATCTCCGTTAGCTTCTTAAAAAGCTCCATGTGCTCCTCAGGCTCTTCATTTATCAGTGATGCTATTCGTGCCAGGGCCTCTTTTGCTTCCAATATCTGAACCTTGGGAGGCACAGATGATACTGGCGCAGGAACTGTTGCGGTCATCATAGCTGGTTCACCGTCTTCCACCTCAGACGAAAAAACGTCACTCTCTGAGCTTTCCTCGAGTCTCTCATCTTCCTCTAGATGCTCCAAAGTCCCCTCCTGTGTCTTTATCGGCAGCCGCTTCTTTTCCTTGCCCTTCGTCTTCCGCGGTCTTCGCTCGTAGTCTTGTTCCAGGTCCCATTGTGCAGCCTGGTTGTAAAATTTGCTTTTCAGATGCGATGAATCATCTGACGGGCTCAGCCGTCTCCTCTTTACAGAAACATGAGCTGCCATTATTTGTCATTGAAAGGTGACTGAATATTTTCTTCAATTGATGCAATTTTCAGGGCCGGTCAAAAGTAAGTAAATAAAATTTCACAGCATGAAAAGTTTTGCCAAGAGTTCAAACTCTAAAATTTCAATTATCGATAAAGGAATTCTTGCGACAGCAAATATATTGACAGCTGCCAAACACCAACCATTGAAGTCATACATGCGAAGAAGAGACTAAGGAAAAACTTTTTATCAGAGTTGAAAGTTAACGAATATTAAACCATGCGCCCTCTTACAGAGTCCGAGACTCAGACGCTCTTCGCAAAGCTAGCGAATTACACCGGGCGTTCTCTTAACCATCTCATCGCACCTCCCACCACCTCTGGCGACGAGTCCGCAGATGATCGATATGTTTTCAGGCTCCACGGCTCTAGGGTCTACTACCTCCGACTCTCGGTAGCGAATCTTGCGACATCCATTGCGAGACCCAACCTGCTATCAATAGGAACCTGTCTCGGTAAATTCACAAAGACTGGAAAATTCAGATTGCACATCACAGCACTGGATGTTATAGCACCACATGCCAGACATAAGCTATGGATCAAGCCTAATGGAGAGATGCCTTTTCTGTATGGTGGAAACATTGTGAAAGCGCACGTTGGCAGATGGAGCGAAGATTGCCCGGAGCATCAGGGAGTAGTTGTTTTGTCAATGGACGATACCCCTCTTGTGAGTCTTATATACCCATGTCCCGCATGCCTGATATTTGCTTAAATCGAGTATATATAACACGGCTTGCTAATTCATGGTTTTCATATAGGGCTTTGGGGTAACTGCTCGCTCGACTATGGAGGCTCGGAAGCTAGATCCAACTGGAATTGTGGCATTTAGACAAGGGGATATTGGTGAATACTTGAGAGAGGTGAGATTTGATTTCTGCAAAGTTCTACTTCGTTGGCACTTATTAACAACTTGCTTCAGGAGGATACCCTTTTTACCACATAACCGACGCTTCGGCTCTTTATTTGACAGGTACATATTGGCACTGGTGTTTTTGCGCTACCGGAGTTCTATCGTGATATACGGCTTGTACTTTTAAAAGTGATCTATCTATTGAAAATATTGTCCTGCTAGTCCTTTTAGTTTTATGGCTCTTTGAGTACTGGCGCCCCCAAGCCGAAACAGTTAAGCCTCATCCAGCAATCTGTATCTTCAAGCATTTAATCTCCTTGCAATCCGAGTTCCCTTACTTTCATTGATGGCATATACTTCAGGTTTCTACTTTACTTCATTCTTGTATAGATATTATTAATATTGAGGGGTACAAATATTCATTTTATAGATACTTGATTCGCACCTTCCTTCCACAGAATTACATACATAATCAATTTAAGCTTATTCCCACTTCAAATTAGTGTCATGTGACACAGTTCATCACCCTTCGTAACGTCCGTGCGTTTTCTGATTCTCTCTCTTTCTTTTTACTTCAAAGTAAATAAAATCAACATAGAAGCAAAAGAAAGCGAGAAAAGAAGGAAACGGAAGAAGAAACGTGACCCCTACATCTGGAGCTACGCCACGTTATTGTAGCCCTATCTATCTCGAAAAAGGATATCACGGACCAATTTGCATCCCCTCTGATACCCACTAGCCATGCCTCCAAGCTCGAGCCAGAAAAGTGCTATAGCGCAGTTTGTGAGCGTTACTGGAGCAAAAGACAGCGTTGCTACAAAGGTACAGCATCAACCAGCTTACCCTGCACGCGTACTTTCGGCCGTGGTCTCAAGCAGAAGCCTCCAACACCCGGCGTATGCTGTATGCTGACTATAACTGACTGTAAATGATATCAGTGTCTCAAAGCAAATGGTTGGAAAGTAGACCAAGCTATCGATGAGTATGTCTCTTTGCGGCTTCATCACTCTTCTTAAGTGCTACTACCCTATCGCTTTTCATCCATGCTGTTCTTGTTACCCCTCAACTGCCCTCCGACATTTAGGATCTATACCAGATAGTTAGGCCCGGCATCCTACGCATATTTTAGCCGTCCACGGTAATGGTGGAGGGGAGTGTTCCCTTGTCACAAGCGGCTGGCAGGTTTTAAAAGTCTTCTCTCCGATTTTTGCAATTTTCATACCAATGTTATGAGACATTCTACCTGGCAGTGTCATGAATTGTTATACCTACCAATAAATCATTTTGCTCCCCATATCTTCCATGATTTACATTATAATGACATTAACACATAAAAAATTTCATGCTAACCAAATATATGAATGCAGCTACTTTCAGAACGGACAGTCAGGAACAGTACAGGAAAAAACCGCTGCGGTGAACAAGATATTTGACAAGTATCGAGGTAAAAGAGCCACCCATGATTTTGTTTCCTCACTGTACTAATGGGGATCCTAGATGACCCTGACAGCCCTGATGAAATTGGAATCAATGGAGCTATGAAGTACTTTGGTGACCTTCAGGTCAGGTTAGATGAGGTCGCCTGTCTTGCTGTAGCCGAGCTATTACGTTCTCCATCCATGGGAGAATTCACCCGAGAAGGGTTTGTCGAAGGATGGAGAGGAACCACTGAGTCTGCTTCCCTCAAATCTGTGTATTCAGCTCTTATCTACTCACAGCTTTTCTAGGTGTGATACCATTGAGAAACAAGCCTCGTATGCGAATGGCCTGCGCAAACTGTTATTGGATGACCCAAATTACTTCCGACGAGTATATCGCTATACCTTCTTACTGTGTCGAATGCAGGGCCAGCGCAACGTTAACATAGAACTTGCTGTTGAACAGTGGCAGCTTTTCTTCACCTCAGAGAACGGTGGCGTTGCATGGGAGACCAGGTCTGTTCCATGGCTGAAATGGTGGATCGAATTTATTGAAACTAAACATAAGCGCCCGATTAATAAGGATCTGTGGGAGCAAACGGAGGTTTTGATGCGCAAAACCATGGAGGATGAGTCCATGGATTGGTGGAGCTCTGATGCTGCTTGGCCGGGAGCTATCGATGATTTTGTTGCCTTTGTTAAAGAGAAGCAGGGAGCGACGGCAATGCAGCAATGATGGGTATAGTCCGGACTACTATGTGAGGTACATCGATTTGGACATTACGCCATTATATTCCGCCTTTATTTTGAAGTTTTCATACTGCTCTATCGTTATGATGGAACACCACCTTGTTATTTGCTCGCTAAGTCGGCGTGGACTGCATTCCATAGACTCACTCTCTGAAGCATAGTTCAACAATAGCTCTCAAAATAAATATGCCCGCAATAACTACGTAAAAAAATTCCTTCATAATTGGCGGCTTTGCGCAAACCGAAAAAAAAAAAAAAAAAAAAAAAAAAAAAAAAAAAAAAAAAAAAAAAAAAAAAAAAAAAAATAGGTATAACTAAAGCAGAAAGCAAACAACTTTTAGTAGCTCACCGGAGGTTATGTTACATACGCCATACAACTGCAAACAAAAACAATGCCCAAAACTTTTCTGCTCTCTCTCTTCATCTAAATCTGTGGTGGGTGGAAACTGGTATAAGATTTATAGGGCTACATGTGGTCTGGGGGCTTGGTGAGAAGAGTAGGGGGGTGGTAACATTCAAACAATGCTGGGGGTTTTGAGCTTGCCTAAGTATATTCGGCTCATTGAGAACAGGTACACAATAGAGGCAGGGACACTGAGAGAAGGAAGCATCAGAATCTTGATCCTCCTCCTGCTGCTGCTGCTGGTGTCGGCGAGGATGGTGGCGATTCTGTTGGTTGGCATGACAGAAACAATGCTCAGATCCGCAATCATTATTTTTGTGCTCATCCATCTTGGGCCCAGGAGCTTGTTTCTGTGTTGAGGCAACAGCTGTTTCGTAGAGCTTTGACATCTGAGGATGTACTTGACGTAGCAGTTCCAATTCCTCAGAGGATAAGGTTCCTATGTTGAAGGCCTCGCTTGGGTTACCTGCAGCATGCCCGGTTGCTCGACTCGCCTCATTGTACGCACTTATACAAGCCGATGCCTTTTCCAAGATCAAACTTTCGAATGCAGTTGAATAGTCCATGTTGAACAAGCCGTTTTCCTTCCGTAGCTTTGCAAGACCATCGCTCCACTGACCTGTTTGCAGGACGCCTATATTGGTAAATCCACGCTCCTTGCCGCCCTTGGCAAGGAACTCTAGTACCCATCGTCGCAATCTATCTCTGTCATCATCATTCCTGGTTGGACTGTTGTATATTTCCTGAAGGATCGATATTGGATTCGCATGCGTTTCACTCAGAGAATGCATTCTGTGCATGGCACTGTCCCTTAGATCCGAGAAATCCAACATACTTGCTAAACTGAACATCCTGATATCAGTAGCGAGGAAGTTCTCAAGTTCAGGCACATAAGTCAGTATCAGTGGAGGGCCTTCAGCGTTTCTCGCTGTGATATAAGGGGATGTAATTTTGACCAATTCTGGGGGGTAGTCGCCATTTAGGAGGTATGAGTAAAAGGCGCAGAATATCTGGTGAGACGGGGCCGGTATGTTCAGAAAGTTAACGTCCTCTGATATCTTAGAAGCTAAAGAGCAGTCCTTCCTCAGGTCAGAGCGTAGGAATGGCACAGCGTAGTTCTCATAGTGTAGTTCAATATAGTCCTTTAATCGATACCGATATTGACTGCGCAATACTGGCGTAAATCTCTGTTTCACAAGGTCAACGACATGGATATAGTGTGATTTCGGACTGAGGTATACAAGATCAGTATGCATATTTTACAACGAGGAACACTTAACTTACTATGGATCCCCGAGGTCTGATTTTCCATTATGCCCATGCTTCAAGTGTAACTCCTTCAAGGTTAAGGTGTAATCACTGCATGTCTTCCTGTCTAAGAAATCCGTCGATTGGTAGGTACAGCATTTACCGGGCTCGGCTAAATTAGCCACTGTTCGTTCGGCGCGACAAAGCTGACGCTGATCATTCAGATGGTGCCGAGCACGATCGAAAAGGAACAAGTTTGGCATTCTATTGAAACCCTGAGGTTGGAAGACATCCATAATTTTATATACCAGTGTGCTGTAAGCTAGGTCATGGCCGAGATTCTGTCTTTCCGAACGGTTCTTACCCAAGCTGGGCGGTCCACAGCAAGCAAGGAAGTAGGCGTGAGCCATATGATGTATGAGAATAGATATGATTCCTTCGGCAGAGCTGTCCTTTATCAAGGCATGTTGGAGGTCGATTGTGATTCTTTTGTCTCGTGAGCCTGGCTTGCTGGTCAGCCCGTGTACGCAAGAGGGTAGAATATTCGACCATCTGAGGTAGACTTGGTCCTTAAGCACGCCACGGAAAAGATGTGAGTCGAGAGTGTTGAACAGCCTGAAGGGGAGGTATTTGTAGCCATGCAAGGGGCAACGAGGCGTTTCTAGATGTGGAGCGCGGAAACTCTCAAGTGCATCAAGGGCTAGTTTTGTTGCTAGGACTTCGCTGATTCCTATGCTATGAAGGGAAGATGCCTTCAACGCTCGTAATCCGCAGCCAGACTTTTCCTCAGACGCTTCAGGATAGGTACGACAGATGCACTTTGGATGTGGAGACATGATATATTAGGGCAACGAAGATGTGATAGAATGAAATTTCCATGAGATAGACTTGGTAAGAATCTGTCTGTCCTGTATGAGTAGCAAATGCGAGGCTGGCTGTTTAAATAACATGGCTCTTCCAATGCAGCGGTGCATTTATGGTTGCATCATCCATTACTGCTAAATGTTGGGGCTCCATGTTTGATGTCACACGGAGCGGACCGCTTGGACACCAATGCAAAGTGTCTGCCCAAGGTTGTCCAGCGTGATGTTTGATATTTGATAGTAATAATATATAAGAATGTTGGGGGACCATGATGTTCTTATTGCTGGTAGTCGCCATACAGGGGTATTCGGCAGATGGTCATTTTTGAAGACGCATACATCATAGTTTGTCAATGGAAACACAGAAAGTGACCAGCGCTGACAGCTTGACTCATTTCAGTGGATAAGAGAGATGCCTAATCCAAACATTGACATCAGGTTTGCCATCTTTCAAGGCGACGTCTGGCCTCTTGTCTCACGGTTAACGTCAACCCTCGAACGGAAACAAACGTCCATAAGCAAAGGACCACGTCATGGAGTCAGGAACGAGTTGAGCATGCTGGGACGCGGTAGCCGGTTGGTTGCTTTCAGACTCTTCTGGCTATTGATTTCGGGGAGTAGAGACGGACGGTTGGGTTGTTTTGGTTACACAGTAAGAGCGTTGGCCGGAGTCGCGCAAACTTGCTGGACGTTAGCATATCAAAGGGTTCAACGCCTGGTCAGTTAGCGGGAGAAACGGGTATCACAATCACCAAGCAATTATTCTAGATAGTTCCAGATAAGCCTTGGAGTGCTACGTAGGAAAGGAAAACAGAAATTCATTCAATATCACGTAGAATTAAGTCGGGACCGGGCATATATAGAGGTACATGAGAAGCAAAAGAAGTGGCTCAAAGGGGCAACAGAGAGGGAGGGATCGGGCCGAACAAAACAGAGATGAAGGGTTGGGTGTGAAGTAAGATTCAACATCCATTCGGGGAGAAATGTTGTAAAAAAAATTTCAGCTTGTTTTGTTGCAGGTTGCCGCTGGAGTCCACCAATCTGCGAGAATCGAGGGAGAATGAACAGTCAAAAAAGGAATCAACGGGGGGATCCAAAGCAACGAGAAAAATCAGAAGGCCGTATAACAAAGGAAAGGAGGCGAAAGGGGAGGCGTGATCAAGGAGGAGGATATCGCAGGTTGAAAATCTATCCTGGAAATATATGGTCGATATATTGATTGGCGCGGATAAATGGGGCGGAACTCCGCGATGCAAAGAATATACACGGCAGGCGAGATTTCGGATGGGAATTTTTTTTTTTTCAGTCTCTAGGTAGTTCCTGTGGGCCTTTTGTTAGTGTACCTTGGAGAAAACTAGAGTTAGTAGTCGCGTCGTGGTGGTGGGTAATCTTCTGGGCGGCCGGTTGAACTCTTTCCGGAGCCGTATTGCTATAGGTTTATTGTCAGTATGATGTCGTATGTAAGCTGGAAAGAGAGACACAAACCTTGCGCTTGAGAGCTTCCAGTCTCTTCTTCTTGGTGTGAGCGTTGATGTAGGTTCCGATAATGAAACCTATAACGTTGAAGAAGGGGACCCAGGTGTGTTCTGGGAGGAACTGCTGGGCAAAGGCCAGGGAAAGCGGCGAGACGATCCAGCTGACCTTCATGACGGGCATGAAGCCGGCCTTGACGGTGGCGCGGACCTGATGGAAGGTTCGAGCGCCTGCAATGATGGCCATTGAGGTGAGATAGATTACGTTCTGGATGGGAGAGACCTGTAATTGTCGTTGTCGTTAGTTAGGCGCCCAGCCTGTAAACAAGGTGTAGTAGAGTTAACAATTGGGGGGGGGGGGCATACAACGAGGTTGCTGACGAGGATCTGGAGGACCTTTGCCTTGAGGCTGGTGCGTCCGGCAAAGATCTTCTGTAGGATGCCGACGAGCAGGTGGCCGAGCGGCGCGCTGATGAAGGCACCGTAGAGCGACATCTTGGGGATGCGGGAGTTGAGGTAGTGGCCATGCTTGCTGCGGTCATGCGCGATCCACGAGGCGAGCAGTTCCTGGATACCGAAGAGAGCACCAGAGGTGATCATCTTGGTTCGCAGCGGGTTCGACTGGAGCTCTTTGAGGTATGCCTGGACAGATGTTAGCCGTGCAGTCCATGCCAGCCACCGCGACAGCAGCAACAACGACAATAACGAGAGAGACGACATACGGCGAGGTAGCCATTCTGAGACTTGCCGCCAGTCAGCCGTTCACCGACCGCATGAACGAGGTCCTCGCTGGCCTTTGTAGCGGCGGTGCCGGCAGTGCGGACGGTATCCTTCTCGAACTTGACGGAGGTCGTCATGGTTGCTGGAAGGCTGGGCCAGGGGATAGCAGCAGCAGGAGCAGCAGCAGTAACAGCAACAACAACGGCAGGACGAGCGAGCGGGCGAGAAGGCGATGAATTGGGCGAGGCGACGGTAGGGCGAGGAGGAGAGCAGCGGCGGGACAGGCGAGATGTCTCTGGCTGGTGCGAGCGGACGATGGCGGCTGGTTTTATGGACGGCCGGGCGGAGGGGACGAGGTGATGTTTTTCAGGCTGTTTTGTCGCGTTCGTCGAGCCGGCTGGGCTGGAGCTAGCGTTTGTTTGTTGTGGTCCAGCCGAGGTTGGCAGGGATCACTACTCCTTGAGTATAAGATAGAGACGACAGCGAGCGATGGAGGCAGAAGATGAAGCTGGCAGAGGCAGAAGACGGCGGCGAAGTCGATGTCGTTGGCGAAGTCGATGGAGGTCGTCGAAATAAAGTATTTTAAGGTGAAGTCGAGAAGGCTCGAAAAGGAAAAGTTGAAGCTGAAGTTGATTACCCGATTGGGCGATTCTCGGGAAAAGGCGACCAAGATATAAGAAGAGATATAGAAGACGAGGACGACTGATAGCGATGACGGCGATGACGGCGACGGCGGTGGAAGAAGAGGACACAGAATAGCAGAGGAATAAGGGAGGAGAGTAAAGAAGCTGTGTCGCTGCCGCTACCAAGTATAATACATGTACAGAGGTAGAATCACCTTCTATATTCTTATATTAGGGGTTCTCTAGAGATACAGGGTAGATTTATTACCTTCATAACCTCCACATTAGGTATAAAATATCAAATAAAACAAAATCACTGTGGAAAGGCAAAGTCTCTCTTGACCCATGTTTGCACTTTCACCAAAAATATATACGCAGACTTCTTCCTCCCATCGTCATAGCCATCAGGGCATAGGGCTATTGTAGCCGGCATCGTAATCGTCATAAGCAGCAGAATCCTCAGTATTGCCTCCTTCCTGACCATCTTCTTCTTATTCGTGGCTTCACTGCAGCAGCTCAGCAGGTCTATGCCTTCCCGCACAAAAGAGCCACCGAAAAGATAACTATATATATATATATATTATATAACGAGAACAAAGAGCCGACCGAGACGAAAGAGAGTAGATGGGTCTCAGACGTGGTTCACGAGGCTACTGGCGTGCGGATTGCACGCATGTCTGCACCTCCCGCGTCCTTGACACTGACAACAGACTCTGGTGCGCACGCTGCGGCTTCGGCAATAAGACGCGCTGGGTATATGTCTGCGCCGAAGACCAGGATCGGACTCTCAGCGACGGCTTCATCCGCGGCCTGGCAGAGACGGGCTCCGACTTGTCGCCCGAGACGTTGCAGCAGCAGGAGTTGGAGCTGCCCCTGAACGACTGGATGAGCAAGGCCGTCGCGGACGGCCACTACACCGAGGAGGAGGTCGTGACACTCAAGCAGCAGCGGGCGTCCGTCCTCGAGGGTATGCGCACGGAGGCAACGCGCCATGCGGAAGAGCGCGAGATGGCAGAGGTAGAGGCAGACATGCTTGCATGGTACGGTATACCAATGCGGCCGCCCCCGGGTATCGCAGCGCCAGCAAGGGGCTACAGCAACAGCATCAGCGACAGAATCAACAACATCATCAGCGAGCACGACGGGCCTGTCGTCCCGGAATGCCACAAGGTATACTGCCTACGCTGCCGGCCGAGCCACCACGAGAGAGCATGGCAGAGCCTGAACGGACTGTGCAGTGAGAACAACGAGCTGCTGCTTAAGAAAGCTGCCATCGGCCAGCCAGCCAGCATCTTCGACATCCCCATGAGCGAGATCAGGCGGCCGCTCCCTCGGCCGGAGCTCCCCGGGAACGACAAGAGGCCCGGCCAGAGGGTATCATTGCAATCATCCATGGGAGATGTCTGGAAGGACTGCTGGTCAGATCTTGTCTACGGGCAGCTCAACCGCACGGCAGACCAGGACCACGACCAGCCAGAGAGACCAGAGAGACCAGAGAGACCAGAGAGACCAGAGAGACCAGAGAGGCCAGAGAAGCCAGAGAAGCCAGAGACACCATTGAGACGGCCTCGACTGGTCCGGATGCCCAAGTTCTGCTTCGAACGGGGGTCGCCATTTGCGTCTCTCGACCGGGGGGCCGATACACCAGACGAGCAGCCAGACCACGACACAGACAGACACGGAGAGGAGGACGAGATCACAGAAGAGACGCAAAACTGAGGCCGGCGTGGACTGTTTGGCTACCTTCCTGTATATATTTTGGTCTGATAGCTATCTAATGCACGAATGAATGAATTAATCTCACGACTTCATTGATATAGACAGAATCGGGCCTCGGCTGAAACTGGCGGAGAAAGGTTGCGCCTTTTGCTCGGCCATGATTTTAATCCTGAAGAACTTCCCCCTTTCACCGTCGATTACTAGTTATTTATTACCTGCTTGCTCACTGCCTGCAGGTCAAGAAGCAGACACGATGGAAGAGAGCCTGACGGAGTCGACGGTGCTGGTGGACGTCGCGCCGCAGCCCGTCGAGGCCGAGAAGAAGGCGAAGAAGCCGCCCTCTGCGCTTGCAGCCGTGGACTCGACCATCCTGCGTCTGAACAAGTGAGTGTCTTCCTCGTCTGGCCATTTGGGGCCGAATTACTGCTAACCGAAGATGCAGATTCATATCCAGCGCGCATGGGACTGAACGGGCGTTTGCTACCGTTGGCTACTCGGCGCATATCCTGCACTACGCCCTCGCGCATTCACGCAGATTGAACCAGCTGGCTCTCGCAGCCCTCGGAAGGAAACCGGCAGTCACTCCTCCCTCCAAGGCCGCCGGCGGTACTGCTGCTGCAGCTTCGTCACACCCGCATCTGCTGGCTCTCGCATCCCTGGTATCAGAAACACGCACTTCGCTACGGCTGCTCGGCCTCCTCCCGCTCTGGGCCTGGGGCTCCTCGACATACAAATCACCACCGGCAGATCCCGTGCTGCGAGCCATTGCGTACGGGCAGGTGCTTGCCTGCGTGCTCTTCCAGCTGCTTGAAAATGTAGCCTTCCTGGCCTCCAAGGGGGTTCTCAGCAAGCGCGCCGTCGAGCGATGGGGCAGTCTGTCCAAGTGGTCCCTTTGGAGTGTCAGGGCGTGGCTGGTGCATGTACTTCTTGAATTTGTCCGGCTGGCGCGGGAGAGCCAGATTGCTGCTGCTGCTGAAGGACAGAAGAGCCAAGCGGGTGCAAAGAAAGACATTGGAGAGGCTGAGAAGGGAGTTCGCGAGAAGACCAAGGAAGAGGCTGTCAAGATGGCTGCAAAGTTCAAGGCGTGGAGGAAGAGCATGGTCAACAACCTTGCATGGCTGCCCCTGTGTCTGCATTGGAGCGTAGACGGCGGAATAGGGGTTCCGGCCAGTCTGGTGGGAGTTCTCAGTCTCACGGCCGGTGCTTGGGGAATTCATGATCTATGGCTTTCTACTTGATAGACACATTTGGTTTGACACTTTGACTACTTGAGGGTTTTTATTTCGGGAGGAATATAACTTTTTACTCTCGGTTATTATTGTATAGATTAAGGGTAAATATTTTATTATTTATATATATAACATGGCTATATATAATTCATAGTGCCAATTCAAAGTTTGGTGCATTCGAGGCCAGTGTAGCCGCGTGGAGTCTGCATACCCTAGTTAGTTCACCTGGTATCTATTTGTGAGCTTCAACTGAGGGCGACTTACGTTGCTGTAGCTCTTGCAGCAGACTGGGATGAGAGCCTGGCCGGGCTCCTGGCAGTAGGTAGCACCTGGCTCAGCACCTAATTCTTTGTCAGTCATTGACTACGCCTTTGATATACAACGATTATCAAGTTCACTCACAGTAGTAGCCGACTTTGTTCTCGTTGATGTTCTGGCAGCAGTTGGGCTGGGTTCCGGCAGGGCACTCAGCGGCCTGGGAGAAGGCAACGAGGGAGAGGACAGAGAAGATGATGCTGGAGAAACGCATTTTGACAGCTCTTTGGAAGCTGATAGTGGGACTGTAGTGAATGTAGATTTGGATGCTGATCTGGGGAGATCTACCGGCTCAACAGCAGGGCAGCCAGTCTTTTATATCCAGCAGGCTCTCAGCAGACAGCAGTTGGCGTCCCTTTGGAAAACACGATTGATGTCTTAGATTCGACCCAAAAATAAGCAGCTCACAGTTGATATTTGACTTTCCACTCTTTGGCATCCTCCATTTTCTCGTATTATTGACAGCGCTGGCCATAGCGTATGGAGTCACAGGCTGGATCTGCGTCCGTCCAGATGGCGATATGCCCAGCCAGACCAGTTGGCCGCCGTAAAAAAGACAAAGGGGCGTATCCTGGGAGGTTCTTCCAGTTGGAAAGAGACACATCTTCTGCACTAGACCCAGCCCAGGTCCGCGAGATCTCCGGCGGCGTCTTCCGCTGGCCTCAGCAGAGGTGAAACAGGTGAAACATGCCTCTCTGTCCTCGCTCTGGAGAAGTCACTGTTGCATCGTGTGCGGAATGCTCGCATCTCGGGCTGTTCTCTGTCCGAGTAACGAGTGTTCGTTCGTAGTCACTGCTGGCCTGGTAGCTATCCCGTCCGGCAAACCGTCTGATATCCGCCCTGATATAACTGTTATCCCTGTCATATATCTCGATCGCAGCCATAATCGTGCCGAGAGATCCCATCCAGACTTTCTCGAGGCTCTCTCGTCTCTTGATGCCTTCTGGATGTGTCTATCCAGCGTCTGTCGAGGAGAGGAAAGGTTATCAAGCCACTGCAGCGGACAAGGCTGCGGCTGACAGGAAGCAAAGCAACCTCCTCCATCCACCCAGGCATGATTAAAAAACCCCCCCGTAGATCATCGTCCAACCCGTATAACCCATCAACGAGTCCGTCGACCGGCTATCCCGGCCTGCCTGCCTGTAACTCGACCCAGCCAGCAAGATGTACAAGCGCAGCGTCTTCACCTCCGTCACGCCGCTGCCGCCGTACATCACCCGCGAGATGGTGGTGCGCACCCTCCACGAACACAGCGAGATGATCAAGCTGAACCCCTTGGTCATCGACTTCAAGCGCTGCTCGCCGCCGTCCCATGCGCCGGCCGACGAATTCCACTGCGTCTGGTACGAGCTGACGGACCGCGTGCAGTATCTGCCCGGCGGCCTGCTGTCCGGCAACGTCTCGTACAAGGCCTGCTTCCACGACCTGCCCGGCGGCCTGCAGACGCACGTCTACGCGCCCACCGGCCTCGACATCCAGGAGAAATGGAGCGTCGGCGGCAACATGCCCGGCGAGCCTCGCGAGACCGTCGAGCTAGGCATCCCGGGCGCCCCCCGGGAAGGGCTGTACCTGCGCGAGGACGTCAACATGCGCTGCAACGTCCTGGCGACGGGCTTCGTGAAGAAGACGCTGCGGCGGGCGCACGCGGTGCTGGTCGACCGGCTGCTGCTCAAGGCCGACATCGACGAGCAGAAGCGCATGGGATCCGAGACGGCGACCTCGATCTCGGCCACCTCGCCGTCGCTGGCGTCGCCCTCGCTGCGGCAGCAGGAGAGGATGGCGCACTGCTCCAGCTGGGCCAACAGCGTCGAGCATGCCCGCGGCTCAGTGGCCGTCTCGGAGATCGACAGCGAGCCGCATCCCCGTCCTGCGTCCCTTGCTCAGGGCCAGAATCAAGAGCAGAAGGTCTTTGAGCTCGCTTGATTGTCTGTCGTTTTGTCTTTGCCCGTCGTTGCTGGAGATGGGGGGGGGGGGGGGGGGGGGGCTTGCCTGCTTGATATTGTCCTCCTGTATTGTTGCAAGGGCCGTGAATGTGAGCATTCTGCTTAATACCTTCCTGCAGCCGTCAAGAAGAGCTGTCGATGCCTTCTGATCAATAAGATATTGGAGTCTCTGAGGCTGACATCTTGTATCTACTTCTACCAAAATCAGATCAAGGTATGCAGCTCGACTGTATCATTCTGTCTTCTACCTAATTAACTACCTGAACTAACTAAAAGACACCTCCTTTATTTGTGCTTTCTAGCTATTTCATATTTTTTTTGTCGTTTTTCACTTTTATCTCTCTCTCTTGGGTACTGCTGTTTATTCATTCCAGTCGTTAGATTCCGAAGTAATGATTGTTCCACTCGAATTTTGAGATCTCAACGGCTTCCAAACTTCAACCAAAATTTGGCCAATATTGAAGCTAAGCTCACTCGATGAGACGCCAAAGGTTCAAACCTTCCTCTATGCTCTGCTGCTGGACACTGTCTGGCAGTCTGCTGTCATTTATCACACTTCTAGTAGTGAGATTATGATAATCTCTCTGGTCTGGACTGCAGCCATCGTTCACACTCTGCCCCTGAATACACATGAGGTTGTTCAATAGCTTCGCCTGCTTCTTCAAGTCGTTGGCTTCGTTTGTGATAGCCAGGACCAATCTGATACCCTCGAGCAGGTAGACCATGTACGCGATGGTCCTGTGTGCTTCATGCTCAGCATCTTTGTAATGCTGCCACAGCAGATGGAACCAACTCTTGCGCTCGTTCCAGCACAGGCACCAGATGGCGCGGAGAGCCTCGATAATAGTGTCTCCGTTGGGAACCCGATCATCCCACTCAGTGATACGGCTTATCAGGGCCTTGCACCACCAGATCGTCACTTCATGCAAGTCAGCCACGTCGCTGGCGCGCTGGGCATGATGTTTGGCCAGGACCAGCTTACCCTGCGCCAGACGGATAATCATGAGACGGGCGTGGCCGATGCACAGGGTGTCTCTCCACATCCGTCCATATTGCTCTTCGGCGCCGTACTTGTTCATGGCATGGATGAAGAAAAAGCCCCATTCGGCCATCTTAAGGTCTTCCTTGGCCCAGTTGATCTGCCACAGATCCGCTTTGAATGGGTCCACGTACTCCCGCAGCATACCGAGCAGCTCGATAGAGCTGAATCTGATTTGTAGGCGGTTCAGTTGGATTATCCTATCGCCAGCAATACGGTTCTGGAACCAGAAGGTCACAGTGCGGGAGTAGTCGTCCTCCCCGAGGAGTTTCAGCGGCTCCAGCATCTTGACAATTCGGGCGATGCAGTCGAGCTTCTGTTGATGACTGAAGAAATCGGTCTCATTGAGTCGGACAACCAGGGACCAAGGGATGCTGCTGTATGAGATCATTAAGGCGACCAGGTCCCACACGCAGCCCAGGGCCATGACAAAAAACTGCCGCTCAGCCAAGGCAATGTTTGGGTTTTCTTCGACCTGCATCTCAATTGGCACATGGTAAACATACGGAGAGTATCCAGGCAGGCCAAGGCCCCTCCAATTAGCCGGAATTGGGAGGGCGGCACCCATCTCCGTCAAGCCTTGAGCAATCCGAGTATCCGATGTGCTTACAACAACCCACAAGTTCTGGCGGCCCAGGACCGTGACCGTCTCATGATAGATTTGACGGTTAACGCGCAAGATTGCAGGGTGTAGGTGGTACTTTGTGATGCGTGGGCATCTTGACCAAAGCCATGGGGTCGGAATATCCGAAGACGCCGTGTCGTCGATGACCTCTCCGGTTACCCAGTTGGGGTGGATGGATTGTTTCATCGTGTACGTCGTGTCGAGCACCAACTTATAGATGGCTTCACGTGTTGGAAAAGGGAGATTCAGAATGCCGATGCTGGCAGCCTGATATGACACGGATTGGACGAGCTGCCTAATAGGAGATGGCATATCCCGCGCTGTCCATTGGGGCATAAGCTGAGCTGCAGCTACGTCGAGATATTCGACAGGGACCGGCTGTTGCAATTGTAGACGTGATTGAACACGCAGAGACTCGATTTGCTGCAAGAGCCTCGATAAATCCTCGAGCATTTGCCCTTGAGTGTTCAAGGCGCCGAAGAAATTGGCACCACTTGCAAACATCCCGCCTCCCAGCATAAATGCACTGTTGGGCCATGGTTGATTGGGTTGGTAGAGGACCACCTCGTCCATCTCGGCCATAATATCGACCAACCCCCAGTCAAAGTTTGCAGCGGCCATTTTATCAACTGCCTTTGTGTTAGCTTAGGTCAAACAGGCATCAACGGACTTCAAGACATACCTCTTTTTCAATCCTGCCCCCTAGGTGGCTGAATTTATTCTATGAAGTCAACCTTGAGGATTACTCTGTCAAAGGTCAGCAGCTAGCACCACAATACCAATTCTGCGGGTGGGTATGTGATAGGGAGGGAGAGAGACGGCCCCAACTCACCTTGAATATGGAGATTTTCTAGTATCTCTTGGGCGTCTCGAGTCAATAAAATGGCGTCAGTCTATCAACCTGGTCAGCTCCAGTGCTCCTCTATCGTCCCTGGGGAACTTGAGACTCGGCCTCCGTGGATACCATCCGTACCTTCTGTAGAAGCAAGAGCTCGACCAGCTCTGATGGTGCAGCTTGAAGACAGAGAAGAGCCACAGCTTCATCCAGCAGTTTGCCTGGCAAGTGAAAGAAGAAGAGTCTGCAGATGCGGAAGACAGAAAGAAGACAAGAAGAAGAAAGAAAAGAAAAGAAAAAGGAGGAAAAGAAGTGCCTGCTCGGCGCCTGCTTAGTCGCCAGCAGGACGTCCTCCTGCTGCGCATTCTGTCTGTCTCTGTCTCTGTGTCTGTGGCTTTGTCTCTATGACTATCTATAACTATCTATGTACTTGCCTGTCTGTACTTCTAGTGGTACCTCTGATATGGGAAGGCAGAGCAGATATGGTTCACAGGAAAGGGTCCGCTCTATTGACTTGCTACCTGCTAACTTGCACCTTTAAAGACATTTCATAGACAGGCCACAGAACTACATACTGCCTTGTCTAGGCTCAAAAGATGAGTTCAAGGTGGATTTAGCATAAAGTATTATGATGCCTCTGGCTTTGTGCTTAAAAAAAGGAGTTTGGTGAAGTTCAGACGGAAAGGTGCTGTTGAGATAATGCCAGTTGATTTTAGGATAAAAAGGGGGTTTAACTATATCTTAGGGACTGCCAAATATATGAAAGTGATTCCCAAAGATACCCAAAACTCTAGTGACTCCAGCTTCAGATCTTTCCTCCCTGATATTATCAGTCACTAGAAGTCAATCAGCACATGTCATGTATTTCACATGAGGGCTATTGTTGGAGAGCTTACCTGGTCTAACAAGCCAGTTCAAAGTCTTCTGCTCAGACCTAGCATGATTCATATCCGGTTGTGGTTCGCTCATACCAGGGGCTTGCAAGAAACTTATCGATCCTCCACTGGGTTGCCGAAGCCGGGGAAATGCCAATATCCTCCCCTCCAGTCCACACAAAGGCTGCCGCGTCTAGGTTCGATAGGTTGCCGTCATCCAGCACAATCTCAACACGCACGTTCCTCATCTCTACCTCGTTCGATGCTTCGAGCTCGTGTATCCAACCTCGTCGTGCCGCCGTGAGGTTGAATATCAGCATTCCATCCACATAGTCCCCTGGTTCACTGGAGGGCATTACCAGAGGAAGCTCGCTCCCTTCAAACAAGTACAGCTTGTGGCCCAGGAGACTCCCCTGGCTCATGTACCGGGCCTGATCCATATGTGCGTCTGCGTCCGTCGTGCTCTTCAGGAAGGACGGCAACATGAGAGGCCCGAAGACAAACAGTGGTATTGTCTCTTCACAGTAGGCTGTGAGCTGTTGTTGGCTTAGAGTGTTTCTGAGAGCTCGACGATACTCTCGAGGATAGTGGTCCAGTGCTACCAGCCGGCTAACTCCCAACCCGCCGCTCATGGTCCACTTCAAATGAGAAAGGATCTGTGGAGGACCTGATGACTTGGGTATGGACTCTTCTTCCTTCGCGCTCTTGTTCAAGTAATAGTCAATGATCTTGTTTGCTGTGTTGTATGGATTAGGGGGGAGCAAGTTGTTTGCAGAGGCTAGGAGCCTCGAGAGGTAGGAAAACTTGCCATATTGGCTTTGACAGGCTTTCATAGGCATTTCTATTTTTCCTTAGCAGTTCTCCTTTTGACAAGTGTGATCTTCCTGTAGCTGTGTTATGGCTTGGATACTCCCTACAGTGAAGAAGACGGCACCTTGGTCTGATCGCCTGGCCCCTATATATAAGCATTTCTAGGATGCCGTAGATGGCAGAAGATACCAGACTCTTGATAAGGATCAGTACTTAATAGAAGACAATTCTCGTGGCGTCTTTGATATCGTTGCTTTCTATTAACTGGAGCTGCCTTGTCGATTCTATAATCTCCGTGATATTTTCACTAGGACAATGGAAGCTACGAGGTCGATTGGTTTAACTAACAAGAGCGGCTGTAAAACAAACAGACTGAATAGAAAGAGCAATCAGGTCTCACTAGAAAACTGACTGCTTTCTACCAGGCGGTTATTTATCAGCTGTCTGCCAATGTTGAGATTTGGCTGTTTGCTTTTAGTCGATACCCCTGAATCTCGATAGAGTGCTACGGACAATTTCGCAAGATGGAGTCTACGTAGAATTGAAAGGCTATTCATAAGTCGTATACCATTATGAAATCTTTATGTTGACATTCAAGAGGCAACTAGTAAACGGATAGGGAGTAAAGGCACTATGAGATGTATGTAGTAAAAGCATGGCGACCACAGGTCCAATCTCGAACAAACCACAAAACCCCCTGGTTCTCCTACTCCTCTTGCAATTAACGGAATCCTTTGAGCAACGCTGCTTTTCGGGCAACCAGATACCAAATGAGAATAAAGAACATGAGTCAAAGTTGGATAAAGCTAGAGGGACAACAAACCCCAGTTACATTTTAGTCATAAAGGCTGTCATCGTTTCCAGCATCACCAAATCCGGTCTCACCGGCACTAATTCCATCAGTAGGGAACTTGAAAAAGTTGCTGCCGGTGTTCTTCATGCTCTGCGCGAAGGCTTCGTATCGTCGGATCTCGGTGTCGGTGACGGATCGTCGAGCATCCTTCATGGCTTCCTCGAAGTGAGCCTTGGTGAGTTCAGGAACTGGATCCTCGTCATCAATATCGTCCTCCATCGCATCTTCACCTGCTGCTTCACGCTCCTTGGTTCTTCGAATAGCAGTTGCAATGGACTCCTTGATGGCCAACTTGACAGCACGTTGGGTAACGAATCCAAGATCCGCACCAGAGAAGCCATGGGTTTTAGAGGCTATGTAGGCAAGGTCCACATCGCTGGCAACTGGGGTCTTGCGGAGCTGGGCCTTGAGGATAGCAGTACGCTCCGGCTCGTTGGGTAGGGGGACGTAGACTAGTGTGTCGAGACGACCGGGACGGCAGAGAGCATTATCAAGCTGCTCAGGTCGGTTAGTGGCGCCGATGACGAAAACGTTCTTCTTTGAAGTCATTCCGTCCATCTCCGTGAGCAACTGGTTAACAACACGGTCAGAAGCACCGCCGGCATCTCCAGAGGAAGCGCCTCGGGACTTGGCAATAGAATCCAGTTCATCAAGGAAAACAACACAAGGAGCTGCAGCACGGGCCTTGTCGAAAATATCGCGGATATTGCTCTCAGATTCACCGAACCACATGCTCAACAGCTCAGGTCCCTTAACAGAAATGAAGTTGGCAGCGCACTCGTTTGCAACAGCCTTGGCCAGTAAGGTTTTACCAGTACCAGGAGGTCCGTAGAAAAGGACACCCTTTGATGGGGAAAGGCCAAACTTGAGGAACTTCTCGGGATGGTCGACTGGGTACTGGACGCTCTCGATAAGCTCGCGCTTGACCTCCTCGAGTCCACCGATATCGTCCCAGCGAACGTTTGGAACCTCGACGACGGCAACTTCGCGAAGCGCAGATGGATTGGAAACACCAAGGGCAAAGCGGAAGTTCTCCATTGTGACACCAAGAGAATCAAGGACTTCGGCATCGATAGTATCTTCATCAAGATCAATGAGGTCCATCTTTTCACGGATTTGCTGCATAGCAGCTTCAGAGCAGAGGGATGCAATATCAGAGCCGACGTAACCGTGGGTTTCGGCAGCAATTGATTCAAGATCAACATCCTCACCAAGTTTCATGTTCTTGGTGTGGATTTGAAGAATCTCAAGACGACCAGTTGGGTCAGGAATGCCAATATCGACTTCACGATCAAAACGGCCAAAACGTCGGAGTGCAGGGTCAATGGAGTTAGGACGGTTAGTGGCAGCCATAACAACGATGTTTGAACGAGCCTTCATGCCATCCATGAGAGTCAAGAGCTGGGAAACAACGCGACGCTCAACTTCTCCGTTTGTCTTCTCACGCTTGGGTGCAATGGAATCAATCTCGTCAATGAAAATAATAGCGGGAGAGTTCTTTTCAGCTTCTTCGAAAGCCTTTCGCAAGTTGGATTCAGATTCACCAGCCATCTTTGACATAATCTCAGGACCGTTGATCAGGAAGAAGAAAGCACCAGTCTCATTGGCAACGGCACGGGCCATCAGAGTCTTACCTGTACCAGGAGGACCAAACATGAGAATACCTCGAGGAGGCTTGATACCGATTGACTTGAAGAGTTGGGGGTGACGGAGTGGTAGTTCAACAAGCTCACGAATCTGAGCCATTTGCTTTCTGCATCCACCAATGTCGTCATATCCAACATCATTGAGGTTGCCCTCCTCATCTTCTCGCTGGATTGGCTCACCCTCACAGTGGATGACAGTGTCTTGGGCGACGATTCCGTATTCTGGGGGGTCGACCTCCACTACTTTGAATTCAACCTGTCTCATACCACCACGGACAGTGAAGAGGTCACCTTGTCGGACTGGTCGGTAGGCCTCGCGGAAGTATGGAGCAAGGAAAACGTCGAACAAGGACCCGGTAAGGCCTTCGACGGTATCAGCAATGGGTAGAACGGCAATACGTTTAGCCTGTTGGAAGTCATGTCAATAATTATCCCTGTTCACTTTATAGATGCCGAACATTAACGTACGTATTTAATATCTGGGCAAGGGTGAACAGTGACGACGTCTCCATGCTTAACCCTTAGGTTATGTCGTACAACTCTGTTGAGACGAACACTGCCATCATCGAGATCATCATCTGCCAGTACGATCAGGACAGTGTCTCTTCGCATCTTGCCCTTTACTAGAACGGTATCACCACGGAAGAGTTGGAGTGTCTCCATGGTGTTGTTTGAAAGTGCAATAACAGAGTTGTCATCGTTGACAGCATCAGTGACACTGAAAATGAGTTAGAACTGAACTCTGTGTTGCTCCTAGCCGGTAAATGGGTTGCCGATGTCCTACTTACATCAACGAGTTTGGCTTCTTCTTCTTCTTGAGGATAGCAGTCGAAGTGTCAAGCTCCTATTTGCGGAGTTAGAATGCTAAACAATCAGAACAAATGTATCCGAGAGCTCACCTCATGTTTTTCGGCACCTGAAGGGTCACTATCAACGGGAGAAGGCCAGATGTTAGCTTGGACCTCATTAACCATGGATATGTCTACGAACAGCCGACTCACTTCAAGTTAGCCTTGGGTTTGTGCTCTGGATCATGAGACATCCTGAGAGTACTGTGATCGAAATCGAAAATCTATGTGACAGTGGAAAAACGGCCTCGGAAGCCCTGGGTCAGAGCTAGTCTGCTGGTGGGAGGTTAGCTAAGTCAAGTAATAGGCAACGAGATTTGAGGCTTACCACGTTATTTCTGGGAAAGACCTTCTTCTAGGAATGCAGAGAGGGAGAATGACAAGCAGTAGGAGTTGAGAAAAAGAGGAAGAAGAAAAAGATACCGCTTGATGGTGATGGTGGTGGTTTGCGGTTGTTGTTGTTTCTTGCTGAGATCGGCTTTGTTGGCAATAAAGACGGCGGCAAAGCTTGGGGCAGCTGAGTCAGCAGAGTTTCCAAGAGAGTCTCGTGACCCCGAGGCGAGTGTGATGGCAGGACATTAATAATCAGCTGGAGTACCGCCAGCCAATCAGCAACTGGCGGTGAGAGAGCTTGGAAGGCGCTGGAAAGCGCTGGACCGGGCGTCCTATGCAGGACGAAGTGACCACGCAGCGCTGGAGCCTAGACAGAGGTGCCAATGACAAGGGGAGGGCGCTAAAGTGTATCACCGCCTGATGACTAATCAACATTTACAAGGACAAAGTGATATAGAGGATTTACCATCAAGGATCAGAAGAGTTTCGAAGACCGCAAGAGGACGCCATTGACGCGCCAGCCGGTTTAAATGCCACATGCCATACCTGTACATACACACAACATGCAACACAAATAAAACGAAACACGAATTCCCATGTAAATGAAACAAGCCAGAATATTGAAAGCCACCTTCTATCGTTGCTCCCCTCCCCCCACCAAGCAGAGTCCACATTCCATATTAAAAGTGAGGATATGAGGGTTGAAAAGTGTGAAAAAGGAAAAAGCAAAAGCATAAAACGATGTATCATGATAGCGCCATTGACCCTGGATACGCCCATTAAAAAAAATAGAGAGTTAAGCAGCAAGATGAGATGATGCCTGCTAGCTTCCGGTATTGCTTTTCGGTAAAGGATGACCGTTAGTCTTGGGCGGGTCACTGGCCTTTTTCTTCATTTCTTTCCTTGCAATTGGTATATCATCGTCACTCTCTGGGTCATGGCCCCGGGTGCCGTTTGGTTGGTCCTCAGTATCGGAGCTAAACAACTCATGCATCGAATCCTGTAGGAATTTAACGCCGTTGTTCACAGCTCGTTCGGGAATTTGAACGTTGTAGTGCGCCACGATATCTGATACACTGCTACCGTATGAAGCTAGTGGGCCACTCTCAGGTATGGAGTTGCTACCTTCCGTAGTCTCCTTCTTCACCGTCACTTCTCCGGCTCCGTTGGCGGTGCTGGTGGTAGGGTTCGGTTTTACACGTTTGCCATTTTTCACGGCTCCGTTGGCCAGTTTTGAATCGTCTTCTCCGTCCCGTTTTCTTTTCCCTAAAGAAGGCGAGCCCGAGCTTGCCCCACTGCCCGAGGTAGCCATGCTGACGATGGTGTCCACCACATCCTCAAAACGACTGTGGTCTTCTGTTCGGAAAAGTTCAAAGGCAAGGCTTCGTACCCGTTCGGTCCAGCCGCAGGTAGACAGGGAATTGAGAAGGGAGGCCTGTAGGTCTTCCAGTTTGTGTGCAGCCAGTAGATAGTCCATTAGTTGGTCTGCTTGTTCGGGGAAATTCGCCATCTGGTCGTTATGTTGTTCCGTGATGCTGGTCATAATATACCGTCGTCAGAACAGGTATGATAGGAGAGGAGCGTCGGCGGGAGTGAGATGAGAATAATATGTCTGAGACTCAGTTATGTATGCTGCGTCGGGATCATGCGCGCTGGGTGATGATAAATCTGGGGCAGCGAACACATCAGCAGATGGAATAAAGGGTGGTGGTGTCAGTTGATAGTACCATAGAACACAGCTCACCATCGAGAAAATAAGCTTCTTGCCTTTCTATTGTATAGTCGCAGTCATGGCTTCCATTCAGCGAGTTCAATGAATGACAGCTTCTGACAACGCCAGATCAATGACGATACTACCCACCACCACAGTGAAATAAATACTTCCAAGTGTTGTCTTCCGGTAGCCCCTATGTATCACGACCGGCGGGCCGAGTCACCTCTTCTTCGCATGGACTGACGGGGCCGGAAGCCTGCTCCAATGCAAAGATCCAAGTTGTCGCTCTTGTTGACTACCGAAAGACGAGCTTCGCCGGGCGAGAAAAGAAAGTCGGATGTCATTTTGCCAAGGTCCGAGGATTAAACTTTTAGGCTTTGCCGCTGCAGGGGTCTTTAATTGTACTTACAACTAACCCCATACGCCTTTCGTCTATATATATCTATGTGGGAGAGTGTCCACTGGCTACTGTGTGCGCAGAAAGCCAGTGGTTTATAGACGTGTGAGGGGACAGGTAGCTAGTGGGCATTTGTATAAAGAGGTATAGTGGGGTGCTTCTCGGCTGCTGTTTACATTTACATGTCATGTAGTATGCTGACCGAGCCACAGCTGCAACAGTCTGAGTCCTGTCTTGTTGCTTTTGGGGAAGTCAGCGCCGGGAACATCGCACTGTCGAGTCACATGGACCAAGTTGTAGTTTGGGCTCTGCCGGATCTAGCCTCACTGCAGAGATAGACACACATACATGCAGACATGCAGACATACATAGCGGCCGCGGAGAGGATAGAGACCAACGTCAGTGTTGCCGATGCTCATCAGTAGCTTCTAAGACAATCTGCCCCTTGAAAGCACCGGGTCGATCCTGCCCAATTGCACATCCTCGGAGGTATACTATCTGTGACCAGCCTGTGCCATGTAACCACAAGGCTACGGAGTATATCAGTGACACCCGACCTTTGATAGTAAGCACCTACCAAGCTTCCCTTTGTCTTTATCCTCCATCGGCCACTTCAGTCCTCTTTATTTCATATTCTTCGTCTCGTCTTTCCATTTTTTTCTTCTTTTGCTTTTTACTTCTGCGATAGAATGTCAATGTCGTTCCCAAAAAGGCAATAATTTTGCGACTTATCTAATCAACTTACATAATCAAGCAAATTACCGCTATTCCTAAAAGGGCCGAGGGCGTTACCGTCTTATATCCAATATTACGACATACTGTTCCCACGTGACTTTCCTTTTTCGGAAACACAAAACCGCAGCAAAAGCGACAAAAAAGCGACTTCGACGACCTCAAAATCACAGAATCAAATGACAGAAAAGCCACTGAAGTGATAAGAAAGCGACGAGAAGCAAAAGAAGACCGCAGAAGACGCCTGCTGGTGCCCGCTGCCGGCTCGTGGACGTGGACGTGGACGCTCCGTGCTTACACGGCTTCTGCTTGGGCAAGCTAACAACACTAGTTAACTCACAACTCGCCTTACCCGCCCTATCTATACCCACCCTCGATAACTTCATTTCCCTGGCATCGCCCTGGAACGTCTCGCGACATAGCTAGCGAGAAAGAAAAATAAACAGTAAAAGGAAGACTGGCTGCTAGCCTGGGAGCGACAACCGTTAATCGACAGCGTTTGTTCTCTCACTTGGCCGTCTCATCTCGTCGGCTCCAGCCTTTGGTACAACAACCCTTGCGATTTCCCTCGAAACCCAACGCACGCCCGCCCTTCAACCACGAGAGCCCACAGCTACGACGTCCACCATCTATATCTCCCTTCTGTGTTTCCTCAAAACACTTTCAGAAAGTGTCCTACTGAGTGCTGGGTCTGCACTGGCTAACAGCTGAGGCTTGGCGAGCCGTGTTATATCGACGTTCCAATACCGCTTGGACGGTGCCCCCATTAGCGTCGAAGACATCAGTCGACGACGAGTGGTCAAACAAGACAATACGATTGCGCAGCAATGGCCTTTGCCGACGCCTATCCAGGCGACTCGGACGCAGACGATGAGTATGAACGAAGTGTAGTGATATCACCCCACCTTGCCGAGGACTCCGAGGCCTCTCCTACAGACTCCGAAGGCCCTTCGACTGAGAACACCCCTACATACGGGAAGACGGATGATCGTATCTCGCCCAAGACTGTCATAACCGATTGGACGGCGGAGGAATGCGCCAAGTTCGTCGGGAGCCTGGGTCTGCTGCAGTACCGTGAAGCGTTTCTAGGTATGTACTGAGACCAATTTCGACTGTCTGGAAGGGACAAAGAGCTAACAACTTATTGTTTTAACGTGCCATTATAGAAAACGAAATAGTCGGAGAGGCCCTCATAGCTCTAAAACATGATGAACTAAAGGAACTCGGGATATCCAGTGTCGGGCATCGATTGACCATCCTAAAAAATGTATACGAAGCCAAAGTGAAGCAAGGCATACCCATCGACCCTGACCATTATGTCCCTTTATGTATGTCCAGTCCCTTTCCAGCCATACATATATATTATGCTTCCTGCTAACTCATCTTAACAGCGGCGGATAAGAGCAGCACAAAAGATGCAGCTACTCAAGATGACATTGCTCTCCTCATACAATCCATCAGACGACGAGACGACAGACTCATGGCCGCGGAAGCCGAGCTACGAAAACTCGCAGATGACTACCGAAGACTTCGTGAAGAATTGCTGCCAGTCTTTAAGGTCGCAAAGGATAAATCAGCGCCCTTACCGTATCAACCCCCTTCGACAGTATCCTACGGTGGATCCACCGCCGCCCTATCGGAATCATATACCCACGACCCTGCTACTTCACCTTCATTCCTCGGCCAAGAGAAAGCTGGCAGTGGCCTCACTCGAACAATATCTAGAAAGCTTTTTGCCGGCGGTTCGACTCCAAAAACCAACTCTCCTACTCACATACCACAGGCTATACCTGAAGGAAGGGCATTTGCAGACTCATCTACCCTTGATCCTTCGGCAGCTGCTATGGCAGCATCTTCTCATCTCACAGCCTCCATGACAGGTGGCCAGCCTTCACCTAAGGGCATGCCATCACCCACTTCTCCGAACAGTTTCTACACTCAACAAACTCTTGCATCACGGTCGTATTCTCGCGACCCTCCATCCTCCACCAACAACCGTACAGCTTACGATCATCCTGAAGACCCACAAGGACAACAAAGACAAGATCGGTCCGGTAACAGCCAAACCTCAAACTCCTCAAGTCGGCAAGACCATCCTGCCATATCTACTTCCAGGAATGGGGGATCAGGTGGCGGGAATCAATCATCTAACAACACGCAAAATTCTTCAGACTCAGGGCCCAGTGTCGAAATATTCAAATCCTTCCGTGTCTCAATGGACGATCCTTGTTATAAAGTGCTTCCGGCTGCTCTTAAAAAATATAACATCCATGAAGACTGGCGGCTATATGCCCTGTATATTGTCTACGGCGACCAAGAACGATGCCTAGCGCTCGAAGAAAAGCCACTCATTTTATTCAAACAGCTTGATAAAGACGGACGGAAACCAATGTTTATGCTTCGACGGCAGACACAGATGGTAGACGGGCAGGTCCCAGGTATATATACCAGCAGCGGAACTACAATTGGCTTCCCTCCCAGCAGCAGTGCCTTTGACCCTGGTACGAATAACAACACATCCATCACTCTAGGTGGGCTACCCTCGGGAGGTTCCAGTGGCCAACCAAGCGCCAGTTTAAGATCTCAACCTCCACAACAAAATTCCATACAATTGCCCGGCGGAGTTTTATAGGAAAATGTCGGTTTGGATCGGTTATGGATTGCACCAAAAACAACATGGTATAACTACTCTTCCTGCATTGCGTAGTCGAAGGGTAAACAGCGGGTTTCTTATCTACTTCATTAGCTTCTTTCTTTAAATTTCTGACTACTTTTTCCCCTTTGTGATATCCCTCGACCAGCCCATTTGGTTCGGTGTCATCTATATACTTCTTCGATAACAATATTATCATTTTTAATATCATTTAGGTAGTTCTATCTGAAGATAAATCATGGTAATTTTTGATTATCTACTCTCTTCGACTAAATCGAGAAAGCATAACAATCTTCATTGCTGCTGGGGCCAACTAAGGCTCCCTCTATTAATGCGCATACCTAACAACCGCAATATATAGACCAATCAGTGCCCATAGGGTAAATGAAATAGGGACATCAAAGACGCTCGTAACAAACAGCAGCACAGCGCTATTTAGTCTAGTTATAACTAGTAGGTGTCCATGGACACACAAACTGATGTAAAATAAAACGAGTAAATCAAAAGACAAAAACGACAGAAAGAATGGAAAAGGAGGGGAAAATAAAACGGAAAGAAAAGACAGAGAGAGCAGAAGCGCAAGCAAGATGGGAAAACAGATGGGGATAGACGATTACATCGTGGTTAAGCGATGCTAGGTTATTCAGCGACCTATCTCACCTCCCCACGAGATCTTGGATTTGGAACCGTTTCTAGGAGTGTTTTCGCGGCCGTTGTTTCCATTGCCATTGCCAGCCCCTTCGTTGATGCTTTGGCCCGCAGAGTCAGGAGCGTTGCCGTTATCAAAGAGAGGGTTGCTCTCAGGAGCATAAACGGGTGGAGGAGAAGAAGGTAGGTCCGGCGAGGTAACACCAGTGGACGGCGAGAAATTAGCCTGCACGGGAGACTTTCTCTTTGCCGGTTTGGTTCCGTCTGCAAATTGGACCTTTCCCTTGACTACACGAGGCTCTCCATCGTCCTCGCTGTCGGATTCACGTTGCATTGACGGGCTGCGGTATTCACCGAGAGCGGCAAGACGACGTTTCCGTTCCGCGGGGGTTTCTATATCATCGTCGAGCTTGGAAACATGTTTGCTGCTACGAGCGGAAGGTACAGTTGGGGAATGCAGGTCAGGCGGCTGTTGTCCTGCGGCAATCGCACGGCGATGGGCAGGCGGAATACGTTCGGTACCATCGTCCTCGGAGTCATGACGACTGAGAGATGATCCTCGGGATACTGGGTCTGATAGTTTGCGGCGTTGTTTATCGGCAGCTGAACCCTCAGGACCAGCGTATTGAGCTAACATTTCTGATATCTCCTCGGGTGATGGCATGCTCTCAACACCTCCACCATGGGGGCCACTAATAGGCATGCTGCGGTGAGGGTTGGCTCGTCCTCGATTGCCGTCACGTCGGAAGATGTAACTGAACTTTGAGGAGCCATCGCTGGGTGACTTGGGCCCGAGATGTTGCATTTGGTTGATGAAGTCTTGTTTGCTCATTCTGCGGCCTCTCAAGTGATCATCAACATCCCCAGAAACAGGTACAGTAAATCGGATGCCTGCATCTTCCTCCTCGGCTTTCTTTGCCGCAGCTGCGGCAGACTCGCCAGCACCATCACCGGTCCAAGTACCAAGCTTAGTGATACGACGTAGCAACTTAGGTTGTTCCTCCTCAGTACCAGCAGTCCCAGCTCCAGTTTCCTTTTTGGGGGATGAAGGGATAGTGTATTTCTTAATGACTTCTCCGTCTTCATCCTCGACAATAATGGTGTTAGCAAATTGATATGCTCGAGCAGAGCGGCGTGCACGGTTGACTTGGGGATGAGATTCAACTTTTTGGCTATTGCCAAAGCCAGCCCAGGCGGGGAAGAGTTTCTGCATAATTCCCCCCTTAGACTCTATACCAGATGGTTTGCTGGCTTCGCTGCTTTTTTCTTTCACAACCCTGTCGGGCTCAAGTACATTTCCTTCCTCATCTTCAACAATGATATTGTCTCCCTCCTGGTAAACCTCAGCCCGTGGAGAAGTGGGTTGCCCTCCTTCAGAAAACTGTCGACGCCCCCTTGTATCCTCGGAGGCCTCCGCTTCAGGAGTTGGAGGTTTGCTGACTTGTAATTGTCCCTCAGGCCTTCGCTGGGGAGTAATAGCAGACTGGCTGATCGGTCCGCCAGCTCCCTGAACTCCTTGTTTACGTCTGCGGTTAGGTCTTAAACTCGATGCACGGCTAGCTGGTGTGCTATAGGGATCATCATCCCTCTGTCGCCTTAGAAGATTTCCTGGGACTCCAATGGGCCCCAGTGTTCCAGGGGGGAGTTCTGGCTTCTCCATCGTTTCCCAGGAGTCCTTTCTCATAGAGAGGGACGTCTTTGATGTAGACTGGATCCTGGGGAGACGGTTCATCCAGGATGGCCCATCCTCGTGGGCCTGGGTATAAGACATTGTCAAGGTTAAAGTGTTGATATGTTTACCCAAGGTGAAAACCGCGATGGAGGAGCCATGGACGATGATAGAAGTGATGACCAAGAATGTGGTGATAGGCCAGATCACATATATGATGATATAGTCCTTGGTTCCTGGATTAGGGAGCTCTGACAGCGGTTGAGTACTGTGCGTCTCAAGCTCAGCTCGTGCCAAAATACAGGCAAATATGGCACCGACGCCAATTGGGCCAAAATGGCCTGCGAACAAAGCTTCTCGCCATGTTTTAACGTCTGGAATGAAGGGCTTCATCATAAGCATGGCTGGGATTCGGCGGAAGCAAATGACTAGGATTGCAAGGATGACCAAGCGCCACGGAACCAAGCCTAGGTCCGGTAGGTTGTACTGTTCCCAGGGGATGATAGCGCCGAAGTAGACGAAATAAGCCAAGTTAAGCAACAGATCAATGACGTTAGAGACATGAGATTCTTCGGTTTTTTCGGTGAACCAGCCGTCGTTACTGAATCCAATGCCAGCAGAAAACCCGATCAAGAGATCGTCCATACCGAGTGAACTACCAGCACCAGCACAGAAAAGAGCGAGAACAAAGTAGAAAACAAGGAAACTCTCTCGGTCAATCAGCTTTTTGGATTCTGCAAATTTGATGGCGTGACGACCAGCGTAGCCGATAAGGAAGCCGAATATGGCGCCAAAGATACACTCATACAGGATAGTTACCACTATCCAGTGCTCGGCGACCTTGGCACTGTTCTGATGGTAGGCCATCAGATATAAGGAGAGATAGATGAAAGGAAAAGCCATGCCGTCGTTGCATCCGGACTCCGCGGAGAGGACATCTCGGAGATGCTTGGGCACTCGTTTCGCAAACTTGCCCTTACCGACGACGGAGGACGCCAGTACGGGGTCGGTGGCTGTAACGCATGCGGCGCAAATTAAGCTCTCCAGCCAGGACAACGGCTCAACCATCCACCAGATGAAAAGACTGGTCACCAGCCATCCGATAGTCATGATGGGCAATAGCAACATGATGACGGATCTCCAATGCCTCTCCATGTAGGACTTAGGCAGTTCGACACCGACGGCGAAACATTGCACGACCAGGACGATCCGGGAGCACTCGAGGGTAAGCTTGTCGACGTTCCCCCACGATATCGGGTTGAAAAGGTTTGCGGCGTGCGGTCCGAAAATAACACCACACAACGTGGCAACGGTTGCTTCTCCAATGTAGAGCTTCTCCTTGACAAACAGGGAGCACAGCATGAAAAGGCTTGTGAACCCGCCAAGGATCATGTATGCCAAATGTGGCTTGTCGAAATCGAGGTGGTCCCACGCCATGACGGAGAAATAAACGAGAATGCTTCTAGCCAGTCAACGGGCCTGAAACCAGCCAGGCTAAAATGGAGGATATGCAGTGGGAAAATATAGTTGATGGTTGTTGGGTGTGTGTCGGTCTTCTTTTGATATTCTCCGGCTAACAGGTAATATCGTTCAACTCTCTAACCGCTTCCGATGACTTCCGATTAAATAGAGACGTCCACCAGAGACTGCCAAAACGTTATGTATCCAAGAGTAGCTCTTGATCTTACCATAGCCTCAAGCTATAGTCCCGCACCCGCGGTGGGCAGAGGGTATCGAGCTCGGGAACAGATGTGTGAAAGGAAGGCTGGTTGAGAGCAGATGCCGGCAGTTGCTCTCTTCCCTCCGCTTCTTGTGTTCCTTCGAATCGGAGCTATTGGCGGCAGGGCAAGGAGGGGCGATGGCACAGCTATTTAAACCCAAGGAGGTTCGCCACGGATGAGAACCGAGCAAGGAACCTCCACGAGAATTTGGCTGGGTTTCAATCCTCCCAGGGCTGTCGCTGGCGTATCCACCGGCAAAGTTTCTGCACGCTCGACTAGGGACCCCATCCACCTACTTCTGATGATAATCGGGCCGATCTCTGTTTCTGTTTTTCTTCCCCCTTTCATGCAGCCACTCAGCAACCCGGCTCACCCTGTCAGCGTCGTCAGCGGAGGGCCAGGTCAGGCTGTGTGGCGAGCAGTCGACTTGTAGCAGCGTTGAAGCCGGCCGGCGGTCGTCGGTCGTTCTTGTTACTCGATCGAGCAGAAGAGCAGAAAAATAACAATAAAAAAATAAAAAATAAAAATAAGAAAAAAAAAACGCACTGACTGGGAAAGGCTTGGCATGTAGCGGAATGCCAAGACAAATCACGTGGAGGCCGGGAGGAAAAACGGCAGAAAAGAAAAGAAAAGAAAAGAAAAGAAAAAACCATAAAACATCAACATCGAACGACATCGACAGACGACGAGCGAACAAACAAGCAACGACAAGCAACAATCGACAGTCACTAAGGGACTGGGAACAGCCTGGGATGATCGCCCACATTTCAAGCATTGATTGAGACGTAACAGTACCGTCGTTTGAGAGGAGTTCCTCTTCTGCTGGGATTGTCGGCTGCCAATAAAATCCTCAAAGCTTGTCTCCAGCACTGTTCGCTGCTTATCTCTCCTCAGACACTCATCTTACATTCTCCGTATATATTCCGTACGCCCATCCTTCAGTGAGACTTAGAGCGGTGTTTCTCTGCAGTATTTCTACCACGAAAGCAGGGTGCTTTGACGGCTGCGAGGCTGCTGTGCGACGTCTAGGGCCACAGGAAGCTTCAGCTTTCAAACACGGAATCGTCTCTCGCGCTAGCTATCATTGGCTCCCTTCCGTTTTCGCTATCCTCGCCACACGCGCGAACGGCGGGAGTTTAAAAGCTAGTGAGGTAGTTAGTGTGAGGGAACGAGAGTGGAAAGGACCTAGGCCTTCTCCTTCTCTTGCACACTCCGTACTGATAGCATCCTGGCTGGCCAGGCGACATGGATAGGTAGCTATCCCCCGACCACGTCACTCTGGGGGACTCCTCGCTCCACCCATTCGTTCGTCTTCCTGTCATGTCGGATCTGTGACTCAGGATGGGTTTATGCGGGAGCGGAAGCGAAACTGATGCTCGCCTATGACTGGACACGGGAAGCTGAACCCCCCTTGTTGGTCACGGAGCATGAAAATAGTGCTTGAGATTTCGTCCAGTCAGACGCGATCTTCACCCGTACTGGGTCCAAAGTCGCTTATCATGCTGTCCCTTCCATATATCTGATGGTGAGGATCTTCCAGCTCGTGGGGAAGGTTCAGTAGGCTCAGTTCAGGCATCCGGGTTCGTGTTTTAAGATTCGCATGATCAGACAAAAGGGAGTCTGGATGGACAGGATGGTAGCAGTTATGAGACCGCCTATCAAACCGGGGAGAGGGATGGAGCAGTCCCAGTTCGGCACTTCAAAAAATGTTTTGTTCCCGGAGAGGTCAAACCAGATACTCAACTCCCACCTCTCTTTTAAGGGTTGCCCCAAGGTTCTCCCCGTTAGATAAGGATGTCGACAGCTCCGTCGAGATCCTGTTTTCTCAAACGGAGCCTATTTAAGCTAAAAGGGATCTAGAATTTTGACTCTGCTCTGGGCGAGGTTTAATCATGGCTCGGGAATCTAGTCAAGCAAACAAAAGCCTAAAGGCTTCTCCAACGGCTACGGATGATACCCACAAAGCCAAATTGCACATTAACGACCAGGCCGATTCTGATGAACCACTAGCCAATAAGCATTTAATATTAATCGAACAGTTCGCAGCACCATCACTGCCAGCATCAGAAAAAGAAATGAGCAAAATGAAGGGGGGGAAAGGAAAAAAAAAAAAAGAAAAAAAAAGGAAAGTGAGATTTGAGTATATTTGTTGTTATATCAAGTGAAAATTATTATAAACTGACAGATTGACAGGTTTCTTTCAGCAAAATCCAGAGTGGCACAGGGGTATATATCAAATGGAACATGTCTTGGACAAAGGGAAAGGATTAGAAATTACTCAAAACTGATCGCTGATGCACTGGAACAGCGGTTCCATAGGCCACTACTATTCTAACTCCGAATGTAGCTGGGGAGAAAAGGGGGTTTCTAAACATGTGTAATAGATGGAGACATGGCGTGTCCCGGGGGAAAGGGGTCAAGGGGCGAAGAGTAAACGCGACTGTTAATCGGAGGTAGGCATGCCTTCGACAACGTCGGTCAGGGCTCGCCAGTTGTCAGCCTGCAGCTCTGCATATTTGACTCTCTCCTGGCTCCAGTCTTGGTGCAGGAGGCTGATGCGGTACTGGCTCCGTTGGAAAATTAGTATCTCGTCGCGGATACACTCCTTGATAAAGACCCCGCGAGCATGCTGCTGGACAATAGACTCCTTGTCCTATTCAAAACAATTAGTCTCTTAGTCGTAGTCATCAGACGAAACAGAGGTACAGGGGAACCACAGGCACGGAATATACCTTGATGATGGCGTCTTCAACCTTCTTCGCTTCCCCAGGTTTAACCGCCTCCTCGGGTTTGGCGCGGATGGCCTGAAGCTTCTTCTCGTTGTTCTCAATCCGGCGTTCGAGTTGGGGGATGTTATCCTTTGCAAAGCGATCTCTCCGATCGAACACGTCTCGCATAGCGACAAGACAGTCGCGCTGGGCCTTTAAGTCCTCGAGGACTCCCTGGTCCCAAGCCCTTGCTTCGTCTTCTAACAGGCCTTGACTTGTTTGCAAGTGATTGGCAGTCGCATTGATGCCATTGTTCAACAGGGGAACATCACCCGTGTCCGCAGCATATGTGTCCATCGTGCTCTCGGTCAGGGCGTGGAGTGCCCTCGAAACTCGGAACTGCTCTGCGGCTAGGCCTTGGTGGCGTTTTACAAGCCGGTCCATCAGGAGGCATAGGTTAATGTAGATGTCAGCTGAGCGGCGGACACCCGAACGGACAGTATCAAAGGTATCTGTCAGGTTAGACGGCAGAGAATCTTCCAGATCCGGGGGAAGGGGCTTATCGGCAAACTCCTCCTGTACGGAAATGGAGGCTTGTTTACGCCAAACAGCCAATTCCTAGGCACTCAGTTACTAACGCATAGAACATTTAATCGGGAATATAGACTTACAGTGGGAACAGTAAAGAACATCACAACCAGCTGCTCTTGGTTCAATACCGGATGACGCACAAGAGCATTAGCAAAGCGGACGAGGCCTCTGCGACGTTTATCCAAGAAGGAATTCGAATCCGCTGATAGGTGAGTGCCATTGACTTTAGAAAAAAGTATATGTGAGCATTTTTAAGGTAAGCTTTCCACCTGTTCAACGTACCTGCAACCCTCTTGGGAGGGAGTAACGGGATCTGCCGGAAGGGGAACTTCTTCTGAAGGCAGTCCACCAGCCAGACAAAGTCACTATACCTTCGGATCACGGAGGTAGCCTTGCGCGCGGATTTGACTTCGTAGTTGCGGTGCTGGAAGAGGAACATGCCTTCCTTCTCAGGAAGCATTTGGATGGTGATAACATCCTCCATCCCCGAGTTGCTTACTTGGCCACCGCCCAGTGATCTGGATAGGTCATTACGGCTGGAGTTGGCTTGTCCGCTATCAGGTTGGCCAAACCCAGCACCCAACGCGCCCTGATCATAATTTCCAAATCCGCTTGCAGACGAAGGGTTCCCAAATCCACCACCTCCCCATCCAGACCCAACGCTCGCGGGCGCACCGGTGGACCCGTTCGATCTTGTGCTTGCAAAGTTTTGAGGTTCAATCTGGGTATTGGGCTTTGGCATTGCCTCTGGTTCATGAGCTTCGTGAGTAGAAGAAAACCCATTCGTTGCACCTTGGTTGGGGCGGTGGGCCGGCTGACGGTTTACTGGGCTTCCCCACGGGTCTACTTCTGGGCCAAATGAATCCTGTCGTAGTCTATGGCGTGTTTGTTGGATCTGATCAGTGTGTTCTTCCGCGGTTTGCTGAGTAGCCGTTCCGTTTTCCGCATTTCCCGTCTGTATACGAGTGATATAAGGAATATTAGGTTCCGGCAGTCCTAAACCAGTATCAAAATATAATATATATTAGTGAAGTCCTTGAAAAATAACAGCGGGATATGGATGGAGAATTTCAACTTACTCTTCCTGCGCTCGTCGACGCTGTCCAAAGTAACATCTTCACCCTCCTGCGCCAGCCCTACAAGCGCCAGAAGAACATTAAACTCACTCCTCTCCAGGCTCTGCTGAGATCCATATTTCGTCACCAAATTAAGGATCCCCGTCTGCTCCGAAGAGCTCAAATGCGTGCTTCCGAGAAGACTTTTCACGCTTTCAATGCTGATGACCCCGCCAGCACCTCCCCCAGCACCAGCCAGCGCGTCAAACGCATCTACGTAGCTCTCCGGGACTTCAGTCGAAGGTAGAAGGGTCTTAACAATCTGCTGTCTCGAGCCGGATTTCCTTGGTGTAGGCATATCCCAGGGTGATGAATATCCGTTGTCGTTGTTGTGCTCGTTGTCAGCCACGCCTCTGGAGTTGCTATTGCTGTTATTCTTATTGCTGTTGCTGTGGGACGAGAAGCCCTCGTCTGCTCCAAACAGCGAGGAGGGATCGTCCGCAAACAGGCTTGATTTCACCCGCAATGAAGATGATGACGGTTGCGCTGCCTTGCTGGCCAGCGGAGAGTCCTCGGGAGAGGAGCCGAAGAGCGACATTGGAAGGCTGCGAAGGGCGGTCGCGTACGGTCAACGGTAGCTGGTATTTACAGGGGACTCAAAGCGCAAAGCTTCAAGGGTTTCCGGCTGTCGGACGGTAACTAGCTAAGGAATACTCCGTATGAAGATCTTCCTTCCGGCGGCAACAGAGAAGGATGCTTTTGAGATGCAGGTTGATGATGCAGCGGGTAGGTAGTTAGCTAGGATCAAGCTTAAGTAGCTTATGAACGCCGCCACTGAGGCTCCTCGCGCGAATGGGTCCGAAGATATTCGGCCTGAAGACGCTCACAGACACGCAGGGCAGGCGGTAGAATCGGCGTGTGTTACCTTGCAGCCGTCAAGCTGTGGGCAAGCAGAAGACGGACAGTTTGCCGGCGTTGTCGGTGTTGACGAGGTTGGGATTTTGGTTACGACCAGGAAGCTTTCGCTGTTGGACTGACTGACTGGTTAACTAGTCAACTCTGCATGTGATTTGATAACTGACTAGCTGGCTAGTATCCGCCAGCTGAAGCCTGATGGCAACTGTCGTTATGCTAGAACATCGAAGCTAAGGGCGCTGTCTTCGTTACTATACAGGGGATGAAGTATTATGTTACTTAGAAGTTATTGTTTGGTCTCATTCATATTTCTAGATCCGTCAATATACAATGTCGTAGATAGTTACAGCTCAAATCTTGCAGCCTCTTATACTCCATCTTCTCAAGGAATAGCTGGCGCAGGCCAAAGTGGCTGTCCGGCCTGAGCGAACACTGCCCGTATCTCTAGATCGTCAGTTTGAGGGTATTGTAGGATACTGTCCCAGCCTTTGCCCCCGGTGGCGATGATCTGCTCAGGGATGATTCGGCCGGGGAACCACCGATCACGCCTGATGCTGGCCTTGTCAACTCCTTCAACGGCTGCTCTGCTTGCTCGTGTCGTCCTCGCACGCTTGCCTGGTGGTCCGTTCTGCGGGGAAAGGCCGCCGAGTCTCTGCTGGTATTGTTCAAGGTACATTTCAAAGAGAATAATATGGCGGATATACGGCGCGACATCCTCAGCAATGACAGACGTGCTATGTTCAAATGAAAGAGGTCGGGTATTGGAGACTGGTGTAGTGTAATCTGGTGGGTCAATGATGGCTTGGAAGGCATCTTGGAACGCAGTCTTGTGAAGCTGTTTCGGTCTCCGGGGAACTTCTCGTTCAAGAACGTGTTCTATCACATCATCCTGTTCTCCTATGCATATCTCAGCAGGACCGAGGAAATTCTCCGCAAGTGTGCTCAGAGTTGCACCTATCTTTGCAGAGATCTGGTTGAACTCCGTGCGGTGATCTGACTGAAGCAGCTGGTATCCCTCGATGTAATCTAGCCTATGCTTCTCGGGAATTGGTGGCATGGACGGATCGAGTGGGCGCTGAATATTTATCGTCAGTATGATATAAGCATCGCATTCTGTGACGTATTCAATGATAAACCCACCTTGATCCCATGATATCCTTCCTCACAAATTATATCTAAGCAGCTCCTGACATCGGCTGCTAAACCCATTTGCTCCAAGCTGTCGAGTGGTCCAAAGCATCCGCCGCTAATTCGACCATTCCCAATTTCGAGCCAATCCATCAACCCAATATCCCATTGCTCGATGCCTTCAGTTAGCAGCTGCTGTCGGAGCTCTAGGTGATCTTGCTCGCCAACGACAGTGTCTGCGCTATACCATCCCATGCCTTCTATATAGGTATCAGAACTTATCGTCCTATACAAGTCACTAGAATCCTGTAAATCCAAGGCTTCCGCAGCCACTATCCAGTCAAGCCCTGATTTTCGACTACCTACTCCCATTTGGCACCAAAAGCTCAGCCGCATGATAGTTGCTCGAAGGTCTCTCCCTAAAGCAAGATACAGGTCTGATACAGCTTTGCGGTCTAGTAGATGGCCCTCGTTTGCGCAGAGCAATAGTATATAATCCACTGCGAGATCACTGGGCGGTGGTTGAAGCCGTAAAATAGCATGAAGAGCCATGTTATCTAGTGGAAGAAGATCTTCATCCGTGCACGTCATGACAATCGGCCTTTTTGATTGACCGATCAGTGCAAGCACCCCAGTCCAAAATTGTTTATCTTCATTGAACAGGATATCAACTTCTTCAAGCAATATCAAAGACTGCTTTTGATTTATATGGGGCTTTGGCATTTCCCTACTTTCCGCTTTGGACGGTTTTTTCATCGAATTAGCATCGGTGGGCTTTGGAGTGTTTTTCTTTGCAAAGAAGCTTGCCATTGTGCTTTGTTTGGGACCTTTTTCATTACCAACAGCCCCTGAGCTAACGTGTTCCGATTCACTATCTGTCTTGGCCAGGAGTTGAACAAGATGATTTTGGGTCATATCACCGACTCTCTCGATTATGTCCCGCGCTCCCCTTCGTGTCCCGGCATTGATTTCAAACACCTCAAATCCCAATTCTCCAGCTACAGCGTAGACAGCCGCCGTTTTCCCACACCCTGGTGGTCCGCTGAGGAGTATCGTATTTGCCATCGGTCGTTTGACCGAAGCAGTTCCAAGATCGTTAGATCTAACCATTGATCTTTTTGCGGGGATCGTAACTCCTCCCGCCAACTCGTCCTCCGAATTCTGAAGTTCGCTCATGATAGTATCCTCATCTTCACTCGAAACAATAAAACCGTCTAAGTCTTTAGGCTTTTTCCGCTTCCTTTTCCGTGCTGCCTTATTCTCAGGTATTTGTCGTGGGCTGCTTGTGCATAACCCTGTATCGACCGCTGATACTTGGTGGTGTTGTAGCCAACTTCGCAAGATAGATGTCTCGGAGCCTGGCAAAAGAACTTCGGCAGCCGTTTTGGGGGCGTATTTTTGAGGCCATGAGGTATCGTCATATTCACCCCTGTCAAATGAGCTTGTGGCAGTACCCAAGGATGATGCAAGTTTTACAAGGGCCGGATGTGCAGTTTGAGGTAAAGTATCCCGCTGACTCGGTCCCCCTGGCTCAAGGTTGCATACTGCAAGTTTCTCAATAACGGCTCTTTTAAACTCGCTGCACTTAAGAACGTGCCTCTTTGGGCGCCGTAGAGCTTTTGATCGTCGTCGTTTGGAAGTACTGAAGTTTGACTCTGTGAGGGATAAGGAGATGGTTGTGAGGATACTTTCGGCATCAGACACTGAAATAGTCGATTGCTTTGCTTTTCGCTTTTCAAACATTGTATTAGTTGCAGCGCATATAGGCTCAATGGGGCCACGGTTGTGCACCATGTCCTGAGGTGGCCAGATTGGATCAAGAGGCTCCCTATTCCCATGGACCTTCTGCTTTTGGCTTACAGAGGGAAAGGAGAGAGGAGGGAAGATCCGTGGGATCGATGCGGAACTTTCGGGTTTTGGATAAGTTGAAGCTTGTGGAAGTGTACAGTTGTTTAAAGAATTGGGTTTCTGGGTATTTAACTGCTGAAGGGGTTGATTGGAGGCTTTCTGTTGGCCCTTTGACAGGAAGAAAGGATGAGTAGGTTTAGGTGGACCCGTAGAAGATGATCTTGTACGGATTTCGCTCTTTGGTTGCGAGGCTTGCCGTTTTAACTCCGAATATGTGGTGCGGCCATTCATGATTTCATCAATAAGTTGCCCAACATTTAGTTTTGACTGGTCATTCGGATTATATGCAATCTTTGCAATTTTAACTCTGTTGATGAATTTTGCAACAGTGTTGAGGCGAGAGGACTTCTTTCTTGTATTTTGGCGAGTTTGGCTGTGCTCAGCGCTTTCACCTGGTGGGAAAGCGCTGAGTAACGTCGGGTTTAATTGCAAATGCAACAATTTCCTCCCTCTCTCTTTCTTCTTACCTGGCGCAGCCTGGGTTCGGTTTTTCAATTTCAAGCCAGTCGAAGTGCTCGATTCGCAGTCATGTGTCACCTGCACATTAGAGAGGGTATCCGTCGGCGATGCAATGGAGAGAGCTGGCGATTGCATATTTGGAAAAGCATTTGAAGAAACCACCGGGCTCATGTTAACAGGACAATGCTCTGCTATCTTGCATCGCTTCCTCCGATGGCCTGCCGCCTCCTCAGCGTCATTCAAATCATTTATCTCAGGAAGCTGGGATACAGCTTGAGTAGAAGTATCCCCATCGGACGACATATTTCCATATGGATTTACCAAAGATGTATTCTCGGATACATGTCCAGGAGGTTGATGCCCCTCTCCCTCGCTTGTATCTATAGCTTGGTTGCCTCCATGCTGGCTGGATTGTGGTCGGAGAGGTTCTGGCTGGATGGGTGGAGTGATGCTCTCATCTAAAAAAAAAAAAAAAACAATGTCAGCCAAATACACGCAAACCAACTATCCCCGAGGATGCTGTACTTTTACTGAAGAACGGAAGAAGCGTTTGTTGCTCAACCGCCCTTCGTACCATATTGAGCGTCATCGACACATCCACCAAGCTATATGGAAAGCAGTAATCCACATAGAGAGCAGGCCAAGCCCAATGACTACCTGGTCTTCTGCATCATCACTGTTGCTTCACTTTGCCGATGGATATACTGTTCAACCTGGAGCTCATCAACCTCCTGTCGTCACGCTTTCGCCTCCCGTCGCGTTCTTCTTTAACGCGCGCGTCGACGCTTAATGAGGCTCGGTCGGATTAATATTTATCCTGCCGCCGCCCAAACTCAAAAATTTCCATTTGGATCGCAAAAAGAAGAAAAAATGGCGAAAAGAAAAAGAGAAAGATTGTGAGGTTGCAAGGCGTTGACAGAAACACTTGACAAGCCCGATATTAACCTGTGGGCAGTGGGTATAAGTGGTCATGTCTCTACCGGCACCGTCTCTATTAGCTCAGCTCCCGCGACCGCTGGCCAATGCCGGTGGAAAAATCCAATTCGGAGATGTATATGGCATCCAGGGTCTGAAGAAGCGCAAGCGGCATGAAATTACAGCTGCCATCGATGGCGAGGGAGTCAATATATACAATGTGAGTTGGTTTCGTGTGTTAAGCCCAAAGCTGCGATATCGAAAGCTCACAGTCTTTTAGGCTCAATTCCCGAAATTGGTGGCTTCCTATGCAATTCCTCCCCAGGCCTCACACTCATGTCCACCATGCTCCATACGACAGAAGCTTCCAGGGAACTCGGGGGTCAAGAGACAGACATACTGTGCAGTAGAAACTTCAGGAAAGGAAATCAAATGCTTTGTGGATGAGATGGTTTCTGGCAAAAGCACGCCAATTATATCTACCGCCTCTTTCCCCATCAAAGACACTGCCAGCAGACCTATCTTTGTGGGCACTATCCCTACGGACAGTCCATCTAAGGAGGACTATGATGCCTTTGATGTCATTGTTGCACATCAGGACGGCCGGATAAGAAGGCTTTCTTCCGATTTAAAGAAAGAAAGATGGACCATTCGTTCGGAAAGCACGTGGTCTTCCCGTGAGCTTGCAGCTTGTTTCACCGTGGGCTTCGAAGACGCACGCAAATTCCTTTTCCGCAAGCGTGAGGATATAGTAGCGTCTGTACTGGGTGATGGATTTGGAACAGATCCTAGCAATTCCACTATCCTAGTTTTGGTAGCGCATACCACTTCTAGGGTGTTCCAACTCAACGATGTACAGGTTATATTCTATTCGATTTCTGCCCAGACTCATACTAGCATTTTTCAACCCCAAGCCCCCGAACCTCTGAAGCATCTAATGACAATGAACCTACCAGTGCACCCAAGCCAAGATTTATTGACCGCTCATAACTACCACTGGAGTGCTAACTTTGTTCCCGGCGAATTGTCTCTATCATCCAAATCCGGATTCATAAGCTTCGATATTACCCAATTTTCTCCCAGGGTGTCATCGTGTGTCGTAATAGAGGACGAGTCTTTTTCCTCTATCATGCGCATATCCTCCCACTCTATCATTGCCGGAGGTAAATCTACGCTCTCTGTCTATGATACGCATTATCAATCACTCCAGGCATCGCTTCCATTGGCCGAAGTTTTCAAGTCCACATCAAGTAAGAAGCAGGATGCTACTAATTCTCTGGAATTTATATCCCACTTTTCTAAACTTGATGTCTCGGTCGCAGCATATGGCAGCAGCCTCTGCAGCTTTGATCTCGCCTCTATACACAATGAACGACATGTGTCTAGAAAACGGCCGAGAAGAAGTCTTTTGATTGATTCGATAGGAAAAGGAATTATATCAGAAACTAGTGAGAAGAAGACGTTGGCAATCAAAGGGCGAGCTTTGGAAAATGCCATTTCAGAAGAACGGCTGACCGATCAGTTGAATGAGTTGAAGAAGGAGCTTGCTTCCGTGACAAATCGATCTACGTTTGATGCTGTTGTTAAGGCAAAACTTTGGGGCAAGTCAGAATCTTCCAAAGATAGAGGCGAAAGCTTTCCACCAGATGGCGCGTTCATTGACCCAGAAAAGATAAAATTCATTCTAGCGAGAATGTTTAAACTCAAGGCAATCGCTGACAGGGCGACCAACGACCCAGCAGCAGTCAAACTTATCGTATTGCTGATACCCCCGATGACGTTTAAGTGGCTTGTCAATTCAAAGCAATTAAATGTCGCTAATATCGAAAATGCTTTGCGGTATTCTGATGGCCCTCACAGTCTATCCAAAATCCCACCTGGCGCTTTAGTCAAGGCTCTAACTTCTTACGACCCATCTATGAAATTATTATTAACATTGCTTGGGGGGCCTGGGTACCTAGAAGCCACGGAACTGGCACATGCCCTTTGTGAACTGCTCAAGGTTGCTCGTGAACAGTCCAATGTCTCTGAGTCTTCTCAAAAGTCGGTTGCGGAGGCTGCCCATGTCGAGCACCCAGACAACACAAACAGCACAACAGATGACAAACAAGCACCAACTCCAAGCCTAATTCTTGTGAATGCAATCACAGGTTTGAACTTAGCTCTCAACAAGTTGCATTCGCATTCGTTGAGCTATGTTACCAAAGCTATCCGAGCTACGCTGTCGAATACCGACGTTCTTTCAATCATCCATCACCTCCGCTATTCCCTTGCCACCGGCGGCCATACTTCCCGCTTCACGGAAGAACCCCCAGCCGCTTTTGCTAATTCCAAATTTCCGTCTTTGTCTCTCTCCGTAATAGTGGATTTGCTAACTGCCTGTATCGACGCTATTGGGCCAAGTGGATGGATATCAGCAGCTGGATTTGCGGGCACTGCAGGAAGCGAAGCATCCCTTATTGCAGATATGAAGAGTGAAATTGCAGCCACTCTTACTGCTATTGACGAAGCTACCTATTTGAAAGGGATACTACGAGAATTTATACGGTGCTGTGAAACCTCTGTCCAGCACTCGGCTGCCGCATCCAAATCTCAACGTGCCATTGCTAATGGCACACCATCGAAGACGCATAATGCAAAACTCAAGCGAAAAGAGTACCATCACGGAGCTCGTATCCTAGTTTACGACGTCCCTGAGGATTCAGCTGCGTTGGAAGGAGGTGATTCGAAGATGTTGCCACTCTCTCTCAAAATAAGTGACCCTCAGTCTGGGGTTAACAACGATGAGCTGTCCAAAAAGAAAGTATATAAATCCACTGGCGAGATCCGATCCAGAAGTGGAAGAGAGATTGCTCACAATAAGCACAAGGCTGTTGGAAAGTACTCTTTTGAGAGGATTGTTATCTAGCCGTTCTAGACAGATTGATCAATCCACGACTGCATACAGTATATAATCAGCATTGTTTTATCAAATTGCCACATTAATACCTCAGTAGCCAGCCGTTTCATCGGGTGGGTAAGAAGCAGAGGATTTGGTAGAAACTTGAACTGTCAACTTAAGGACAGAAATATTGAGGCATGAAGCCCACTGTAGCGTTTTACCACATGTTTATTCCAATCGCTCGTTGCCTTCTTGCCTGATCAAACTCATTGAAGGCGAACAAAATTATTCTCGGGAGTAGTAAGTAGATAATTCAGAATGGCGACCAGGAATCATATACATGGAACAATGTACATAGTAGGTAACAATAATGAAAGATATGTGAATCTCTCGAACAAGGCAAAAGGCACGGAAATCGACATAAATATACGAAATCAAACTGGATTTTAAGCAAATGTAAAAATGCCGGGCACGCATTAAAAATATATGTTTCACTCAGCACAGAATCTCATGCCAATAACAAGGTAATATATCAAGCAAATTGATCAAATGGTGGTCAAGCACGCATTCAACTCCAGCAAAACAACGAATGCAACCGAACCCAAACGCCAGCCCATATTCTCGAGAGGTCAGCCGTAACATGGAATAGGCGATAAGATCATAGAAAAAGGTATAGTCTCTGAAACAAGTGAACACCGAGAAATTCCTGAACATGAATCGTGAAGGGCACGTCAGACGTATTTTGAAAACAAAACCACAGCCAGTCATTGTATAGTTCCAGTAGGTATGTAAACTCAAGTGAAAGCTGATCAATCAATAGCGATGGAGGTTGAAAAGGTCTATACATCATCGGAGAACAAACGAAGGAGAGGGAATGATTGAACCGAACCGTTTCTTTATCATTTTGTCTTTTGTCTTTTCTTCTCTGTTGTTGTTGTTGTTGAAGAGGATCCGTTGCGCTGAGCATTTTCTGTTTCAGGCAGACGCTGTCCGTGATATACCACCGGAGCCATGAAAACGTTTGTGAAATTGTCAAGACCGTCATGATATTTGGTTAGATCGCTCGCCAGTGATGAGAATCGTGGTATACGTTCACCACTAAATACTTCACCTATGAAAGTGTGCCGGACTATTTTGACGTATTGAGGCCAATGCGGTTAACATTTGATAGTGAAACGACCAATTGGTATCATCTCGCAAAGACATGTTATAGAAGACAAGAATTCCAATGCCTATCCCGAACAGGAATTCAGAGCCCTCAATTTCATCTTCTGCCCTTGAGCTTCTAGTGCATTCGACATCAGTTTAATAACTACGGATAAATATGTTAGCGGGTTCCAGTAATTAAAAGCAAGGTTATAAAAATCTGCTTACCTGGCCAGACACCCGCCTTGTTTAGCAAAAAGGCAGCCGAGAGAACAATTTTCGTGCCATAACCGCCATCAACCAAACTAGGCAGATGATTCCATGACTCTGGTCCTGTTGTGCCAAGGTGAGATATCATATTTTTCATTTTATTCTCGACATTGTTCAAGATATCCTGGATTTTCCGCATCAGATTGCGATCCTCCTCTTCTAGCAAAACTGTCGCTGGAACCTCGTTGAAATCAACATGATCTTGGCCTAGAATTCCAAGGAATGGTCCAATACGCTCTTGAACTGCGGTGGCCCATTCCGCTAATGCTTGTGCAGAATCGAATAAACATATAGCATTTTGGATTGGTAGGTCACGGGAGGTGAACTCAGCAAAGGTATTTCCCCATTCATTCGACATCGAAATGGAATCGGCGGCATAGAAGGCAGCCTTGCGAAGAAGGCGCTCGCTTCTGGACGTTTGCATGCTGTTTTGTCCGCCAGTAACAAGTAAGGAGAGATCATCATTTGAAGAGCCTGATATTGTGAGGTCTGCAACTCCGTAGTCGGCAAGGGATTCTAACATTTGAGCTGAGATCGCGTCATCATTGGCCGGCAGTGAGAATTCTGACTCGGGGTTACTGTTAGAAAGCGACACGGATTGGACCGCTTTAGTAAGCTCATCCGCCATATTGCTCCAATCTCGCTGCCAAAAGGCTTCTTTCGACCGGCCAAGGTTTACGTATAATCGAACATAAGCCAGATCCAATAGTGGTATGCTGTCCGCAGATAACGGGCCGGCGCCAAATGGGTTTGGTCGTTCTAAACTGTGCGTAGGGTTACTGCTCCAAGCTCGTTGCCAAGCTCTGATTGCAGGTTCGATTTGTACATGCATTGCTTCGGTCTCTTGATTCGACCATTGTTTGCCCAAATGTAGCTGTCGTGTTTCCCAGACATAGTTATGCAAAGCATGGATTAATACCAAGCATCCGAAGGTACTTGGCCGCAATTCGCTAGAGACAGATCCGTCTGCTTGGATGGCTGGCCCGTATTGGTTTTGGGATGGAGTCTGGCCCGCAGCAAGAAGTGACTTAAGGGCCGTGGAGAATTCAATCAATGTATTCTCAGCACCTCGCATGGCCTTCCAAGCCTCAGGAGATTCAGCTGCCCAAAGTTGTTCTTCACAAGGCAAGGTAAGACGGATTTCAGAATTCGTAAGAGCAGGAGAGTGATTGTATGTAGAAACCAACAAGCTAGAAAGAGTGAAAATGGCATAAAGCGTTCTCTTTCTTTCCTCAACAATTTTCCACTTCAGCCATTCTTTCCTCTCATTCGGGACCTCTGTGTGTTGTCCCATCCATGTCTCCATATTGGGATCTGACAAATCGCTAGAGGAGGGATTGTACCCAAGTTGGTCAGCAGGCAGAGATTCAGGCGGATGGTACTGGGTCAATTCAGCAGCTCGGGCTAGACTAATAAGGGCCGCGCAATGAGTGCTAGCAATATCAACTGCTGTCTTGTCATCGCAGTTATGACCGTAAATAACATTAAGTAACATCGCTTGCACAAGCCAAAGTGGAGTATTATGAAGAGAATTGTCACGGTTGTAGTTAGAGCGGTTGATAGCAGCGGACATATCAGCTCTCCGTCTCTCCTCAAGATAGAGCTGAATCATCTTCTTGGCAGACTCGAAAAGCTCCTTTGATGGGGCCGAATCGTACTCATAGAGGGCACCAATCGCGGCCATGGAGAGGATAAGGCATCCACCCCCGAGTGCAATATTTCCAGAAGTACCAGAAGATCGAGGTTTCCCTGAATATTCAAGAGCAGTGAAATCCAAGGTTGAAATGTGGAGGAACGGTAAATGTGGATGAAAATAGGTAACATAAGCAGAGACATATCGCTGGAGATCGTATGTACTGGGTAGATTGCAGACATGTTGGGAGTTTCCTAGCATGCTTCCGGGGCTTGAAGGGCTCATAGGTGAGGCACTAAGGGAGTGTTGCGAGAATCGGCGGTTATTGAAACCCGAAGGCTGCTGTAAAGTCCCCATCAAAGCCTGTCGCGTTGAATCAGTGATAGAACTCAAGTAGGCTGGTTGAGAAGTTTGATTATAGCCAGATCCAAAGGACTGAAGGCCATTTGTTCCACCCATGGATGAAATATGGAACGTACTGGTAGGGGCTCCCGAAAGCACGGGTCCATTTATTGACGCCAGAGAAGTAGATGTCGAGAAAGAATGATTAGAAGTATGTCCATGTGAGAGAAGAGACTTAGGGGACACAGTATCGGGAGGTGCAGCAAACTCAGGAAATGTAAGACTGGCGAAATCCAAAACGTATTGTTGTGATTGGCTTTGAGCTTGGGATTGTAGTGTGGCGGGCCAGGTTGTGCTACCAGCGGATGTTGTGGCAGCTTGGTTGGCGGCATCGAGGATTGCTTCACTGAGCCCACTTTGACTTCCTGTACTCATGGCAGATGGCGATGAGCCATCAATTGCGGAGTCGTTGGGTGCGAATGCCACGGTGTTATCGAGGCCATTCAGCCATTCGAATTTAAGGTCATCTTCAAGTGTACTCTGTGTGGCCGTCATATTTGTAAAGTTATGTGAAAAGGGGGACGCAGGGGAATCGGCAAAACCATGAGGTGAGCCTGTAAAATGCAGCTGTGCAGGGTTAATTGTACTTCCCTGGCCCATCATTGCGTCACCCATGCCAAAAGGGACATCGAAGCTCCCAAAAACTGGTGCAGTGCGAAGGGCATCAGGATATTCATTAGTGAGAGCTGCGGTATCCAGTTTTGATAGCCCGTTCAAAGAGCTGATACTTGAGCGATAGTCGAAATTCGGAAGATTTGGGAGGCCTCCAAGACTGGGATGATGGGTATGGCCTGGTTGGGCAGGTCTGGAGGCAGGGTTTGTAGATGCAAACATTCCCACAGCTGCTCCTTCGACGTGACTGATGGTGTTAGCCCTAGGCCTCATAGTATTGGAACCTCCAGCTATTGAGTTTTTCCGCACTCGTGTTGAGCTACTCATACTTTCCCTTCTAACATTTCTTGGGCGTGATGCAGGCGTGGTAGCCATATGAAGTTTTTGCTGATGCCTTAAAAGTAGATCTCTTCGGGCAAAGCATCTTGTGCAATCTGGACATTCAAAGGGCTTCTCCTTTGTGTGAGATCGTTCATGACGCTTCAAATGCTCCAGGCGCGCAAAGGACCTCGTACAGGTCACACATACATGCGGACGAGGTTTATCTGTTTTCGGAGGAGGCACATCTGGGTTGGGCCCTTTCTGTTGGTTCTTATGAACAGAGATCTGATCGGCTGGATGGGATACTGCAATCATGATAAGCACCGTTCGGGCAAAAGCAACAAACGATGGGATGCCGCAATGTAACCCTTACCAGGACCATTCTGCATAACTTCATTAATCGCCGTCAGGTCCTGACTTGGCTCGTTATTAAGAGCAATCTGATCGGCCATCATATTAAATTTGGATATCGTGCGAATTTAATCTTAATCTTAATCGTTCTCGGCAATAATATTGGAATGGGTGAAGGCAGAGAGGTGGCTTAGGTTAGGAATGCTGGGTTGAAATTAGGGAGTTGGATATAATACCGAGTTGACGGTAGATACGGGACGGTTGACATGTAGGAAAGGCTATTGACGTGTAGTTAAGCGAAACAGGGACTTTGACGGGTCACACAGGGATGTCTGTAACATCACATAAGATGAAAGTGAAGAAGTCAGCCGTATTAAACCTAGGCATTGGCGCAAAAGCGAAGTGATAGCAATAGCAACATGAAGAATAGAAAGGGGTGCCGCAAAGATGTCCAAAAACACAGATCCACCAAGACAAAGGTGAATGAGATTGCATATACGTAGAATTGGGGTCGTTGTAATTAGAGACAAGACACAACTCACACAAGTAGATATAGCAGCCAGTAGAATGCCGAAGAGCCTGAGAGTCTCAAACAACGACTGGGTATAGCCACACCAGGCCGAGAACTCTTCTCCTAGACCTCCGCCTAGTATCTCAAGGAAAGCGGAGAGCACGTCGCCCGTTTAACCCAGCAGAAGCTAATCAAGGACTGTTGTTATGTGTCATATGGTGGGTGGTGTAGACGCTCAGCTTCGATGTACAAGCTAGACCAGCAAGGCTGATACCGGCGCCTAGGCGGGAATTGATATCGAAGTATTATGTCTTGTAAAAACAGCGGTAAGGATGGCTATCAGAGTCGCTGCGGCGGATGCAAGCTATGGATGGATCGCATGCGTTGTAAGGATGATCATTCGCTAGCGGAGAGATTGTGCGGTGTGCGAGATATGGTCGTATGTGTTGAAGGTGTGTTTGACTTGTATCTGGTGGACGAGAGGACGGGTCAAAAAGGAATCCTTGCGAGAAGGCGCGGGCGGCAAGAGCAGTAAGCAGGAGCACTGCCAACGTCTGGTATGAATCGTTCCAATTGCCCGCGAGAGGTGAGAGAGATACTGCACACAGCGTGTTGTGTTTCAGCGATGCCAACGCAGGAGATGAAATGTATGAGATGTCAGCGTAAAGCAGAAGAAAGGAGAGGGGGGAAAGCGAGTAGCAGTGAGTGTAATTGCGATATGCCCTTCGGCTGAGGTCGAAAGCAGGGCGTCCAACAATGCTGGATCAGCGTCCTATTGTCGTCCTATTGTTCGTGCTATTTCTTCTCTTTGGCTTCCGTGTCTGCTACTGCTCTTTGCTGACACTCAGATGATGATGATGCTGCTGCTACAACTCTGCCGCTCTGCTCTGCTGCAGACCTTGTCCTTCGTTCTGGCTGTGCTGGTATTCGGCCTTGAGGCTTAAGTATATTATTATTGGTGGCGGCGCTCGCATCGTCTTACATGGGACGACGGTATACTTTCTCCAGCGGTTCCCCTGTATCATGTTAGCGTCGTTCCACACCAAGACTGGGGTTGCTCGTACTAGTATTTCCTTAGCCTGGTCTGTTAGATTACGCCGCCAAACCAAGCTGCTGTTGTCAATCCACGAGATCCATGACAGCCGGGCATCCCACAGTGACTTTTAACCGCTATTATGGAGGATATATCAAGTTTCCATGATCGAGTGTGTTGCTCAGCGATTTCGAACGATGTCGTCAAGGTGATGTCGTCCGAGTTACTCAATGCGGAACAGCGTGTATTGGTTTGTGTACTTTTACGCACGGTTACATTACATCGATACATGAGTTGGGTTTACTTTACTTATATAAGCATACTGTTCCTGGAAGCTTCCCCTGCCGGGGTATCAGGAGGCGGATGGAGAGAATCTACAGTCTATTAAGGGAGAGAGAAGCAGACGATGGAGAGTAAGAGAGTCATATGGTTACATGTCTATGGGGTATTGTTGTCGAGACTCTACCATACTACCGAAATTTAGATGTAGCACATCGAGCTGTCGCAGTACTCTGTACACACAATACAGATCAGGGTACGCAGTGCTGCAGGTGTAACGGGCGGTAATAATGACTCCGCTCTCGACGACAAGGTCACAGCCACATTACATGCCATGGGAGCGAGATGTTGCCATAGAATTCTGTAGAGAGAGAGAAACTGGCGAGAGAAGAAAATATGTTGCAGACGGCAGACGGAGGGATATTCAGCGGGAGCAGCGATGCAAGACGGGCTCTGTTGATCTATCCGCTCAAGCCGGGGGGGGGGGGGGGGGGGGGATCGAGCGTCCTGGCTTGCATATTTCTAACTCATGTCGAAGCTGCAGCATGCAAGTTCAGCCTTCGGGGTTCCGAGGCGATCCTGCGAGGAACCAAAGAGAAGTCTGGTGGCCCGCTGCAAGCCCGTGTAGAGAGATAGTTCAATGTTGGACATAGTAGTGTAGATCGCCGCTCGCTCCGATGATAAGGAAGAGAGATATAACCATTTAACCATCCCAGACCGCGCTGCGTTGCTTCATGGACCTAGACTTCGGTCTCTTCATTCAAGTCGCTCGGCACAAGGCATCAGGGTTTCCATCTGGGCGGAAGCGGCATGGAAGTCGTGTTCCGTTCCACAGACAGTTCATTTCATGCAGTCTTGATGCCAGACCTCTTGATGGAAGAGAAAATCACGTCCTAGTCTTCAGCTGTTTCCAATTGCCCACCTGCCTGCCCGAATATCAAAGAAGTTGGATCAACGCAACCCCATTTATCCGGTACATCCTGGGAAGTTACATCCGCTGTCTTGACATTTTGCTTATATAGTTAATGATATTCTTCTCTTGTCCTCCACCTTAAGATACATGCACAACGAGTTGGAGAACAGAGAACAATCAGCGGCTACCATGTGCAGGAAATACACACAAATACGGAGTACACGGAGAGGGAATTTTTTGATACGGAGAAAGGGCAGATAATGTCTGAGTTCTAAAATTTGGGCTATTTATACTTACTTCGTGTTCGCAGGCCCACAGAACTGGAATAGACGAGCGCAGAAAACCTCAGCACACGCAACCATCCAGTGGTTTGCCCTGAACTCCGGATTTTGATGGCAGATTTTGATGGCAGTGCGGCCAACACGAGCCCTTCCCGAAGTCTTAAGATGACCCCCTGACGGCTTCTTCCCCACAAATTCAACATGAGCTTCCATCGCGTGGAGTCTGGGGGCGCAGTGGATCCTCCAAACTGTCTCCAGACAACCAAATGCACTTGGGTATCATTCTCCGTCTTCCATCGCGATGATGATACAGCATCCAGAAGCTGAGGAGTCGTGAAACTCTCCTAGCCAGACGCGTTCCTAATTTCAGGACCAGGAAAGAGAAATTGGAGACGGCTAATGTAGCAAGAAAGTGAAGGTGACCAAGGACTCGATGTCCAGCCTTTTTTCCCTATGGATACACTTCCAGGGACCTCCTTTGGTTTGGACTTGACTAGCTCCGTATGCTGCCGAGTTATGCTGATCGGGGTTTCGTGAGTACTCCGATTGGATTCCCGAGTAATCATCATTCGGTGGAACTATACGGAGTATCTATCACCATGTTTGGAGCCAGTGCAGAGCTATAGCTATAGTGCACCCAAGCGGCCACTCCTGCGGAGTAACTATCGGTACGCCTCAGTAAACTGCCGTGGCAACAATTCCCAATAGCTGTACTTCAAAATGCGTCGTCAAAGCCATATCTCTCCTCCACGGACAAGAAGCTCTCACAGTGCAACCTCGGCTTTCGACCAGCCAAGGCCTAGGCGTTCAAACCATCTGCTCCAACAGTGGCATCACCAAGCTCTCGAGCATTGACACCGCTGATCTTTGATATTGGGATAGTTAGTTAACGATTCAACCAAAAAAAAAAAAAATTAAGGAACAACGTTGAATCTGAACCTCGTTTCCCGGTATTTCACCGTATTACTGATCGGGTAGTGTCATGATACATTGCCGTGACGTTACAGCAAACTTCGATTTTAGCTGATTATGGACTAGCGGCGGCATTGGTAAGCGGTAAGCTAGTCTGCTTTAGGAATGCGACTGGTCATGTGTTGGCATCCCAAAGTGGACTAGCGGCGCGTATGGAGCTAAGCAAGGACGGAATTACGTCATCTGCGACCTCGGCCAAAGCGTCTTCGACAGTCGAACTTTTTGTTTTTCTCTTCCTGCCGAGTATCACACTCCTGCTTTCTTTTTCGATATTCTTCAGAGCTGTGCCCTTTCTATTCGATACAAGTCAGCACATGCAGTCCTCTCATACAGGAGGCGTCCAAACGGAGATCATCAGGGACAGCCCGTGGTTCGCCATTGTAAACTGGGCAGATTTTTTTGTTCACACAGGAAGCATGGTCCTGCCTATCAAGATGCAGGGAAAATCGTCTCCCCAGGCCAGCAGGGTTAGGAAGGTTCATGGTAAGCCGTTTGAACCCAGCTTCTCGATAACTCTCTGCCAACAAGAAGGGCCTGTCTTGGACGGTTGTCCCTGGTCATCCAGACGCATAATGGAGGCCTTAATACTATTACGGAAGAAGCAGCCCAGCTTGTTGGGATAACTAGATATGCAGCCAGAAAGGCCGCCAATACGAGAGGCCGGCGCCACCTCATCATCTCAGTGGCTCGTTGAGCGTACAGACGAAAGACAAAATCTATGGAATGCATGTCAGAAACTCGGCCGTCAGGGAAAAGTAACATGAAAATACGTGTGAATATCACCCGCATTGGATCCCGTTCTATTTCCAGTCCTCTGGATTACAAGCTTATCTTTTGGCATTGTGTCACCTCGAAGCCTTCCGATAAATGTACAGAGCACTCAAGGTCTTCGTATCAACACGCGGTGACCATGTACTCCGTAGAACAGCAATTAATGTTCGACCCTAGAGTACCATGAAGTCTGAATCGGTCGTCCTCCGCAACGAACCCCCAACTTTCAATCCTTGAGCAAACCAAAACTCATCTTCCCAAATTTCATCAACGAATTGGAATTGATTGTCGATGTCCTCCCGCATGTCGTGCATGACAGCTGGACAGGGATAGGCAGAGACTGGCGTTGTTGATGCATATGTTCTGCCAATCAGGCACAGAGTGTCTTTCCACCCTTCAAAAAGGTTACCAAACTAAAGCAGCGCACATGATGTGATGATATAACTGATATCACCAATATCATCAGGCCGGGGGAAGATTGTTAGCCCTATATAGACAAATTTTACGGAGAAGGTAGAAAGTACTGGCTTCGCGAAGTATTGAATCAATCATTTTGGGTCTTTGCTACTAGGCTTGCCCTCGTTCATGTGGCTCAAACATCAGACTACGCTCTCAAGGCCAAATGCTACTAGTTATATTACGCTAGTTAAGAGGCCTGGGTACAAGAACCCTAGCATTTGAATACGTTGTTCTGCAACCTTGGTCTTGATTTTGTGCATAAATAGAATGCTACACAGACTTGAAGGCTACACGTCTATTTTTTAGAGAGCGTAGACAAAAAGAGGCCCCAAAGATACTTGCGAAACTCTTATCGAAAGCTGTAGTTTCCGCTTTACCCTTGGTACTTTACGTTGCTCGAAATTAGAATGTTGATGGTCAGATCCACCCCTGCCTAATATCTTGACTTTTATACTTACGCCCTTCTAGCTTGCTCCGCCCAAGCACTGCAGCCTGAGGAGGTTGGAAATATGGAGCAATCCCCAGAAACCTATAATGCACTAATACTAACACTATTGATCTAGAGGAAATTGTGATTTGATTAGCCGGAACAGAAGTTTTACTAATGCTTCTATAGGCCCCGGTCATGTAATAGACCATTTAGATCCTCGCCAGCGTGTTTTCTGGAAACTTAGAACGGAGACCAGAAATCGGAATAGCGTTATTTATCTACTAGGGTTTACGAATGGAAATGAACTAACTATTTGGCCCGTCAAGATAGTCAGCTAGCCGATCTAGCATGGCGACTATTCGATTCAGTAGGTAACTAAACGCCCTCAGTTTAGGAATAAATTAGACATGGTAATTACATTCATCTCAAGGTCCAAAAAATGTAAAGGTATCTTGCACTCCAAAAAAAAGTCATTCTTCCGCTGATGCTATTGTCTTCTTCACAGTTACATTGTCGGTTCGCTCCAGTTCGTTGCTCTTTTCCTGCTCCGTACACTTTTCGCCCTCTCTTTGCCCCGGCTCATTTCTGCAGAGCCTCCCATCTGACAGTACGAAAGCGAGTTCTTGAAGGTATTCCCTCCTGTGTCCTGTCCGCCATTGTCCTTTGCTCTTTGCTTTCCACCATCTAAGTTTAGAGCCTGTAGGGAGGGATTGTCCAGGTTTACCCCCGGATAGCCACCATATCATGGGTGGGAGCTCTTCATCATCCTCCAATCGACGCATATTCCCCTTCTTTCCCATCCAGCTGCCGCATCCTCCTCGTAGGTGCAGCATCTCCTCCACCCATTCGGTCTTATCTTGGGCGAGTATCTCAGGAACCTCGGCTAAAATGACGCTTTTATCAACCGTCTCCCACCCAGTACGAACAACAGGAGGAATTGGCCTCGTAGACAGTGCTGCCCGAGCCCGTACTTTTCTCACCAGGAACGGCTTTTGTGATCGGCGGTTTGCCTTTAAGATAATATCCGCAAGTGTGAATGAAGACCTCGACACTTCCACTTGATGCTGTGTCACCTGTATTCTATTCCGAAGAACTGCAGGCGCTGAAACATATCGACGAAATGCCAGTCGAGCCTGACATGGCGAGCGGTTTGGTAACTCCTCTGGTGGGATATTCGTGATACCACGATTTTGAGTAGAAGCTGCGTCTGAGGTTTGATGCGACGCCGGTGGTGCTTCTATGCTGATTCCCCCCATTGCCTCAACGCATACATCAACTGATAGATTTGATGACGGGTTTTCATTATTCGTTTGGATAGCATTTTCAGAAAGAACGCAGTTCTTTTGATCTTTGGCGCCTAGCTCCTTGACTTGCTCCTTTTGAGCAATCTGGTTTGGATCACGCATGGTTTGAGGGATTCGGTGGTAAATTGGTAGGACGCCGTTCAGTGATTATGATATCCCTGAGCTGCTTAGTTTTAATTTCCTCAAGGGTTTCTAGAAGGGGTTGAGTAGCCAGTACTTGAAAGATTAGAGTCCTATACGTTTATCGCTGATGAAGAAAAACGTAAGTAGAGGGCAGATGGCGTACGGGGAGTTGATTTTGATAAAGCATGGTTCATAGTGGCCTAAAGTGACAATATATAACAAGGAATTCACAACTATGTGTGATAGCCTCTCAGTATAACGTCACTGCATCCCATCTAGTTATGTTTTGATTGTTTGGCTGTCACTGCCATTTGCTAGAAGTTCATGGTGTATAGATCCATGGTAAGGGCTCACTCACCATCAACCTTATTTTGGGTTTATATGGAAAGGAACTTCGTCTTTTATCACTATGATTCTCAAATAATATTCTTCACTCAAAAAGTAGATAGACCGCGAAATATTATTGCTGGATAAGATTTCGAGGGTATCAACTATAAAGACCGTAAGTAAATACTCTGGGCGGATGAAATTAACTTCAGGGCATATAATCATATTGGACCTGCCCTTTTATTTAATATAGTTCTTCTAATTTTTTTATTGTCCTCCTTGAATCATTAGCCTGGACTAATACAAAGACTAGAACAGTACTTTTTTTTTTTGCTCGCTATGGATAGTATACCATGGACCCTAAACGCTGATAGTTTTAAAGACACTGTATAATAAGTTAGTTGATTAGTGCAAACAAAGCTATGTAAGGAGATAAGCAACTTACCCAAAACCATTACCTCCAGTAGCCATGATTGTACCCGGCATCTGCTCCTGCCAATGCAACTCCTTCACTAACTCCATATAATGTACGAACAGTAGTTGAGATGGAACATCAGCTAAGCCAGCTTCCTCTCGTGACTCCTCATCGTCCAGCTCAACTGCAAGATCCCACAGCGTAAGGGTGTTGTCCGCGGAGCTCACAGCGACAACGCTGTCGTCCGTTGGATGCCATTCAATACTGGTGATTGGCTCCGTATGGAAATCGAATGAAGCGACAGCCTCTGCCTTAATCTGAGAAGAACCGCTATTCGAAGGTTCAGGTTTCCACTGCCTCAAATCCCAAACACCCCACTGGCCATCATCGGCACCCGTAGCGAGGAGATGGAAAGTCTGCTTAGACCAACTCATCACATTAATGTCTGTATTTGAGATCTTCACGTCAACTGCTGGCTTCCGAGATTTAGACCGGACATCCCACACTTTCACAGTTCCATCGCTGCTGGCAGATGCAAACACATTCTTCTCGTTGGGTGACCATTGAATTTCTTCGACGGATGATGAATGTCCGACAAATGGCCGGGAGTCAGTAACCCACCCACCACCCTCAGACCGAGTGGTGACGTATATCAGACCATCATTGTCACCTGTAAGAAGCTTCCCTAGAGGGTAAAGAGGGGACCAATCGAGTGCATATCCTTCCGATTTATGCATCCGTAGCGTGGACAGTGGTTTGGCTGCCGATGGAGGAATTATCAAGCCTGGATTGTCAAAACTGGCTAGATGCTGCGACACATCATGGATAACAATCTGTGTATTCTCTAACATGCATGCTGCAAGGGTCTGAGGAGGCTTTGTGGGGTCTCCGGAGGCATGTGGTGTCTGGTGTGACCGAATCCGGTTAGTTGTGAAATTGAGAGGTATCGACTTCGACTCGAGTATAGGATCTGAAGAGGAATCATCGTCCGAGTCGGATTCGTCATCTGAGTCCTCGTTACGTTCGCGTTCCATTCTACTTAGCCCGCTTAATTTGAGTACCATAAGCTCGTTTTCCTTCGCCCTTCTCGAGTCTGCTTGTGTACCAGCAACTGCATACACGGTGGCAGGGTATAATTTTCGATTATCACCCAAGCTATCTCTGACAATGTCGAATGATAGACACGGCCAGGGTGTGCTGAGAGTATGAAGCATATCGTAAGTTGATGGGTCGGGTGATAGAGTCTCCCCGGGGGCCAGCTTCGTTCTGCCTGGGATGAATGTCTGTTTGTCCACTTCCATAGCATCTACAGATGAAGAAACGATCCATTAGTCATTACATCATTCTAGCCGCAACAGAGACAGGCCGGGGGCATAAGAAGAGGGAAAGGGAATCAAAGAAACAGATTGGTATGCACACCGCAGAACCCAGGCTTCTAGGGCAACCACATACCCCTTTGCTCTTCAGCTTCACGCTCTGCATCTGGTCGGCCGTCAACTCCAGCTTCTAGGATCTCATCTTCACTCTCGAACTCGTCTTCAAATTCGTCTTCAAATTCTCCCATCTCGTCCGGCGGGGCGTCTTCCATGGGCCGATCGCCAGCTTTCAGGGCCCCTCGAGGCTCGTCCGCCTCTACTGCACGCTTCGGCATGGTGGATTGTGTCTATCGTTTGCTCAATCCAAGGGAGGCAAAACGATTCAAGGGTGCAACGCTGCAGTCGAGGGTATGGAAGAAAATCGGTGCTTCGTTTTGTGTTATCGATAAAAAAAAATTCTTTATTATTATTATTATTAATTTTTTTTTTTTTTTTTTTTTTTTTTTTTTTTTTTTTTTTTTTTTTTTTTTTTGAATTCCCACATGTTTGGGTGCAAATGCGGGCCCGCGCTAGTCTTCTTTTGGGCCAATCCCAGCTTGCGTTTGCTGGTTCTCGCTTTTGGATGAACTTCGCCTTTTGATAGACGGGAAACGCTCACGAAGAACCGCAGTTAGACAGCTAAAACGGCGAGTTGCAGCAGTATTTCTTTTTATTTTTCTTATTCGGGAGCCAGGTTACCTCTTTTCGACCTGAGACCCGGCCTTCAGTCGCTTGATAGTCCCTTGACCGACACTACCGCGGCTGCCTCGAGTCTACGCGCCTAAACCTTGAGCTCTCCCTTAAGCTCCCCTGGCTAAGGAGAACGAAAAAGAAGACGCCTGATAGGCTTTCTATACGTCGGAGTGGCATTCCTTTCGCACCTAGGGGCTTCCCCTCGTACTTCCTGCATGCGCAGTCCTTTCGTTCAACGCCGAAACTGAGCAGAAACTGACGTATTTGTCGAGAACGGACGAGCCTTTCATCACGCGAGAGACCTTGGGTCTATTTATGCCCGTCCTCCCAGCCTGACAATTCGTGTGATACCATCTCTTGATACGCTGTGAGGGCTGCTTTTTAGCCCAGACGTGGAGATGGATACGTTGACGAAAGAGGTTGACAAGCTCCAGGTTGAAGACGATCCCACTGTGACACAACCCACGGAGACAACAACAACAACTACATCAACAACAGCAGCAGATGCTGACCAACCGCCGCCCCCGGCTGAAACTGAACTTGTAGCAGCGCCAACACCTGGATCTGCACAGGATCCTGCGTCTACTGTAGAACACGCTCCAGAGCCTGAGTCCGCACCAGTCCCTGAAAACTTGGTTCCACAAACCCCGGAGCAAGAAATTCCCGCCCGTATTGATGAGACGCCCTCGAATTATTCACAGACGTACAATAACGGCTATAGCAACGGACAGCAAAGTCACCACTCGTCATTCTCCCCTGAATACATTCAGTCAACTACACCAGCGCTACATACACATGAGAGTGATCTCTCACCTGCGTCAAGGCATAACTCCCCCACCATGTCTTATCAACAATACCAACTTCCCTCACAACCCGCCTCTCGTCCAGGATCGGGGGTGTCGAACTCTGGAGATAGATATGGATACTCTCAGCAATACCACGACCAGAATCCAAGGCAGCAACAGCAGCAGCAGCAGCAGCAGCAGCATCAACAGCAAACACAACAGCATCAGCAACAATCGGCAGCACCAAGCAAGAATAGTGTTGTGATTAAGGTTGGAATGGTTGGTGACGCTCAGATTGGCAAAACGAGTTTGATGGTCAAGTATGTCGAGGGTAGCTGGGACGAGGACTATATCCAGACTTTAGGTTGGCATCCCCGCAGTAGATAAATTTTGTGAAGCACTGATCACTAACACCACGGAACCAGGGGTCAATTTCATGGAAAAGACTATTTCAATCCGGAACACAGAAATCACCTTTTCAATCTGGGATCTAGGTGGACAGCGAGAATTTGTCAACATGTTACCCCTTGTCTGCAATGACGCAGTGGCCATCTTGTTCATGTTCGACCTCACCCGGAAAAGTACACTTAATTCCATCAAAGAGTGGTATCGACAAGGGAGAGGATTCAACAAGACTGCCATACCTTTCCTCGTTGGAACTAAATATGATCATTTTGTCAATTTCCCCCGCGAAGACCAGGAGGAAATATCAATACAAGTAAGACCCTTAGCCTTTTTGCAATTTTTGGTTACAAACTGTAGAATGAAGGCTGATTAGTCCTGACAGGCCAAACGGTTTGCCAAGGCGATGAGGGCGAGTTTAATATTTAGTAGCACCAGCCACAGTATCAACGTACAAAAGGTGGGTTGTTGCGCCATTCAATTTATTCCAAGGTCCTCTGCTAACTGTACTCTGTAAGATATTTAAAATCGTCCTCAGCAAGGCATTTGACCTTAAATGCACAATCCCTGAGATTGAGAATATTGGTGAACCCTTGTTGCTGTATCAATCTGTCTAAGCCGAGGACAAGGTGTTGATGAAAGTGACGACTATATATGTCTCCATGATGTAACGGACTAGCAACTACGATCGACGAAACAAGTCTTGCTATCAATGGTCCCACGCTGAAGATAAGATGGCCGTTTCCGAATAGCCTCTGAGAGAGAGGGAGCGGGAGTTGACGGAGCTGGTGGTTTCTCCGTCGTGTGTTGGGGGCGTCCAAACAGTTTTAATATCCAAGGCCGCTGTCTGTTGACGTCGTTCTTTTCTTGATGGTGTATTATCTCTTGGGCTATTAACTACTCCGGCCGTCAATCCCGGTTAGCTATAGCTGTTTTAGCTAGTCTTTTAACTGATATATCCATATATCTTCCTTTCTTCTTCGCCTTTTCTTTTCTTTGCACATCGTCAAGGCCTTCCATTTTGAGGAAGCAGAGCCGCGCTGTATATTGACCAATAGGCAGAAGCCTTCCCGTCCTCCCAATACGCTTATCAAGACTTTTTCTCACTTCTTATTGGACAATTACACATCCGACATTCCATCTGGCCAATAGGATCTTCCAGTCCAACAACCGCCCCTGTTGCTTACTTAATTTAAGGTTAATTTTTTTCTAGCAAGAAGTAACATAACATGTGAAACAAACCAACCGGAATCCAGTGCGCAATCAGCTAATAAAAGCAAAGACAGGACGAGGACGGATCTCAGGGTAGCGAGATGCACGAAGCCGGCAAAGTATCTGGGGCTGGGCGCAGCAAGTGGGCTTGACATGACGTGGGGCTAAGCAACTTATTATTACTTGACGCTGGCATCTTCTAATATACCCCCAAGACTGGTCCCGTCCAACTTGAACAGGGGATAACTCCGTCCACTCCATATATATAACGACCTTGCGATGACTCGTTCGACTCTGGCCTCACTTCACCCACTGTTCGCACAACGAAAACCAGTAACTCCTCACCGTCGAGGAGGGATTTCGGGCAAATGATTCGAGGCAAGGAAGTTCTCCCTCCTCCCGTCGTCACCAGAACCGGGCAGAAAAAGCCTCCTCCACCTCCTCCGTCCAAGGGAAGCAGGGCAGTCGCAGCAGGCCCTCCCTTGCCACCAAGGAACAAGAGCCAAGCAGCCTCGTCCCCAGTTCCACCCGCGCTTCCTCCTAGAACACCATCAGACTACGGTCGGTCGTCCAGTGAATATACGCCCTCGAGCGCATCTGTATCTTCGAATTCATCCAGCACAGAGGCCAAACCTGATGGCTTTCGTGTTCGAGCCCCAGTGTGGGATCAAACCGAGCTGCCCTGTGTCACACTGTGGAAAGGGAAAACCAAAGATACCAAGGATGTTAGTAGCGAAAGGAAAGCAGACGAGATCAATTCTCAGCCTGCTTCCGACGCCCAAGGGCTGAGAGGAAATGTAGCAGCGTTACGGAGTCAATTGGCTGGCCATAACATCATTGCTCCAGCTACGGCTCCTCCACCAAAGGCTGCGAAACCGAAACTTCCTCCCCGTATGAACTCGACACCTCTCCCACAGGCGCATCAACCGCAGCATTTCCAAGACCGGCCGCTGCTGGAGAGAGTCGAGTCGGCATCCCCCACACAGAGAAAGCTACCTCCACCACCACCACCTCGGGGAGCCGACCTCCAAAAGATCAGGCAGGTTTCATCCTCAAGCCTGAACAAAACTGCTAGTGAAGCCGTCAAGGATAATATAGGTTGTTTTGATAAAGTCAAAAGGATTTCGCGTGCTCCTCCTTCAGTACCTCTTGCATCGCGGCCAAAGCTGCCTCCAGTACCTACAAGCTCAAAACCCCAAATTGGTTCTACAGCTCGTAGAAGTACAACTAACTCTACCAATGGTTCAACTATATGCTTTAAATGCCGTGACTTTTCTACTGCCGATGCACACGCCGCTAGATTTCCTTGCCAATCTCTTCCGTCGCACGATTTGGCCTGGCTGTCATCCCAACTCACATCTCCATTCCCATCACCGACGGATAAAGCACGTGTGATCTTTACATGGCTACATCACAACGTACGATATGATGTAGAAAGCTTCTTCCAAGGCAAAAGAACGCCACAGTCCCCGGACCATGTGTTCACCCATGGGCTCGCTGTTTGCGCTGGATTTGCATCCTTATTCGAAACCCTGGCCAAATATGCTGGTCTAGAAGCCAAGGTGATAAGCGGCCATGGGACAGGCTACGGCTTTAAACCACTTGCCCCTGGAGCACCAATACCCCCATACGAAGGCAACCATGCGTGGAATGTAGTGCGCATTGACAATGGACATTGGAAGTTAATTGATTGCTGCTGGGGCGCTGGACACGTTGAGGGTGCAAATCTGCCTTATGTACAAAAGTTCTCGCCCAAACACTTTATCATGTCTAATGACGAGTTTGGACTCGACCATTACCCAGAGAATGGATCTGACTTTTACCGTGAAGATGGGCGTACAGACATCACTTGGGAGGAATATATAGGTGGTGGCCTGAGGGCTCAGATGCACATACCTACTGACCCTCCCACCCTGTTCGATAATGCCGTTGAAGACCACGGCATCGGAAAATATACCCTTCAGCCCGGAACGAAGTCCATCTCCATCAGAGAAGTGTCCGGGCGCTCTGTACATTTTCAGTTCGCTCTCATCTGCGAGCACTGGTCTATCGTTAAGCACGGCGGTAAGAAAGCCGCATCCTTCTTCGTCCTAGCTCCGCATGGACTCGACGGTAGAGAAGACAAGTTCGTCCCCTTCAACCACGTCCGCGGTACTAATGCTGGGGGAGGCGGCGACTACTGGTATCTGGACATCCCCGACGGCAGGACGTTGGGTTGTGCGGGGCAGAAGTTGATGATATTCGAGTTGACGAGCTTTGGGACCCAGACTGACCTGCGTGGCTTGACGATGGCAGAGTACGAACAGGGAGTTGGTAGAGTTGGGATGGGTTTCAAAGCACTTGCTGAATGGACTCTTGTCGAGTAGCTGTTGTCCCCCCACCTCCGTTTACGTTTCTTTCAGTGTTTTATTATTATACGTGATTCTACAAAGGGCATGCGTTTGATGGTTCTCAATGATATTATTAGGGCAGACATAGAAGGACAGACAGCATTAATGGTAATCTTTGGCTTCAAGACGGTTTATTAGAACGATTCAACCCAGCACCCGGACTTTTACCTGTGTACTCCGTACGGAGCGCCACTTTTGGTGGAGACATCCTTTTCTTGTCTGCTTTCTGGCAATAATGCCTTTACTCGAGCGGCCAGCGGAGGATCCAGAATAACAAGAGGCTGTCATAACAGGG